GTTAGCTGGCATAACTCCATTGGGAGTTTAGACGAGTGGGCTATGGAGAGTCTAAAATGCCACCATCTGAGTTGATTTGCGCCATTGACAGGTAGGCATGAATCAAAAATAAGTATTAAGAAATATGGATTAGACCTCTCAATGCAAACAAAGGCCGGATGGTGGTGAATTAAAAGGGGTGAAATATAAGATTGCTATACAATTGTCGAATGCATTATATGTGATGCTTCATGAATAGGTTGATAGATTATGATTACAATTTGACATTATAATAGTTGTCATACTCTAGTAATGGAATGTTTATATCAGCCCCTTTTTAGCCCCTATCTTATCAACCCCTATTTCATTTAGCCCCTATTTTACTAACCCCTATTCGTGTCCCCACAATAAATTGCCAGCTGGCTGACAAATGAAATGGTGTTCGTATTAATAATCACCACTTGTGCATCTTGACAATTGGCAGTGTGAAGTGTCGATATTGAATGGCTAATGAAGAATCTTTTTTCTTCAATAGTCATCGCCGCATCAATAGTATATCCAGGTAGGTATGTAATTATAATTCCAACTGCCGATGTTGCTCGTAAATTGCCCACCAAGTCGCCCAATACTACGGAAAGGAGAGCATCCACCCTTCCCTGGGTAAGTAGTAGTTGGCGTTAGATATGTGTGTTGCCAGATATTGTAGCACGGTCATATGAAACCGAAACACTTAGTAGAAATGAACGTATCCAGCAACACACACATGCTTTGTCACGGCAACATGAGCGCGAACGGGTCTCGGCGGGATATACAACTTCAAGTTATCGCCCTCTATAGCAGGCACACCTAGCACACCAGCAACATCAGTCTCTCTATCGGCTCCTTTAAATGCATGGTTTGCTGATTCGCGCATTTTCTCTGCCAGCGTGTTGTTTTCGTCTATCCCAAGCCTCGGACTCAAGAACAACGGCGATGCGCGTTCAGGTGTAATTATGTCCCAGATACACGTCCATCGCTAAGGGCCGACTGCTAAGCCTGATGACCTCGGGCATCGTGTTATCTATTGGGGCCTCAGAAGGATACGGAAAACTTGCAGCCCGTTCCCCCGAAGACAGAGGCATCGGAATACGGCTCAGATCGACGCTAGTTTTGGTGGTTTCCTTGTTCACCAGGACCCTGGACCCGTATAAAGCAAGGCTTGACTATGTTCTACATCTATGGTCTTGGATATCTTGAACTGGTAATCCCCGGTGCACGTATTTGATGCTGATATCATGGAGAGGCTAAGAGTTGCTTCAGGGTTCGGACCAACTACACGCTATTACACCGGTGTACACCAAGTGTATTACATCCAACCCAATCCAACTACACCAGACCCACTTTCTAAATCCACCCAATTACACTTTTATGTCCCGTGTAGTTGGATTGGGTGTAATAACGTGTATTTATAGTGGATACCAGCCACCCAAGCCACAGGGCACAGCCACTGTTAGTGTTTACTAGTATTTTTGGTGTAAACACTAACAGTAAGGCTGAAATATTAAAAGAAGGCTGGGATGGCCCGAGACCTAAGGAAATATCGTGAGATTTGCCCTCAAATTTCTGAAAAGTCCCACTTACTGATTGTATTCAACGCGTTTAATGTTTAATATTCAACGCGTCTGATATTCAACGCGTTTGATATTCAACGCCCGTTCCTTTTTGATTAAATTAGCCAATCACAAAAATCAAACACTCAAGCCCTTTCAGGTCTTTCTAATCAGTAAACCTCCCTTCTTGTCATATATAAGCCTAAGCATCTGCCCATTAAACAATCATTTTCAATCATCATCAATGATATCTTCATTTACAATGATATCTTCATTTATGGCGACAGTGGCGCTCGCGATACCTTCAACAGGTTGGCAATTACGTCATAGCCAAAACACCAAACTTTATCACGAGATGATACTTTAGGTAGGTAAAATAGCCTCATTTTGCGAGCGCTTTTGCCCCGCTTTTAATGTACACCAGCAATTTTCGTAAGTGTAATACACCAGAGGGGGTCGTGTATACACTACACCGGAGGTGGTCGTGTATTATAACCAACCCAACTACACCAGAGGGGGTCGGAGATGTAGTTGGGTTGGTCCGAACCCTGAGTTGCTTGAAGCAGCGCGTTACTAGAGACCTTACGTGTGTCTACGTTCACGACACTGCGATAGTTTCTTCGCGAATGCAGAGCAGATACCAAATCACATGTCCGGCAAAGCCATAGATAGCTTATCTCATGTTATGGTAGCCCTTGCGCGAACGCAACAGCCTGTCAAACAACCTGTCTTTTATGACAAGAGGCGGTCTCACCTCCGCACGACCTCTCGCCTACATTCTTCGCTGGCACTCTAGACAAGTTCCTGAACGCGCGGTCCTTTCCTCGGCATCATAGCATGCCTTCTGCCCTTCGGAAACCTGGAAAACGATTATGAGGCGGAGTTTACAAGACGTAGAACACTATCATTGTTGTGCAAAGATCTCTAGCGTCTCCCCGCAGGCTATGAAGGCTAGATATACATGCAGTAACCGTCTTTGGTCTATCTAGCCCCCGGTACAGGGGATATTGTTGATACGAATGGCCCACACCGAAATAACTATACCTAGCCTGCCCAATCCTATTTCTTCTTTCCCCTTTCCTTTCCCTTGCCTACCCTCTCCTTATCACGTAGGTATCGTGATATTCTTCTTCCGCTCCTTACGCAGAGGTTCTTCCACATCTTCCCCCCTCGCATCCCATCTCACCCCAGGACGAGCTGTAGCACATGGCTGGTGTCCTCGCGGGCGGAGAAAGGGTGTGAAGTGATCTGAGAAGACAACGAGAACGCCATTCTACTGGCGTTGCCGTTTCTTGGTCGTGAAGGTCGCTCCCAGTCGGGCACGGAACACCCTGTAAGCCGAGGCCTACACAGCCTGCCGGGTACAGGGTAAGACACTTCGAGGGTTATGAAAGCGTGTAGGTACGGTACGATCTCAAGAGCTACAGTATCAGTGGCCTGGCCGCGGCTGAGTTCTGGTCGCGTATAACATGAGCTAGGAGAATCAGGAGACGAGGACTAACTACTGCTCTGCGGGGCTGAGAGTGAGCTTCCAGATGGCGTCCTTAGGTAAGGTGTCTGCCAGGAGTTATAAGAAGAGTTAGCCTCAGCTCAGCAGCTAGATAGAAGAGCACATGGCGCGTCTAAATCCTTACAGCCGTCACCCTGGAACACTCCAGTCCGACGTCCTGTACAGGGAAGCCCCGCCCGGAGGCGCTACCCGGCACGGGCGCGATCTACGTCTTCGGTCGGATTTACCCTACATCTGCTATCTGCCACCTGTCACCGCACCTGATCTGTAGGATATCCTCGTGTCGTTGTGAACTACGAGCTTGCCGAGTGAGAATAATCCTGGTTCAGATGTCATGATGCCTTATAATATAAGGTAGGTGTTATCGTTCTCATTGCAACCCCTAGCGCCTACGTACCCAGGTAGCTACTGCGCCGCTGCTGTAGGTATGCTCGATTTCACCCGATGCAAGACCTTAAATTATGGGAAATGCCCCAACAAAATAGTGGCGACAATTACAGAGTGACTTGTTCTCGGGAGTTAGAAGAGAAATGCTTATGTGAGTATGCTCTTGATTGAACACGCTTGGTAGCCGCTCCCCCTTTCTGCCGCTTCTTGGGTTGGACGAGCACTCTTGACGAGACAACTAGCTGATAGACAAACGCAGAAACCAACGGACACAACTGTCAGCCTCGATCGTACATAGATTTATACTCATGTATCTGCCAGATTCATGGGCGTAACCCTTTCAGAAGCTTTCCCTGCACGGCTTCCGTTGGTAACAGCCTCGTGTCTCCAAGCGCGAGTCCCGCATGGCAGACTCATCTAACCTAGCAGTCAATGATATACCCAGCGAGCCCAGTGAACTAACACCTTCCCCAATAACGCATAGTAGCGAGGATAGCTAACCACTCAACGGCAAGGCTCTGTCCTTCCACGCATCGGTATACTATGTACTTCTGCTAGTTTCGCCAGCGCCTACTAGGTATTCACGCTCTATTAAGTCGATAGAACGCTATACGCATCGCCCAAACCCAAGAGAGGGACTCAAGGCCGCCCGGCCTTCATACGTAGTATCAGATACTCCGCATCATCTTTCGGAACGGCGACTTTTATGTTGTTGTCAAGGACAGGAAGGGCAGTAGCTGGGTGTCTACCTTGGTAGCGTACGAATATCCAGCTGTCAAGGTGTTCGGTGGTCTCGTTTACAGATGCGCAGAGCTCAACCCAGTTCCTCGCAGGTGCGGATAACCCGTATCAAGCGTCTAATCTGGACTATATTAGGGGTTGGCTAGTATATCCGGGGCCATGACGAGGAGGAAAGACCTACCCTCGCGACCTCCCTACCTATGGGTATGCGGCGTGTATAGTCATTCTACCATTGACATGGATTTCTGCTCCTATGAGCGGGAGGGACATGATCACGTCCGTTCCAAAGTCGGTATCCTACTAGTCCAACCACAAAAGGCATACACGATCATATTTTAACTGTTCCCGCTGTCTCCTCCAAGTAATATCATGTCCAGCGCACATTAGTCCGGGGCGGCCACTAATTCAGATGGGTACCTACCATAACGGGAAAACGGGTATTTTTGGATTTATTCTTAAAGGGGAGTTATTCTTATTTTCAGAATATCTTTACCCACACAATTGGACTGGCCATTGTTTTCCAACTTATCAAGAATCATCCTTGATAGAAGAATGACCTCTCCATAATCAAATCATTGGAATGCATGGATTTATTCCATCTAGTTTAGAATGATTCTAACGGATAGGGGTTTCCCGCTACGGTGCCTGGTTAGTATCATTACCCCTTTAACCCAAATAGGGGTGATAAGTCATAGGAACACCCACAAGGAACGCTACCCGACCCAGGGAGAGCACTCACCCTACCAGCCCAACTACGTAGTTATCATCATCAGTCAAGCAATCACTTCACAGGCCATGACAAGAACTTTGAATAAATAATAGCTAGCTTCGTAATTCAAATAGCTATCTACCTAGTTACCTGATAGGCAGGCAGGGTAAAGCAAGCAAAATAAGGTATCGGTCCCTCCTCCTAATCCCTTTCCATTGAAATCGACCGAGGTATACCGTATTGTGACCTGAACAAAAACGCCTATCTAATGCATTGTTGTGCAATCGGAATTCTTCAAGCTCGAGATGGGCTCGTAGTAGTACATGGTGAATGGAAATTTTCGTTTGCAACCTAAACCGTAATAACGCCTCTATATGTGATGCGTAGCAACCTCCCTCACATGCCTGCTTTTGTATTGCGACGATGAATGAAGCAAATAGACACAACCCAGTACGCCGTGGCAATGTTTCATGGCTCATACGCCAATCCTAGAAGACCTCATGCTGGCAAAGTATTTTGCATCGATTATCAGGCACAACCATATCCGTTAAATCAAATATGAGCCTTCCAACGCAATGGTAATTTCGAAAAGTTTCGACCAGTCTTTTTTAATCGGAATCTTCCATGTCCATCGCGTTACGCTCCGCTTCGAAGCTATCGGCTGTGACACTCATTCGTTCCTTTTCCCGTTGCCGTTCCCTCTTCGTTTCGTCGTCATCGTCGGCATTAGTGAGATCCGAAAACATCTTATCGACATCTTTATCTTCTTGTTGGGCTTGGACGATGCTAGATCTACCCGTGAACACGGCATCATCACGACTGTGACTCCATACATCCGGTCCGAAAATCTCCTCAGCTCTTTTACGTCCCGTGTCAGTCAGGCGAAGTATTTGAAGCGCCTTATCCTTGCCGACATCTGTGTGCAGATTCAAGTCATCCTCCGGCCCACGTAGTAACCGCTCTTCTATACTCATAGCAGGGTCTAGAGCGGATAGCCGAGGTCCTCCATTGCTACTAGCAGACATGAAAAAGTCTGGATGGAGACCCGCAGAGCTACCCATGTCCATAGTGTCAGGTCGAAGGGACGACCCGGGCCTGCTAGATGATACTGAGGTGGACCGTTGTGGTGGGTGTGCATGAGAAGCGCCTATCAAGGCCGGAGTGGAAGGCTGGGGGCTGCGGAAGAAAGGATGACTGCTAGAGCCAAACGAATGGGCGGATGGACTTGTTGAGTTTGGAGGAACATGGCCAGAGCCCGACGATCCTGTACCCATGGCAGCGGCAGCGGCAGCAGCAGCTGCCTCGGCATTCATGGCTTTGCGCTTTAAACTGTTCGCCTTGCTTTTCATATTCTCCGGGAGGTCTTCGGGGTCTTCTACACCATACTGCGCAAGCATCTTTTGCAACTTGGTCGGCCGTGGCTTTCGAGTACTCTTAGAAACCTCGAGGACAGGTGGCGGCTCGGGTGCTACGGGGCTCCATTTGTGCAACTCCTGACGGAAAAAGTTAGTCTCCATAGACAACAGGATCTCAGCGCCTTCTATTTTTCGTAGATAAAATCGCTGAGTGTCGACTTCTGTTGCCGTCGTAAGAACTGGGTTGCAAAACGCCTGAATGTGAATCCTAAACCTCTGTGCATTGTCGATTATGTTCTTTAGCACTTCCTCCTCTTCAGGTTGGAAGGGTAAACCTGGAATCTCCTCCTGCCAAGCAATGAGGTCTTCTAGCTTAGGACGTGCGGCGTCCCGAGGAATCTTGACTCTCCAATCGCAGATCGGGCAGGTATACTTATCATCCTCCTTGACCTTGCCGCGAGCAATTTTTAGGCATTTCCCATGGTACCATTCATGGCATAGTTCGCATTCGATCATCATGCCAGCCTCAACACGGCGGCAGATACAGAATACTTCTACCAGAGCCGGGTCATTCGGATCCCAACCACGGGGCGCCTTGGGATCCCTCTCCTCACTAGCTGCTCTTGATGCTGGCTCAGCGGGTAAACGAGGCGTATCGTTACGAATGTCGAAGCAGGCATTATTGCGCTCCAGCACATAGTCCATATGAGACTTGAGAATGTGAAGGGGTGCATTCGTCTTGCCGAACAGTTTCTTCCCCTTCCGCATCCAATCTTCATGACGCCTCTGTTCTTTTTCCAGATCAAGTGTTCCAGTCGGCTTAGAGTTTAGGTCTTCTAACTTTTTCATTATCTCGACTACCTCTGTGTATTTTGGTCTTTTCGTATAGTCAGGCTCTTTTGACCGTTCCGTCAGATCAATAATTTGGCGATGAGCTTCTCGCTGCTTATGCAGAATCTGATCGACCGCATCTAGAGTTTCCGACGTTACGGGCAGCCCGTTGACTTGTACTTGATTTGAGAGGGCTTCGAGCTGAGGGTAATGCACAATCTCGGCGTTAATGAGTTCCTTCGCTTTGGCCTCCCATTGGATACCTGCCTGGTACTTGTCTCCGAAATATCTCATGTTGTCGTTGTAAGCTGCAATTTCTAGTCGGCGACCTTCATCGAGCAACTCCTTGACGTCTTTCTGGGTGAGGAAGATCCCCCTGTTCGCCTTGGCTTTAGTATTCCACTTCGTCTGCTCTAAGATCTCGGAAAGCTTATCAAGCTCGGGCATATCCACATTAAAAGCACGGCCCTCTTCTATCAATTCCTCGATCGATTCTTGACCGCAACCGCGCTCTAAGAACTGCTCGGCATTCTTCTGGAAGGCCCTGATAGCGTTGGCACGTTCTTGCAGTTGCTGAATCTCGGGGCAATCGAAGCCTATACGCGCGGCGTCATCGATCAGGCGGTAGATATTTGCGACTCGTCGGAGCTCGCGTTCTCGATGCTCCTGGGAAGAATTGCCGATGGACTTTCGCAAGCCACTCTGCCAGACCTTGTCATTTTTACGGCGGTTCTGCTGTTTTCGCACCGTATAATTAGTCGCCTCTTCGACCCACTCGTTACAACGGTCAACGAATTCCCTGAGCGCTGGCAAGGAGGGGAGGTCGTACGGTATTCGTTCTCCCTCACTAAGGAGGTTTCGCAGCGATTTCAGCGCTGGTTTCCCTCCTTCGTCAAGCAATTTCTCAAGTTTATCTTCCCAAGCCCCCGGTAAATTAGCTTTATCAGCTACCTTGTGGTATGTCTCGTTAAGCTCGTCGTTAGTCTTGCGGAAATATAGTTTGTGCTGATCACCAGCAAAACGTTCGGATTCGGCCATGTCGCAACAGGCATGTTGTCCGGCATGCTGAATGCATAGGACTTTTCCAGATTGGAGACACTTGAATCTTGACAGGTAAGCATAACACTTGCAATAGGCGCATTGGTACTCTTCCTCGGCAACATCTTCGTCTACAACTTCGAATTCAAGAGAGCAAGCTCCATCCTCAGATTTTAGCGCGCAGGGCTTATGATTGTCCTCGAGGTGCTTCGCAATGAATTCGTCTCGCTGTTCGATTTCTCGTTTGTGTATTTTCTCGAGTGCTGGCGCAAGCCACTTTGCAGTCTGGATTGTCAGTCCTGAGCTAGTTCCTTCCGCCGCTGTCCATAGCAGCTCGTCGTGCGAAAAGCATGGTTGTCGCCGAAATTGCTGTAACCGCTCTACACCAGCAAGCCCACATGGCTCCCAGTCTGACGGCGCGAAATTCACAGCTTCGTTGAAGTTGAATCCGTGATTAAAGCCCGCATGATAGGCTTGAGGAAAGGTGATTACCAGTTGACCTGCCCTTTGATCCAGAGCATAGACGCGGACGCCTGCTTTCTTAAGATGTTCAGGGGTTAAAAGAGTAACAAGCTGGAACAAGAGGTCGGGTTGCGTCTCGAAAAGTTCCGGAACTGCCTCCCTCATAGCATTCTCAAACTTCTCCGTATCTTCAGCAGGAATGCCGTACCATGTCTTGGTGGCCCCGAAATGCTGATAGTTCACCGAATACGCGAAGTGATCCTCATTGTGCCAGCAAAAGGTCGAGAATATCATGCCGACGTACACCCAAGGAACGGTCATGCCTGAGATATCGGTCTTGATATGGCGAAAGAGACTCTCAGAATGCAAGGGCATAACATTCAAGTTCCAGGGATCGGAAGCGTACGAATCGCATGGGTTGCGTTCGGCGGTCGGGAAACCGGAACCATGGGTAGTGCAATGAATATCTGCGCCGTATTCGACTTCAACCGTTTCTTCCGTGCTAGCAACGAGTCTCCAGAATTCCTTCTCCACATCATCTTCGGTTACTGGTCTGGAACAATTCAGCATTGGGTCGACCGGCAGACGGTTTTCAAAATATCCCTGCTTGAAATCCGCGGCTTTTTCTTGGAATTGCTTCAGCGAATATAATCCGCCTTCCTCAAAGCCGAATTGTCCATCTCCGACAAGGCATCTGTGGCAATTCCATTCGCCAGCCGGTTTTTGCTTGATAGGGGGATCCAAGCAAGTACCATGGTATCCATGGTCGCATGACTCGCATATGGCAATAAACCCTGACTCTTCGCCTTTGCCGCAGACCTCACATTTCTATACAATAGTTAATAAACGCGACAATGGTGCTAACTCCTTATATCATCCATGTGCTAGATACTCACCTCGCTAGGGTTGGACGATTCGTCCCGGGGTGATGGTATCTTTGGGGCAGAGGGTCGGAACACCGACATATGCGATCCAGCAACGGTTGGAACGGTTTCTAGGTGCAGGTTTGCATTAGTGATACGAGAAGTTGGACCAATCATCGAGTGCATCAAAGACCAGGGGTTAACAGAGATGCGGCGGGATGCATAATTAAACGCATTCGGGATGAGTACAGCGTCGCAACTCTATAAATAGAGCAACTACATGAATGCGCGAATCAAAACGATCAAGGAATAGAGGAAGATGTTATAACGAAAAGACCAAATAAAATAATGCGACACGAAAGGAAAGGTCGCGATAATCAAAAAGATGACAGATTATCAGAAGGGTTCTAAGAATGTACGTACCTTTTTTCAATCGCTTACTCCTCCTGCTGCCACTCTCTGAGTCATCTTTATCGGTCCCATTGTCTCTTCTTGTTGAGTCTAGACTATCTGAACTGAGCTGGCGCTTTAAAGAGGTAGCAGGACCGAGCACAGATGGCCGGAAATCTGGCGTATTTTTCGCAGACAAGAGAGGACTACCATGATGCTTTGGTGGTGGCGTGAAACCTTTCGGATCTGTTGGAGTAGGTCGATTGACGCTTGTGAATCCGCTGTTTACCGGTGTAAAGCCTGAATTGATAGCTGTAAAGCCACCGGACGTAGGCTGCGAAGTGACCGGAGGTGTGTCAGCCATAATCGTGTCGCGGTCATTCTCCAGCTTCGGAACATTTAAGCTCTGCTGGAGTATGTCACTGGCGTGCCGAGCAGGCGATTCGGCCCTTAGGCTTGACGGAGTATTGACAGTTGATCGCTTTAACGGGCTGGGTGCTGGGCTAGGGGTTAACGGACCACCATATTCGTACTCAAGTTGCTGGTAAACGCCAGGCTTGGCTTGCCGTAGGTAATTCTCATATGGCGTGAGCCATTTATCAAACGAATTCTTAAGCGATGTCGATAGTGAAGACATGATCTTTCCGCTGTATCCTAGATCCCTTCCAATCTCAGCCCATTTCTTTGTCTTACAGACCTTTTCGAACCCGCCACGAGACTCGACGGCTTTCTTTAATCGGTATAGGTCAAGAGGCTTCTTATCGACGAAAGGCCATCGGTTGAGGTTCGTTCCTTGTTGCTTGTGAAACTTGTTGAGGGCATCCATGTAACTCAGATTCGCCCGTGTACCTAGTACACTGGAGTTAACGACAATAGTTGGGAGGTTATGGTGGCTACTGAATAAAAAAACTACTTACTGCCTTCCACAGAATTCAATTCTTGTTTTCGCGTCCTAAAATGGAATTTCTATAAATTGTCAGCACAGCCCAGGAGATCTAGCCTATCGTATTTACTAAGTAGCATATACTACCCAATATCATTGCTACACGATCTTGATAGACTCATCAACAACCCATCAACTTACTTCGGTGTCGATTGCGAAGTCCGGATTCCACGAGTCGGGCGGAATAACCTTGCAAATGCCATATTTAGAAGCTTCGGGAGTTATTTTGCGGACATACTCGAAAGGATCTTTCCATTCGTCTTCGGTGGGCCGATAGGTAGGAGCTTCTTCAAGGTCAAATAGCCTCTTTCGTTTGGGAGGTTCTCGTCCCGCGGTGGCTTGGCCCCTTCGCTCGACCGACCTAAGATCTAACGGGGCGCTGCGCATCGAGCTGAGAGGTATTTGAGGATTCGGGGGATGATATCCGTTAGAATTGACTTGTGTCCTGGGTTTTGTCCCATTGGTTGTTGAAGAGGTATGGTTAGAGGCGTTAACATTGCTGACTGCAGGAGATGCTCTCGAACTAGCATTAGCACTATTAGAACCTCCAACGCCGCCATTATGGCCAGCGGAGGGAGTGGAGACCATGATTTCGCTACCGGAGTGTGACACTAGGGATTGCTAAGAAGGTTAGAGAGGAGAATCTAGAAGCCTCGGAGTTTGAAGTGTAGTGGTTGGCTATGTTGGCCGTCCACCGTCAAGTGGTACACAATGTGAGGCTGTCACAGCAAGGATGAGCTGTAGGTGCATCGCATGGGCGTCCTACAAAGACCTTGGACAATGCCGCCGCTTAGTACCGAAAATGATAAGTGAGATTATGGATGAAGAGAAGCGCGGCGACGATGAAGTCGTCAGTATATTCGCGAAATGGTGGATCTGGGTAATTGTAGTCGTAGTTGAAGAAAAGTCGCGGACCGTGTCCGAGGCGTCAGGTACACAGTAATGTCTGGGGGGGCGATCAAATATAAATCCCAACCTTCGTCCCTGCCAACGAAAAAATGCAACTGCGTTAACCTAGGCCACTTGGTGCTTTACCTAGACAAACAACAGCGCAAACTCAGATTATTCCAAGTTGTTGGGTCAGTACTATTATTAGAAGGGGCCGAACCAGATATTGGATTCAAAGTGAAATGACACTCAATGAGTGACTTGAATACCCTAAGCTCCAATCTTTGAGAATTGGAGAATAGGTTAAAGTGAATAGGTTTGCATGATAATAAAGAAGGGAACTTGAAAGTGAAGTTTTTGAGGAGTCAATGGTGATATGGGAAAGGTGTATGAAAGCGTGTAAGTTGAGAAAGTGGAAGTATTGAAGGTAAGAAAGTAGAACGGAGAATGGGCTAGTCGGATTGGATAGGGCAGGATATGGTGGAACGTGGGTGGTCAGTCGCCCAAAAACTTCAGGGCTCTTTTACATATGTAGCATATGTAGAGGTTCAAGGTTGCACTGGGCAGTTCAAAACAGAGAAGATAACGTTCAAGGTTAGTACATATACATAGTGCTGACTTCCAAGGTTAGCTTCTAGAGGTAGGTACGAATAGCTACCCTAGTAGCTTAGTAGGTAGGTACATGCATAGTATGTATTGTACATAATAATGATAGTTAGTATGTAACGGAGTCTGGAGATAGGTGATAGGTAGGTACGAATGGTGGGTCGCAGCAGCAAAAGCAGGACAAGAGTTGAAAATAAACGGAACGGAAGCCACGCAGGACACGGTTTAACGGTAGATTTGAGAAAGCTGGGAAAGAGAAGTAGAGAAAGAAGTAGCAAAGTGGATATAATGTGGGTGGATGCGACTCGTAGCTGTCGTCGGGATTTTGTGCCCAGACCCATTTAAAAGAGCAGAAGTGGGTCTATTTTGTGCCGTACCTACATTCGTACTGTACTTTGGGGTACATTTGCATTTCGTAATATCCCACTTGACACAGTCCCAGGCATCTGCAAATCTTTTGCTATAAATTGTTATAACGTTACTTTTGATACTTTTGCCCGTACCAGTACCTCTGCGCTTGTAACACCCGAACCTCCATTTTTACATTCCAACATCATCCCATATGCCTTAAGCTTCCAACCTTAGATTCAATCCCGCGCGCATGAATTTGCCCCATGCGTCTATCTACCGTCTTAAATAAAGTATCATGTGATAGTGTTATTATAATCACAAAGGTTCAAAGGATACCGAACCAGCGACCCTAATTAGCCCAAAGAACTTATACTACATATGTAACTAAGCAAGTTGCGGAGCAAGAGGATATGTACCTAGGTAGGTATGTGGTCGCCTAATTATGTAGTAGTCATATGCAAATTCAGAGATACATATACATTGTTAAGTGAGTTGGTACGCTAGCTCATTTTGTTTCTTTTCAATGAGGGACGAAGGGATGAAATAAGTTCGTTATGTATAATTTTAAGATGTCAAACCTCAACTATCAGCTTCAATAGTCGACGCCCGTCCCCAAACACCGCAACCTTAGAGTTCGAACAACTGAACTAGACATATATCTCTGATAGGTGCCATATGGCTGACGGGGGCGGAGGAAAGATGCAGGCTGACACTCAGTGTCGAAGACGATGAGAAGATGGGGTCAATGGTACGATACATAAACTTTATATAGCTGGGTGAGCTACCTACTATGTACATAGTATGTGGTAGGCAAATTACTAAATTGCGGTCACACTATCAATTACATGCGCGTTAGCTCACATGTCTATGTATGTACCCACTAGGTAGATATGTACGGTACACAACATGTATGAGATAAAATGCAGTTGGGAGTTTTTTATATTTCAGAAAGGGATCTAGGCTACCCAGGGCTGTTGACGGGGTATAACAGTATAGCACAGTATAAAGGGGAGCAATCGCAAAGGTAGCTACTAGGTAGGTAATCGCAAAAGTACCAGGTTAGATACATATGTATGTAGTTGCGCGCGCAAACTCGAGGTGTTTCCGGGCTGTATTAAAACCGAAGGATCCGTGCTCCGATTGTCAGAAGTTAGAATGTGACGAACATAGAAAGGAAAGAGAACTAAGAAAACTCTGCGATGAATGCAATTGTAGCCGACGGCAGTGTTAGCTGGGAAAATAAGAGCATATATTAATGCTAGTATGGTAATGAATCTGCAATGTAATCCGTATCGTACTAACCATTTGTATACATTGTCATCTACGTCCTATGATTTAGGGTGATGCTGCATGGATTACGCCGAATGCATCTTGACAATTATAGGTACGTACATATAAGTATATTCAAGTTGCATGTGGTTGATAAATTGATGATAAATTCGGGGGTTGGGGCTTGTCGAATATTTTTTTTCTTTCCCTCCTTTGTGCCACCCCTTCTCTCCTCATTGGAGCTTATTCAAGTGTCGGTAAGCTCGACCCGAACGATTGTCTTATATAAACGGTGTATCAACATTGGTTAGCGTTGAGCACTAGATGCAACTAAGAAAATTCGGGAGTTACGATCAACCCTGTTATGCGCCCCCATTGTTGTTGGATTATCAGGATTATCAGGATTATCAGGGCAGGTCGTCAAAAAAAGCGAATTGATATCGCGGGCAAACTCACAGGGGGTATTGGCCTAAAAGTCGTCTGAGGAGCCAATGGCAAAAGAGTGACGTCTGAAAATATGGGTCTACATCCCCCCCCCCTCCCCCCTGGTCTGCATGACGGGAACACCACGCGAGCACTCACAGCTGGAAATGGCCCAGTCCAGCCGAGCATTGAACAGTTCTGGGTCTCGTCATCCCCAAAAAGGGACTTCTATTTTGCGGGGGGCCCATCTTTTTTTCATGTCGTACACACGTTACAACAACTTGTTTGAGATAGAGTGAAAAACATTTTGGTTTTAAAGGAAGTAAGGGAATTGTTAGAACAAAGTTGAGTTTATTTACCTTCAGAATGGTTTAGGGAGAGCAACTGGACCCTGTCGAGAATTGAAATATCCAGTTGTCGTCGCATTCCTTAGAACTCTTATAGCACCACCACCTTTACGCCTAATAGTTGCCTACTATGGAGGTACTCCCTATGCAAATGAAACTCTCAACGCGAACCCCAAATATTCGAGAGTTATAATATCATGTGCTTGATTTAGCTTGTGCCTTACGCTTTCGAGGCTTTTTTAATAGTTTTTCTATTTCTTTCTCTCCCCTTAGTCTGAGGCTCATTTCTTTCATGAGATCGCTCCAGACGACCTCACCTTTACACCGTGGGCAGTGGCCAGAGATGGGAAGAATGTCATCCTCGGCCTTTTTCCCAAGCATATGCTTACTCCAGCAAGATATATGCCCGGTACCCTCACAGTCACTATTCGAGCATGTTGCATATAGACCTTTGCCAGCCTCGAGCTCTTCTTTGCACACCACACAATTCCCCTCCCTCTCAAACTCATATATGGATTTCGTTTTCGTCACATACTCCTTCATTGGTGTATAATCAAGCGAGAGGGCATGTATACCCCAGGCCTGGTCTGACTCGGTATCATAACCAGAGCTCTCACTATTGATCGAGGTCGAGTGCGGAGGCCCAAAGTCTTTAAGAACTTGAATCGTATCTCGAAGAGGCTCGTCTATAGAGTCGCACCACTTTTCCCATTCTTCAAAAGCATCGGCAACAAAGAAGTGGACGTTTAAAGGCCATTTCGAAAAGCTAGGAACACCAAGGAGTAGGTGGAGATTGGAGATGATAGAAACTAAGCTGTGCCGTGGACGCTTTGGACGGCCGCCACGTTTCCTGCCCGCTGCTGCCGAAATTCGAGATGTGGACGGAATATGCAATGAGATGTGAGGGTTATTGAGAGCCCATCTAGAAATAGTCAGCCTACATGTGATAGAATATCCCCAACTTAAGAGACGTACTCAAACTTCAGAGCCGCTACCATTCCAGGAAATCCCGAAACAAGACCGACCATCTCCCATGGCCTCAGCGTGGTTCGTGATGTCCGTGCAGCACCGCCTGTAGCTTCCCCATTATGCTGCTTTAATCGCCTTGGTGGGTTGGGTGTTGATCCGATATATAACGACGTACAACGAACGGTTGATCTTAAAATGTAGACTGTGTATAACGGAGGGATGGGTTTGGATAAAACGTCCATTTTGGCGTCTACATATGAGGCTGAGAAACTAGAAAAATAATATGAGTCGAATATCTATACGATATAGAGTCCATATTCATTAGATAAAATCCATAAGATTTAGTAGTTGATTAAGTTGCATGTGTGTATTGTACAGTCTCGAGATGAAAGCGTTGAAAAGTTTGAGTTTCTATGGAGGGGCATTTCAATGTTGTTATTTACATGGAGAGAGTAAGTTAACTAACTATGTATAGAGACGTCACAGAAACCAACAAACGTTGTTAGCTCCATATTTTACTACTAGTCTACTACATAGGCTGCTAGGGTGTGCACAGACCACCAATCGGTCATTTGCCGATGCGATTGATTAGAGGACCGGGCCAACTTTACAAATAACTCTAATTTCTAGGCCTCACTCAATCAATTGATGATATTAGTTACATATCCATACCCAGGTAGATAGGTACTAGGTACCTAAGATATGTGGCTACTAGAATGAACCCCTTAAAGTGATATGTCCACGATTTCTTATTTATTCTCCATGCTGTTTATGCCACCGATGATTTACGAACTTGAAGCGATCTAACCTTTAGAGCCTCTTGGATATTAGAAGTACACCACCCGTAATTTTACAATAGACCCTGCTTCTGCAAGTCATAATAGACCTTCTCCGGCATCACGTTGCCTTCGGCATCCTCCATCTGCACCACACTCCCATCATCCACCTTGTCTTTGCGTTTATCTTTTTGTATCTTCTCCCATAACCTCAACGCCTGGTCAATTGCCGTGATATCTCGGAAGAGACTAGTATTCGTGACTCCTAAACACTTTAGGCCATATATATGTCTTGCCTCGTTGAAATGCTTGTCGAAGGCCCTTCGTCCCATGTATACAAAGTTGCCACAAATCTCGCAGGGGAATTCGACGCCAAGTCCGTGTAGCTTGTACAGCCAAAATGGGATGGGCTTACCGTCCCAGGCAAGTGGTAACTTCAACGGGTTGTAGATTCTATCTTCGTCGTCTCCCTCTTCGCCCTCCTCAGCCTCCTTGGTTTGCATCATGGTAGTAGTGGTGCTAAAGAGGTTTTCTAATTCTTGTTGTCTCTCGCGTTCCGTCATACCTTGTTTTCGCTCGACGTTGACACGGGTATCGCTTCGTTCGGTACTCATGGCACTGGCAAGACGCTTCACGCGGAATTCTCTCTCCGCAATAGCACGCTCCTTCAATCGATACGTAGGAGCTCCACCATTATTCGCGTCGCCTGTCGCGTCGCCAGCCTCCCCAGATGCTCGTTGCGCCCGTTCCGCGGCTGCTCTCACGTGCTTCTTGCCAGAAAGATGGCCTTTGTACACATTCTGGTTTTTGAATTCCTTTTCGCAGTCACTGCACCATACTGCTTCAGTTGTAGAGGGCTGTTGTTCGGTTCCACTGGCCTTCACACTGGATTCCGCATTCTTCCAGTCCGCAATGTCATCTTTCTCCCACGCAGCATCAAACTCCTTATCAAAGTCGGCAATAACCTTGTCGACATTTTCTAGCGGCCTTGTCTTTCGTAAGAAGGTTTCAAGATCCAGAGCAAGCTGGCCAACGTATTTGAAGTATTGATCCGTCAGCTTCTCAGACCTCTTCAGCCCACCAGCACCAGCCACGAAGTTATCGAATGAATCCAGATATTGCAGGTAGCTCAGTCTCTTTGCATTGGGAAGGTTGAGATACAGCTCATGGCAGGTATGAAGATCGAAGAAACGGCCGTAGGCTTCTTCGCCAGTAAACATAGTATCCACAATAGAGGGTTGGGAATCGGCATCTGGGCCTTTCTTTGGTCGGTAGGCTCGCTCGAGATTTTCGACGGGTTCGTTGGGGTATTTGGAATGGAATGCTTTCACTTCAGTAAGCTGTTTGTAGAACTCCTCCATTGGATCGCCACTGCCAATTTGTTGAATTTCGCGTGATCGAGATCCATCTCCGTCGCGATATATCGATAGTAGCTTGGAAGATTGTGATGATATGCGATCAAGAAATTGTGCTATGTGGTGGTCTCGCGCTAAGCGATCTCTGATCTATACAAGAGTTAGCGATTTGGTTTTGGATACGCGACTTCAAAATACTGACGTGTTTGGGCTCATCACTAATTCGATCGGCGATACCTTGCTCGAGGCGCTCGAGGTCCTCGTGCAAGAATCTTTGCTCTTCTAGGAGCATGTTGAATGGAATGAGCTTACGCGCAATCCTTCACGAGATAAATAAGCAAAAATCGAAAGATTCGGTGTAGAAAAGTAGATATCCACTGAGAAAAGGTGCTATGTTGATTTAGGTAAGTATTAATGTGAGGATGAGGATGAGGATGAGGATGAGAATGAAGGTTAGTAATAGGTGCGTTTACAGTTAGAGCCTTCAATGAAATTGATTTTGATGTAAGACAGATTTGGCACCAGTGACATTCACGTAAATTCTCCACTACATAGTAGCGTTACAAGGTTCATTGCCACAGTGGCTACAGTGGGAGTTTTACGCTGCCAGGTACTCTGGGCACTTTGTAGTAGGCACTTTAAGTTAGTTAAAGACTGCAGGGCTCTGGAGCTACTACCACCTCAACCTTCTCCATAAAATTCTTTCCGTCTACAACGGAAGTTGCGCCGCGATTTCTCATTCTTGACCTGAATCGATAACTATAATAATTCTTAACTGATAATTGTCAATCGTCAATTATTAAATTTCACTTTTCACTTCTCAATCTGCAAACCTCTAAACTCTTCCAATATACCTCTTTAACCCACACCAAACCGCAAACTCACAAATACATTTATTATCATACACTTGCGATTCCCTCTAGTTCATCATGGCTGAAGGCGGTGGCATTGATCGTCGCGCCGACGAGAAGATGGAGTTTTCCACTTCTAAAGAGGTTACTGTCCACCCGACTTTCGAGTCCATGTCATTAAAGGGTAAGACATTATCTATTCATTACGTCGCCAACAGAATAAACTAACCATGATCCTATTGCTAATAATATTGCTATAGAAAACCTCCTTCGTGGAATCTATGCCTATGGCTACGAGTCGCCTTCTGCCGTCCAATCTCGAGCTATCGTCCAGATCTGCAAGGGTCGCGATACCATTGCGCAAGCTCAGTCAGGTACCGGAAAAACAGCTACCTTCTCCATTTCGATGCTTCAGGTTATCGATACCGCCATCCGTGAGACTCAGGCTCTTGTACTCTCACCCACTCGCGAACTTGCTACCCAAATCCAATCCGTCGTCATGGCCCTCGGTGATTACATGAATGTCCAGTGTCATGCCTGCATTGGTGGAACGAATGTCGGCGAAGATATCCGAAAGCTTGACTATGGCCAGCATATTGTCTCTGGTACCCCTGGTCGAGTCGCAGATATGATTCGTCGCCGCCACCTGCGAACTCGCCAAATCAAGATGCTGGTTCTTGACGAAGCCGACGAGCTACTCAACCAAGGTTTCCGAGAGCAGATCTACGATGTCTATCGATACTTGCCCCCTGCGACTCAAGTCGTTGTCGTTTCAGCTACACTCCCTTACGATGTTCTCGACATGACTACAAAGTTCATGACCGATCCCGTCCGCATTTTAGTCAAGCGTGACGAGTTGACGCTCGAAGGACTCAAACAATACTTCATCGCTGTCGAGAAAGAGGACTGGAAATTCGATACACTTTGTGATCTGTACGACACCTTGACCATCACCCAGGCTGTTATCTTTTGTAACACCCGGAGAAAGGTCGATTGGTTGACGGACAAGATGCGGGAGGCGAATTTCACAGTTAGCAGTATGCATGGAGACATGCCTCAGAAGGAACGAGACAGTATCATGCAGGACTTCCGACAGGGAAACAGCCGAGTCTTAATATCGACCGATGTCTGGGCCCGTGGTATCGATGTGCAGCAGGTTAGCTTGGTCATCAACTACGATCTGCCAAGCAACCGAGAGAATTACATCCACCGTATTGGTAGGAGTGGACGTTTCGGTCGCAAGGGTGTCGCTATCAACTTCGTCACCAGCGAGGATGTCCGAATCCTTCGAGACATCGAATGTGAGTAGTCCCATTACCTTATAATTATTGTTTAGTGCTAACAATTAGGCAGTGTACTATTCTACTCAGATCGATGAGATGCCGATGAATGTGGCAGATCTAATCTCTTAAGCGAATGCATGATGGATTTGATTCTATTTGTACTGAGGTAGTACCAGCAGATTAGTTGGTAACATTCAATGAGAGAAGAAAAAGGATGATTAGGTTGGGAGGAATGGGCATGTCCTTTAACGTGAGTTCATCCAACCAAGAATCCACACAAATTCGAGCTAACGCATATATAGTGCCGTATATCAGGTTGACTGCGTTGGTCGCATAATTACAATGAAATAGCTCGAAGTTGACAAAGCTCAACACCCTGACCTGAAGCATGGCTGAGAGTAGGCCTGGTGGCTGAAAGTGCTTCTCGCTTCGCACCAACACGATGGGATGAATCCTCCAACCAGCCTTTGCAGAACATGACGTCTACTTAATTCCTAGGTAAAGTCTCGTCCTACCTAACAGAGCTTCTCTGTATTTGAGGATCACAGAGTGGGGCTACCAGCAGCTTTTCTATAGACCTAAAATAGTAGTGTTCTCGTCAAGGTAATGCGGTAATACGCTGGCGTCGAAAGCTATAAATGAACAGGCCAGTTTGCTATAATGAATAGAACCGCTATGAAGACTTTACCTCTACCTAGATACCTAAACTAAAACTCAGGACTGGCATCACAAGTTTGCTTACGCAATGTTATAACTATTTCGTAGGTTTCATTACAATAATCATTAATGGTGTCCGAGGACCAATCTGAGTCTTTGCGGGAATTTCAAATACGCCACACCCAACCCATACCTATTTGATATAACCCCCTTTTGATCCCCAGTCCCGAATTTCAAGGACTGGACAAGCCAGTTACTCCAAAGGTGCCTCCATACCGCTCATAAGGAAACGAATAACCAGAAATACAAAACTGATAATCACGTCTGTTCCAACCAAAGTTCCATGATAGCTAAAGCACTGCCGAGCGGTTTCGTGAGTTTGACGAGCTTCAGCATGGGATCTGCTTGGTGGAACAAGTCTTTCCAATCCTGTAGGTCGCGTTCGACACTATTGAACAGCGCCATCATCGCGATATCCAAGGTCCTAGATGAGAATTAGTAAAATCAACATACGAAAAGTGGTTCGTATATCGTAGACTAGGCACGTAGGTATACTTACCGAGTCTTGCGTTCCTCAAGCGTACTCAGCGTGCCGCTATGCATCGCAATATTATCCATAACCACGATCCTCGCCTTGGGGTTCTTCTTCAACGCGCACACCTGGGCTTGCAGGATACGAACAGCATCCTGGTGGTGCAGCACGCGCCGCAGCAGATACACATCTCCCACCGCGGTCTGCGGCGTGAAATAGTCGTACTCCATGAACTGCATCTTCCCTTTCCCTCTACCTCTATCTCTACCCCTACCACTGCCACCACCCCCCTCTTCCAACACCGCAGTATCATCATCCCCATCATCATCAAACTCAGAAGCCAACTCCGCATTAACATCCTGCACCACAAAGTTCAGGCTTGGGTTACACGCCACAATCGCCTTCGAGCAGTGCCCGTTGCCCCCGCCCACATCAACCACCGTCGCCCCGTCCGGCAGCGAGGCCCAGTCGAACCCGGAGACGAGGTGCTCGATGCTCAGCTGCCGCCGCTTCGCCATCCCCACCATCGCGCGCGCGTACCGGTCCGCCTTCATCGAGGTCTCGCTCATCGAGCGCCGCTGCGCCGCAAACCCGAAGGGAGGCTGCTCGAGGCCGGCGTAGGGCGCGAGGGTTAGCGCTGCCGTTGTTGCGGTCTGGTTTAGGTTGACGCGCGCGGCGGCGTTGCCGTTCACGGAGGGCTCTAGTGCTGCGGCGGGACGTGCTGCTTTGCCCCCTCCCGCTACTGCTACTGCTACCCCACCACCCGTCGACCACCGCCGACTCATCGCCCTCGCCTCGGTGAAAAACGCGCTCGACCGCAGCGACTCCTGGGTAAGCCACTCGACGGCGGCGCCCGTGTCCTCGTCGAGCAGGACGCGGGAGTTGCGGTTGTGCGCGACGATGCGGGTCCCCGGCTCCCGGAAGATGTGGTACGTCATCAGCAGCTGCAGCACGCGCGTGCACTGCGAGGTGTCGACGCCGGCGGCGCGGGCTAAGTCTGAGTAGGTGATGGGGGTCCCGTCTGCGGGTATGTAGGACGCGAGCTGGAAGTGGCACGCGTATTGTAACGCGGCGTGTACCCGGTGGCCTTGGGCGATGCCCATTACGTCTGTGGTGGGGTTAGTTACTCCCCTACCTACCTAGATACTTGGGTAGTATAAAGCGAAGGTGGAATTAATTAATAAATTAACGTACTGCGAATAAGTTAGTTTCGCAACTTCATAAAAATACGAAAACGGGGTTTTATATAGGTAATGCTCACCATTCTATCGGCCCCGTAACCAAATGGTTCAGCTTATCGCACGCCTCGAGGAGCTTCGACCGCGCGATGCTGAGGCTTTTATCGCCATGGTAATCCGTGTAAGCGTTCCGGGGCAGCGTGGTCTCCAAGATCTCGGCCTGCGTCCGGATGATGTCTGCAAGCGCAGTAACGGTCATTTGGTCGCCCATCGGGTATTTGAGAAGGAGTCGAAGTTTTCTTCTTAAACGTAGGTACCCAGGGGCGCTTTTTTGGAGTATTCTAGAAATATACCGCTTTTGTAGGGTTGAGTAAATGTTGAGGTCTTGAAGTGCAGGGCTCGGAGATTGTTGAGGATGAATAGATAGATAGATAGGTAGGTAGGTAGGTGTAAGATATCTACCTGGGTACTTACCTGTCTTAAGCGCCATTATGTGCGCTGCCGTCTGGTGGGAAGAAAGGCGTGTGTACATACAGTCTAGACGTATAAAAGCCGCACGTGGTGTCTTGCCAGTAGTTGGGCATGTACGTCTGTCGCACAAGTCGTTATCTGACATTCGGCTCTACCCTACAACCTTACCCAGTCCGTCGGAGCGCGGAGTTACTGGTATGGAGATTCCATTCTATTGGTAGATCTTGGGTACGGGGTTCCCACGGGTATAGGAGGATGGATGTATTCGGGGGGAATAATGCAACTGTCTTTCTTACTCCGTTGGGGTGGGATAGAGGGGGGGCAGGGCAGGGCAGGGCAGTAAGACCATCCCGTCGCGACTTGTCAGACGTTCACATACTACGTAGTATGATCCATAAGACGCGCCGCGCTCCGGTTTACCATACACACTTTTACGTGCGAACTACTGTGTGTACGAAGGTATGACATGCATCTTGGCAGTCGGATCAGGGTCTCGGAAATCGTCGTACCTGATCTAATAAATCTTATATACTAGCCACTCTCTATAGACAATGGTCACTGCCCAGGTAAGTACGTGAGCTTGGCGTCGGCTCCCCTCAACTGCTCGAAGTATGCGCCATGGATATGGCTGCTCATCTGACCAGAGATATATATTACTATCAGATCATGGTAGTTCGACGATGGCTTTCTTTCTACTGGCAAATGACTGATAAATTCTCTCAAACAAGATGCTCGGCGAACTTATCGTAGCGCCGTCGCGATAAGAGCCAGTGTCTTTACCTACCTACCTACGTAGTAGGTATGTATACACCGAGCCAAGGGAATTAGCCAACGTTGGACGAAATTCACGACATGTTTCTCAATTCCTGGGCGTTTCATGTCGTCTCAGCCGGGGATGCCGATATCGTGGAATCATCTTCTTCATTGAAAGAAAAGAGAGACCTGACTACTATTCTGGTGTGAATGAAAGCAAAGGAACAATCGCGCATTGTTGCTCGTGCCTTGTCGGTTCTAATAATGTGTTCTTTGTTGTGAAGAAAGACTGTTTGATTCGAACTGGACAATGCGGAAGGGGGGTCTATCTCGAACAAGGCCATGGTAACAATATTTATGCCCGGCCAGGAGGGGCATTCTCAAGTTAACTATCTCGGCATACAATATCTATCATTTATTCATTCATTCATCATAACGAACCATGGCCGCGCCTAGTATCCGAATGCCCTCCTTTGGCCTCACGGCAGCCGAAAAAGCCGACAACAACGCCAGCATAAACGCGACCCTCCAGCGCTGCGAAGCTGTGCTCGCCGACGAGCAGAAGAAGCACTCCCCGCTCGAGCTGCGCGACATCGTCATCGCGGTGCAGGACGCCATCGTCCTGGCCCACGACTCCGACGCATGTGAGTCTCCCCCCCTCGCCAGATGCTACCTGTACAAAGGCCACATCCTGGAGGCCATGAAGAAGTACATCGAGGCCGGCGACGCCTACCGCAAGGCCGCGAAGCAGCCCACCGGCAACCACCCCGCCGACGCCGAGCAGGCCGCCGAGCACGCGGCGGAGATGGACCGGAAAGTCCGGGACGGCAAGCGAAGAGGCCGCGTCGGGCCCAGCGCCTACGAGAGCGGGCTCCTGCGCATCAGCAAGATGCAGTCCGTGTACGAGTGGCGGATCGGGGGCCAGAAGAAGAGCTTCCACTACCCGTGCCCGCCCGTGCAGCACGTGGGCGCGAGGAGAACGCCGTGCCTGGTCGAGAGGCCGCAGCTGCGCCGCTCGCACCAGCCGCAGCGCCTCGTTCCGTGCGACGGGGGCTGGACGGCCGAAGCGGCGTGCACGCCGAGGATCCAGAGCCGGTTTCGTCCAAGCATACGCTGTGTTACGCCGGAGCCGTCTCCGTGTATGGTTATCCCGGTGGATGCTACGATCAGAGTAGTCGGCTGATATCGGATCGGATTGGTATTACACGAAACTTTGGATATGCAAAGGATATATAGAAGACCTTTTGTTTATAGTACATACATAGCAAATAGACGTAATGTTTTAGTTCAAGCGCAGGATTTCTTCCTAGGATGATATGAAAGTGAGTTTTCAGTAAACATGTGTACTATGTCTTACTCGTCGATCTGACATATCTTACATGCCCTATCCCGTATGTTAGGGCGTTTCAGGGGTTGTGTGATACTAGTAGTATTATACTTCTTAATCAGACTGTTGACTGCATGTGTAGATGTTGCAAAGGGGTATTTTATCATTAATGACCATATATCTCATAATTAATTCCTTTTTCTTTTGCTTTCCTTATCCCGATCTTAAACTTATTTCATTCCTCATGATCTTCGTTGTCTTTTCTCTTCTAATCTTGTTCATAACTCTCATTCCAGGGTATATAACTAAGTACAACTCCTTACACAGCCGAAGTGGTGCGGCCTCGGTATCCAAAGTTCCAGTCATATATGATGTTGAAGAACAGGAAGAAGCTAAGGAGAAGTTAGTATATGAGAATGATCAAGTTGGTGTCAGTACTAAGGGATGCACGTACAAGGCAATGAAGCTGAAAGCTTCGACGGTGTGGGCTAGTGCGCCGACACTTTCGTAGCTCCAGTCTTCTGCGGTGAAAACAACGGCGACGAGCCAGAGGTAGGAGAAGAGCACGTTGAACAACAGGACGTAGCTCGGGTGAGTACCAAGGATGAATGAGATGAGGAAGAATGCGACGGTGAGAACAGACTATTGATATTGATTAGCATATTGAAAGGTCTCAAGCGAAGATGTGTACATAAACATAATAATATGACTTACAATGACTTCTTCGTAGATGATGTGGTTGCTGATATAATGGCCATCGGTGACGGAGATGAAGTATGAGAGAATACCCATCACAATCACCGCCGACGCCCAGACCAGCAGGTTGCTGATGAGGAAAAAGGGTGGAAGACTGCCTCGAGCCATTGTGAATATTATCCTTTGGCTATGGAATAAATTGGGAAGATGATGAATTGTCTTGGCGATGATGTTTTGTCTTGGACGATTGATGGATTGACGATTGAGCAGTGTGTGTGCTTTAAAAGATCAACAACGATCGACAACCAAGACAAGATATCGAAGAGAATGGTGCGAATATATACCTTACCTACCGACGTAGTTCCTTTAGGTATGCATGTATGTCAATAAGGTAGCAAGTGGAAATCGGAAGTTCGGCTCTGTATTGCCAACCTCTTAGATAGCCACCTAGGTGTGTGACTTATACACGTCAACATTCGTGTGATGATTCCGGAGCCCTGCAAGGGCCTGTAAATGGACTACATGGGCCAAATGGGCTCTCGAATCAAGGTGTGTAGGTAGACCGCAAGTTCAGGGCCGCGGGCGCTAATGCAGTGCCGATCCCAAAAGCTTCCACGTACGTAGGGGCTAGGTTACCTTCCCAGGTCTGTTTCTAGGTCTGTAGTGTATGTAGCTGAATGTAGGTAGCTGTGACATGGATAATTGCCGACGAATGAGGCTGATATATTGAAGGATATAAGACGTCATAAACCAATAAACAGACCAGTCAATAATAAAGGGAGTCATTCATCCCATGGCTTTGATGCATGGCTTTTGACTCCATTTGACTACGTTATCCCAGTCGCTTGTACAACAAACGCCTTAGAATTCTAGACTTCTAAACGACAGAGACGGGAGGTTGGTTGGTTCGTCTCATGTAATACACGGTCAACAGTCGACGAATGACAACGAAAAACCTGTATAAAATACCCGGCAAATTGCAAGCAATTTAAATTAGTAAAACTTTACTAATTTGATATCTGGAAAATCGTCGCTCCGCAACAATTTTGATTTTAAATTCTATTTTACTTTAATAATTTTTTTTGGTTTTTATCTTATTTAAACAGTAAACATTTAATGATGCCTCCGGCGGCTCCTGCGGAGTGCTGCTCGCTCCGCTCGAAAAGAAGGAAAACAGGTTTCAATCACCCGAATGTTTAACCCAATTGAAGGCCAGCCATTGGCCAGGTTGAGTGGGCACTTTCTTTCACGTAAGGCAATAGTTACATAACAATCACGTGACGGTAGGTTCCTTTCCCAGAAACCGATTACATAATACTCACGCGAGTCACGACGTGTTCCTTTGGAAGGGATTACGTGGTACTCACGTGACGGTCGGAATGCCGGCGTAATGGACTGACCGTACTCACACATGAAGAGTAAATTATACTTACCTCTAGGCCACGTGATATTGTTGAGAATATCAAGTGGCCCCATCTACTAAGCCTAGATCAACCCATGCGCCGGGACTCACTGGTGTTAGGGCTGGAATCGGCTTGGCCGGATGGGGAGAAATTGTCGGATTGGGGGGATTTATGGGTATAGGAGGGAGGTTCGGAAAGCCGGTTGTCGGAGGCCGGCTGTATTTGGGAACCGCTTGCGGCGATGGGACCGCCCCAGGGGTTATTTACGGCTGATGGCACATGTTAGCGTTGGGGATAAACCCTCCCAGAAGCTCTGAAAGCTCTCCTGGAGCAGGTCACGGCAGCACCGGCGACAGCGCAGCATTCCGGGGCCGGCCGACCCGCCTGGGAATGGGTGCATCAGCCATTAATTGAATGGATCAACTGGGTTGAGGCTGTGTGGCTCTTGAAAAGCTCTTGAAACCTAAAAAGTGGTTGAAAGGAGGAAGAAAAGGATTACAACAGCTTGGGGGTTGAGAGCCCTTATATAGACCGGTCTAGAGCACGCTCCATCAGTACGTACCCCAACCATCCAAGGCAAACAGTTAGGCAAACTAAGCGCTAGTAAGCCTATTGAAATTGAAGCCATCCTATTGGCTCAAATCTGGACCTATTGAGCCGCTAGTAAAAAGTGAAACGTTTGGAGCCAACTTTTCAAGCTGTTGATTGATTGATTGGGTGCATCGCTTTTCAGCCCCCAAATCCAGCAAACCACCTTCCACACCACCTTCAACACCACCATGTAAATCAATTATTTCAAATATTTCTTGAAATATTTGATTTAGGTGGTGGTGTTGAAGATGATTAATAAGATGGATCAAATGGATCAAATGGAAAAAAGTTGAAAAGAAGAAGTTGGAATGGAAGAATTAGAAAAGATGGATTGGATTAGTCAGCTTTGATTATTAAGAATGGAACTGAATGGATGGAATTGAATGGAAAGTGGCTGATTTAAGGCTGTGGAGGCTCAGCTCCTTATCTTATCAATTGTTGCAAGAAACGGGCCCGAGCTTGAAATTTTCACTCATAGGCTTATCTTATCAATTGTTGCAAGAAACGGGCCCGAGCTTGAAATTTTCACTCATAGGCACGGCTCCACAAAACACGATTTTATTAAGTAAAACTTTACATTTAACTCGTCCCTCCTTAGTAAAGTTTTACTAATAACCCTGTAGCTTTGCTTTAACACGCATTAAGAATGTAGCCTGGGAGGTATACAGGGCTGCCCACCAGCCTACCTAGGTATGCAGCTATGATAATTGGAAGTTTTTCGCATCGTCTACCTAGTTAGGTACTAGGTAAGGTACCTAGGTAGACACTTAAACTGGGCCGCATTCACTCGCGGAGCGGGTCTATTCTCCTTTGCATGATACGAGCCGGTGTGGTGTGGGCCAGGAACAAAGACTCCCACGACGTTCCAAATCGAAAAGTCAATTACTACTTAGGTAGAGGAAGCGCTTTTCTCAGCTTCAAAGCTCTATGTATAATACATACGTTAGGTACCTAGGTAGGTAGGGCTAAGTGACAATATCTTCATGCCCAGCTCACTAATGACTGACGGACTTGCGTTAACGCTCCACCAATGGATCCATCTATCCATCTATCCATCACGATACCTACCATGGCTGCATGGCTGCATACATAGCTGTACGCCACAGCATGACCACAACCAAAATATTCCGACATCTGATGGAATGAACGGGTCACCGTCGAGTGCCGCTTCTCCACTTATCCGGTTGCCGTTTGCCGTCTACCCATCACTATGACAACCTGGGTATGTAGGTGCAATCAGGATGACTATGGACAGAATTGAAGATTCTTGAATCACTTACACATCCTAACTTCTCCTTTTCGCCGCATTTTCTTTTTCTTTTATCACACACAATGCTTAGTTAGTCACCAAACTTTTCTTGCTTGAGTAGCGTTATGTAATCCGTCTCACGTGACCACCCTGAGCGTGACATGTTCTCTTTCCAAATCCCAACTAGTCATGATTCCCTAGGAACCTCACTTTCATAGATAGGTAATCATAAGAGCACAGTCTCTCACTAAGTCCACTCATGCCACTTCGGATCAAACCTAAACGCCACCTCCTCCTCCTTAAACTGCGGCCCCTCAGCATCAAGCAAGAACCCCATCTCGCACCTCTCGAACTGAATCCTCATCTTCCTCTCCTTCTCCTCATAGAACCCGTCAAACCGCGGCGAAAGCGCGTCCGCCAAACTCGCGACATTCCCCTTTGGGTGCAGGGCCTTCCACGGATCAACGCACGTCGCCGCCTTGCACGACTTCAGCACGAAGAGCAGCGCGTCCAGCCTAGCGACTACTTTCTCGAGCGGCGCTCCCGCTATCGTCGCCGGGGCTTGCTGCTCGTCGGGGTGCAGGAGGTTGACCATCTGCCCCGGGTCCGTGGCCAGGTCGTGCAGCTCGTGCTCGTTGCTGCACCAGACCTGGTAGTGAAGGTTGTGCGTGTTGCTGATGACGCGGAGCGCCTTGTACGTGTTGTTCGTGTGCAGGCGCGGGTACCAGTCGAAGACCTGGCCTTCGTTCGAGGCGAAGCCCCAGTGCTCTACTGTTACGTGCTCGTGGCGTGTTTCGCTGGCTTCTTTGAGGCCGTATGCCGTTAGTGGGATTGCGAGGCCGTCGAAGTCTTCCCGCGGGGGAGCGCCGGCTATCTCTAGTAATGTAGGTGCAAAGTCGGCGTGAGTAGTGATGATTTCGCTGGTTGACCCCTCGGGAACTCCCGGTCCTCTGATGATCATGGGGATGTTGATGTCTTCCTCAAAGCTACACTGCTTGGCCGGCGCCATCCGGTGCTGGCCGATATGATACCCATTATCCGTGGTGTAAATGATATACGTATTGTCCAAGATATCCAGGGCTTCCAAGCGGCGAACTACGGAATCCACAATCTCATCCACGCCCTGGAGAGCTCGAAGTCGTTGCCGATAGAAGTGGTCATTGTAATCGACGGTCTCCTGGTTCTGTTTCGGCAGCTTCCGGATCCAACTGGTGCTAGACGGCTTATCTGGATTGAAATTGGCCGTTCTCGGGACTTTTGCTCCTTCAAAGAGGGTTGAATGTCTGTCTGCTGGGACTGGTGGCGAGAACTCGATATCTTCGAGCTCGCTGTGATTACCGTGCCGGAAAGCGGGCGAATACAAATTGGCATGTGGCGCGACAGGTGCAAGACCGAGGAAGAACGGTTTCCCAGCTTCATATGCTTCATCTAATAGTCCCAGCGCCTTCTTTGCCAGTACATCGACACTATGCTGGCCTTCGTAACTCACTGGTGTGTCGTGATATCGTTGATAGGTGCTATTCATATACCAGTAAGTAAATGGGTCCAGTAGAAAGTCCTTCATGTTGTCAGCCCATATTTATTCCCTTTTCTTCTCTTTCCAGCACCGTAGCTTACCGAGCCATTCCAACCCCTAGCATGTGGTTTATCATACGAATCAGTCGAATGACCATTCAGAAATTTTCCGGTGTAGAAAGTATTGTAATCCGATTCCTGCAACCAGATCGGAAGATAATCGTCATTTAGCCCCTGACTGACAAACTTGGAGTAACCGCCTAAACTTCAATAAGCACAACTCGAGATGTGATGTTGGGTTTCATACCATATGGGGCAACGACGTTGGTCACATTAGTATTATGCACCAACTTGCCCGTCCATAGTGTAACTCTAGAGGGGCAACATAGAGCCGTTGTGGCGAAGTGTCGCTTGAAAAAAGTACCACGATCGATCAGATGCTTTTTCACAAATGGCATATAATCAAGTGAGTTCATATGAAGGTCCTGGTCATCCGTGAGAATAAAGACAATATTCGGCCTCGACTGATTCTGGCCCGTGCCGCCGCCATTCAGGGGGGCGAGCGGCTTCTGGTCGACCGGTCCAAAAGTTGTCCCACATGCGAGGAGGGAGTTATGGATTATTGCGATAACTAAAGCATAGAACGGCAATTTCATGGCTGTAGTTCGCACAGGGGCGCAGTTTGAGCATTCGATACTCGGATACTGAGAATTTCAGGAATAGGATGATATGGTTCATCTCCAGGTGACATGTATATGAAATCTCTCGCTTCGTACTACACTCAGGCTCCTGAAATTGAAGTAAGCATGCAGTAGAAACGAATGTCACCTTGAGTGATAGCCACGTGCGGCAAAAGGCACAGAATCCGGATGAATGTCATCAACCTCTCTGCCGGGTCTTACCCCGCATTATTAATATGCAGAAGCGATGTATTATTGCATCAAGGTAACTGGCGATTTCTGGGGTAGGTATCTCGAGAAATATTTGCGCTACATACATATGCTATGTACGTAAGTAGATATCTTGAACTACCGCTGAAACTATCATGGCAACCGTCGTCCCTTCGCTAGTATTCGAGAAATCCGCCCTTACCGATGATGCAGAGTTTGGACCGGACGAGGAAAGAATCAGTGATGCAGTTCCTCCGTTGGGGAAGCCTGAAGCTCGTAAGAAGTTCTGGTTCCAGAAGTCGAAGGACTATGACCCAGATGCGATCGCGACTCAAGTATGATAAACCGCAAAGACGGAGAGTGAAGAATATGCCTGACTAACACTCGCGACAAACAGCCTAGCGTTTACGATAATCCCGACGTAGCTCCTCAGTATAAACCTCGCGATGATTGGTAACATACATATCTACCTACACAAATCGTCAGGTGTATTCTAACGTACTTACTCTAGGGAAAACATTCACAGATTCGACCCAAAAGCGAGATGGACATGGGGCGAAGAAAGCAAAGTGATCCGGAAGATCGACTGGCGGATCATGACCTGGGTAGCAATAATGTTCACAGCGATGGAGTTAGATCGCGCGAACCTTTCCCAAGCTCTTTCTGACAACTTCATCGAGGATATGGGTATGACTACAAACGGTACGTTATTAAAACTCGCTCCGAGCAGAATGCAATCGTTCAAGCTAAGTGAGCGATAGACTACAACCTGGGCAACACGATCTACGCTCTCTGCTTCCTCGCCGGCGAGTTCCCAGCGCAGCTACTCGCGAAGTGGCTGGGACCCGATCGATGGATCCCATCCCAGATCGTGTTATTCTCTATCGTCTCTGCATCCCAGTTTTCGCTTCAAGGACGTCCATCCTTTCTCGTCTGTCGCGCACTCCTAGCTTTGCTGCAAGGGGGCTTTATCCCCGAGGTGCGTAACCCCTATCCTGAGTCTGCGTGCGCCAGCTAAATGCTCCTTGAAATTAGTGTGTGCTGTATCTTTCATACTTCTACAAACACCATGAACTTACCATCCGCCTGAGCTTCTTCTGGTCGGGAATGTTCATGGCCGATGTGGTTTCTGCAATCGCTGGCTTTGGATTGCTCCATATGCGAGGTGTGGATGGTCACCCTGGCTGGCGGTGGCTGTTCTTGATTGAGGTGAGTTGAGTGGCATCTAGATCTGATACTTAATCGAAACTGATGCCTCAATAAGGGGATCATCACTGGTATTATTGGCCTTATATCGTATGTCATGATGCCAGCAGGGCCAACCCAAACAGCAGGCCGGTGTCGAGGAAAGCATGGATGGTTCACAGAGCGGTACACAATGCCCCCTAGGTAATTCTTTTTTCTCGCAGGGATACGAACGTACTAATCATCACAGTGAGGAAATAATCATAGTCAACAGAATCATCAGAGACGATCCAAGCAAGAGCACAATGCACAACAGACAGCCCATCACCCCAAAATTACTCTGGAGAAGTTTGACAGATGTCGATCTCTGGTAACTCGCTCCTCCAGCCCCTTTAGCGGGACAGCAATGCAGCTAACACGGCTCAAGGCCACTCTACGCCATCGGGCTCACCTTCAACATCCCCACCTTCTCGCCACAGCAGTATCTCACCCTTTCCCTGCGAGGCCTGGGCTTCGACACTTTCCAGACCAACCTCTTGTCAATCCCGTACTTGGTTTTGAAGAGTATGTTTTCCAATACTCATTCTTCCAGGCAAATGAAACTAAACCACGCCCCAGTCTTCAACATGATGGCGCTTAGCTTGCTCGCGGAGTACACGCATCAACTGGCAGCCAGCGCATCGATTTTCCAATTCTGGTGTCTGCCATTTCTAGTCTATTTACGGGTGGTGGACACAACGAAGGCATCGAAATGGCTGACCTGGGCGATGATCTCGTTGCTACTGGCAGCTCCCCTTGGTAATCCTACCTATAAATCAAGTATTTCTTCAGGTTTCGACTAACAGATTTCTAGGTCATCCCGTACAAGTCGGCTGGATCTCCCGGAACGCGAACTCCGTCCGTTCCCGAACTGTCGGTACTGCGCTGTACAACATGTTTCTACAGGCCGGGGTGATCATCTCGTCTAACATCTACCGCGCGGACGACGCTCCGCTATATCGGCGAGGGAATAGCATTTTACTAGGTATCTTGGGCCTGAACCTGGTGCTTTACGTGCTTGCAAAATTGTACTACGTCTGGCGCAACCGTACCAGAGAGCGGAAATGGAATGCCATGACCCCTGAAGAGAGGCTGGTCTACCTCGCTGACCACCAGGATGTGGGGAACAAGAGGCTGGACTTTAGATTGGCATCCTGAGATCAAGCCAGGTAGGTTAGGCATGCCTTTAGTATACCTAGTAGACTTTTAGCAGTCCAGGGTGTGAAGATTCAGTGCAGAACCCAATATTCATACATCTGGCACACACCCCTTAGCATGCTAGTAGGGAATCTAGAATGGGCAAAAACTTGATCGAATCTGCAGAAAAATGGTTCAGACTCTCCTGTGTATCACATTTCCGTGAACTACCTAAACCTGGGTATCTAGCTACACCACCCTCATAAACACTACCCATGGATCTCACATAAAACACCGCATAAAAGGGGAATCATTTCAACACCAATCCATCCCCGCCCCCTTCTCACTCCCCTCATCCCAACCATACGCAGCCCAATCACCCCAAACCAAACTCCCCACCCCCTACTTCCGCACATTAAAAACCACAACCCTCTTCTCCCCCCTAGCAATCTTCTCCATGATCTCCTTCGTCGACGGCAACCCCGCCACATAGCACTTCCCAACCAACGCCCAGCTAGAACTAGGCAGGTGCAGCGGGCGCAACACGACCGCGCAATCGAGGCCGTCAAGGAGACACACCACGTCGCGGGGAAAAGTGCGGGGCGGGCCGGCGCCGATGCGTTCGCCCTCGGTGTGGAAGAGGGTGTGGTTGCGCTGCCAGGAGGTTTCTTTGCGGAGGTGGGGGATTTGGTCGTCGGGGGTAGCAGAAGTGGGAGTATTCGCAGGAGTAGTAGCCGCCGCTTCAGACCCACCAGTAGCATTATCCTCCACGTCCCCATAAAGATTACTCTCCAAAACCTCTTTAATCCCCTTCAGATCCCCCTCCGGAAACTTCTCCTTCGCGAACTCGGCAACCAGCACATCGTAGAACTCCGCCGCGATTGGATGCCCGCGCTGCACGGGGAACCGTTCTCTCACGCCCTCGGGGCCATCGACCTCCCCTCTGCACAGCGCCTCCAATACTGCTTGCAGCGGGGGGAGCTTTTTCTCAGCACCAAACGCCTTGACCTTGTTCTGGCCATTTGCGTTCTCGTCCTCCTTAGTCCGCAGATCGGCCAGGAAGTCCATCGCGAAGCGCCAGAGCCCCTTCCTCAGCGCCGCGTCGTCGGCGGCTCCCGCGCAGGGGAACGCGACGCGGGTAATCTTGTCGAGGATGACGCCGCGGATGCGCAGCGTGTCACCCTTCCCCTCGTTTTCCTTGTCCTCTTTATCCTTCAGCTCGAGCTGCAGCGGGGAAATGTAGGTCTCTTGGTACCAGCGATAGTGGTCTGGCGTCATTTCCAACACCTTCTCGCTGCGTAAGTGTTTAAGGTTAGTGAGATCCGGGACCCAGGAGGGGAGGTCGCGTGTGTATTCATGTGTGGAGGCGCTGCTGTCGTATCCAATGCCCGCGTACGCGAGCAGTCCGCCGTGGCCGCCTGTCTCGAGGAGCAAGTTGGAGAACCACTCCGTGTACACGTCTGCGACGGGCTTAGTGTAGTCCGGTTTGATGTCTAGACGTGGTAAAATGTTCAGGAGTCCGTATATGGCGTCCCGGGGGTCTTCAATGGAGCACTGCTGCGCGACTTTGACCACCATCGCGTTGGCACCCTCTGTATCACTTTCCCAGCAAGTCTTCAGCTCCTCCACGAGATGGAAGGTTGGTGGTATGAGGGGCATATTGCTGGTAATAGCCTCCCACAAGAGTTCCGGCACGATGTCGGGTTTCTGCGGCTTTTCATCCCTAATCTGCTCGATGAAGCGGACGTAACTCTCAAGTTCGCGGTAGCTGATGTGATTATCGCCGCAAAAGAAGAGATGGGTATCCGCGGAAGCCAAGGCCATATGCTGTACAGCCTTGGTTGTGGTCCAGTATGGTAATTGCATGAGCTCCGCGACCATGTTCCATTCCGTATTGTATGATGGGAAGTGCGAGTCCAGCACTAAGTATTGCGGGTAATCGGTCCACCATTCGAAGTCATTATCCGTCAAAGGTTGGTTCGGGTGATCTTGTTTCTCTTCTATCGCAAGGGCTATTTTGCGCACCAGGTCTAGACCAGTGTCGCAAGGTGCCAGCCACGAGATGAAACGGTCGGCGCGCCCGTACACCAGCTTGATGGTCTGCACCTGTGCATTGCGCTCCTCGATATCGTTCTGGTCGATACAGATCGCGTCGACCCATAACGCGAGAGGTTCCTGGTCCCGAAACATGTCCGACTCTCGAAGTTGCTGCAGAGCATTGCACAGGTTTGTCGTGATCATGACGGTCTCGCCATTGACTTTTATCTCCTCCGTGGCTGTTCCATTGTCGGTCGCGTAAGATAGAACTGCATATCGAGGGCAGAATATCAAATTAGTTGTGATCATGCCACAAGATAGAGGTGCTTGTTTATTCCCGTCCCAGTCTAGGTAGATTAGCCGTATCTCCGACTTGTCGAGATCCATCGCTTCGTAAATGGAGGTCGTCGACACTGTGGAGGTTGTCGACATTGTAGAGGCTGTCGACATTTTTGCTTCGTTTATTGTAAAGGTTTACCATATCCAGGTGGTTTTCTTTTTCTTTTTTAAAAAAAATAAAAAAAGTTGGAATATGGTACCGCGAAAGAAGAGGGAAGGGAACCAGCACCAAAATTCGAAGGTACGTATTTATATCGATATCCGATTTGAGTGCCTCAGGCAACTAATCTGCTCAATCAGTACTGCTCTGATTCACAAGGGAAATGGAACTCCCTCACCTTCGCCTCACCTTCACACTGTAAAGCCAATCATCATTTGTGACCTAGCTACCAAACGTCTCCGCACCCACAACAGGTGAATCACGTACAGTATGAAGAGATGGAAATAAAAAGGTGAGATGGAAAGCAATATCGTAAATTCAATACACGTAGCCATACTCCATATTGCTTTTAGGGTATCCTATAATATCACAAATCCCAAAATCCCAAGCCAAAGCACGCTTTCCTTGCTGTTGCAATTCATCATCTTGCGCTTCCCGCACACCTGCTTTAGTGCTGAAAGATCTTAATTTCAGCCTTATCCGAATCTCATAACGCCGGTTCATCGCCACCCTATCACATATGTATCGTTCATTCATACCGTCTGTATCCGTTTGCTCTTAGGTACCACCGGCCCATGTGCACCAGCGCCGGCTTTTTGTCGACGACTTCGTTTCATCGATATGGGCGGTATGAAAATATTGTTTGGCCCGTTCCCGCCCGATGATTCTTGGCTCATAACAGGGGTTAGAGGGTGTGATTGCTCCGAGTCGTCACCACCATCTACCTGTTGTTCCGCGCCCGCGTCAATAGACACAGCACGCCCTTCTTCGGCCGCATGCTCTTTCAAAACTTCTGAGACGCCTCCCTCACGCTCAATCTCTTGCCACAAGTGTTCATCACGGGGGAAGTAGATTCGCTGCAACGCCGTGAGGCCCAGTTCGAACGCAAGCACAGCCGCGGTCGTAGCTCCAGCTATTGTCCACCAGCCCAGCTTGTTCCCAAATTCGTGTACGAAAGAGCCGCGCACAATATAAGGTCCGAAGCTTATTGGATGGGCAGCGCTAATAAATAAATTCCACACAAACCAGCCAAGAACCGAAAGGAAAAACCCAACGAATGTGATTACTGTCTTGTGATGGCACTGCAGGATCCTGACAAACATATTAGATAAATCGACAAATAAACCATGATTGGGAGGTCCAAACACGGTTAAACTTACAAGATCTTGACATTAATAATAACCACGGCAACTGTAAAAGCTAGTTGCCCGAGCGGGAAAAGCGAATTGTTCTCGGTGAAGAGAATATCTTTGAAGAAGCCCCAAACCATCATATAGATAATAACAGTATCGACGGCGCCCGTGAACATCCAGGCTATATACTTCTTGAAGTTGAATGCCTCACTCCGCTGCCCAAACGAGTAGAGCTCGGGGACGGCTAGTAGAGTCTCGGCTTTCAGATCCTTTTCGAATATGCCAAGCAGGATAACCGGTAGAGAAGTGAAGAGTGCATTAAACACCGTCAAACTCCACGATTCGAAGATCGATGTACCCGTGTAGCCATTCCAGTGTTGGTACTGACCTTGGATTAGGTAAAATACTATCTCCTTCCAGAATGTGGAAAGTATATACTTTGCGGTGCGCAGATACATCCAGCGACCATGGACAAGGAGGAGCCTTTGGAGAAATCGAAATTGAGCGATGGAATAGTCGGCGACACGGGCAGCTTGGAGTCCCTCGCGGCCAGATATACCGATGCCAACATGGGATGCTTGGATCATAGCAATATCGTTGGATCCGTCACCGATAGCTAGAGTCAGCGATGACGGCACTGTTTCGCGAATTGCCTTCACCAAGCTAGCTTTTTGGGACGGAGAAGCTCGACAGCAGATGACAGAGTCTATACGCACAGCGAGATCGTAAAACATTATCTTCAAGGACTCGTCCTTTTCGATCATGCCTAAGGTATGGCCGTCGACGACGAGGACGGAATGAGCCACCAGGCCTCGACCAACATCTATCAGAGTCGAAGTTATCTTCTCATGCAGATCATCTTCTGAGGCATCAAGGATGTACATTTCGGAGAAGGGCTTGGCCAGCTTCGCCGAGTGCGCAATATTGATGGCAGTTTCACGTTTATCTCCAGTAAGCATCCATACTTTGATGTTCGCCCTACGAAGCTTCTCAATCGTTTCAGGAACGCCTTGTTGAAGCTTGTCCTCGATGGCAGAGGCGCCAGCCAAGTCAAAGTTCTGTTCGATGAGCTCGGCAGCATCCTCAATGCGCTGTTGCCTGTCCACCAGACTTGTAGTCGCGTCTCGGTAGACTTTCCTCCACTCCTCATACTCACCGTCATTCATATATCGATAGGCGAAAAGGAGGGTTCTCAAACCTTCAGAGGCGAACTCGCCGACATGTTGAAAGCATCTCTCAAAAATGGCGCCGTCGTCAGCAGCGAGAGACTCGTCTACAATCCCATCGTAGATTTGATCGGATCCGGCAACCAACACTGGCGATAGAGCTAGGGATCGGCGGGGTGCATTCAAATCCATATCGTACCTTGCAACATCATCCAAATCGAGAGTTTCGCGCCTCGTTAACCAAGTGTCAAGGTCGTCAGAAATAACGGAACGACGATTAGCCTCCGTAGATCTACGCCAACTGGTTCTTCGGAATATGCTCGCGTGTCTGCTTATGCTATTTCTAGGGCTATAAGTGCCACTTAAGCGACTCATGGCTCTCTCAACTTCCACACTCTTTCGCTTGCTGGCTCGCCGCTCCACAGCAGATGCTTTCTGTTTGGCGAGTTGTGCATTTCTTAGACGGGGTATCATGACATTATCAGCACCTTTGCAGAACACGCAAATGCTGTTATCGGGCATACGTATGACAATCGACATTCGCTTCCGCTTGCTGCTGAACTCGATCACATCCAACACATCATATGTCTCTGTAATAACTTCTCCATCCTGGTCACGAAATTGAATTTTAATACACTGGGTTGAGCGGTCGATCAGAAGGTAACCTAAGTCTCGCGCAGCTTGCACCAACGCGAGTTCATCTGGCGAGGCTGCTTGGAAAGCAATTTCGCCGTCATCTTTGATCTCCGGTAAGCAGGTATGGCAAATAGCCACGCAGATTAAAAATTGTCGAGCCTTCTTTGAAAAGGTAGTGTTCGGGTTCTGGTGAATATAATGCAGCATGGCTTCCGTCTTTGGTATGGACAGAGGGTGTTCGGATCGAGCCCCTGACCTCCCAGCAAAGCTCGAAGGGTGTTGGCTAATCAAAGGGGTCTCAATACGTTCGTCTCTGTCGGGAATAGTAGCCACACCAGATTCACCATCAACCTGCCCGCCTAGACCTTTTCCCTTCAACATCTGTGCTTTCTTTTGCTCATCTTGTTGTAAGTCCATGTCATGCAGCCATGCCGTGCCTGCAACGCTGAGTTTCCGGAAGCGCATCTTGTTTTCTGTCAAGGTACCAGTTTTATCAGAGAAGATATAATTGACTTGACCCAGGTTCTCCAGGATAGTAGTGGTGTTCACAACCATCGGTGTGTCGGTCTCGGGATCATACATCTCCACGTCACCCAGTAGGAAGAACTGTCCTAATTTGATGATTTCGAGACTTACATATAGAGACAGAGGAATTAAAGTATTGAAGGCAATGATGAACCCAAACCAGATATGTGCAAATGGCACCTGAGCGCCCTGAAGATAGGGGGCATGTCTTTCGTAAGATCTCCTCCAAAGATAATACCCACCCATACATCCCACTGTGAGAGTGAGAACGACAAAAACAAGGAGTATGACGATGCGATTGAGTAAGCCCTGCATCTTGGGCGCTTTGGCACCAACACCCTTGTTGGCATTCATACGTATTTTGCATTCTTCGCCCGTATTGATAACCAATCCAATTAGTTCATCGGTATTTCGTAGAGTTGAACCTCGGTATACAACATCGTTCAAGGTCAAAGGTCGAGTTTCTCCATCCAGAGTCGCACGGCCCTCAAAGCTATAAAGATCGGCATTGGGGTCTTCGGAGACGATCTTTGCATTGCAATTTCTTATCTTCTCAATCGTGTCGCATTGATCTGCTAACAAAGAACAGGCTTGTTTGCTCTTCAGGTTTGTCTCGCCATCAAGCGCCATCGTTTCGATATAGGCGACTCCATTGTGTCCAGTTGCATGCAGAATCACGATATCTGCTGGGAGACTGTCGTCTCTTCGTAATCGAATGATATCACCCACCCTGAGGTCCTGCCATTGAATTGCAGACCATGAAGATCCGTCGTGGCGTCCCCTGATACTTTGTAACTCCGTCATTCCTACTTCTTCATCCTGCCCTCTACTACGGCGCTTCTTAGCCATCCCTAGTACTGACTTTTTACGAGGTGTTTTCTCGACAGCTTCGTCCGGATCGAGCACATACGCCGGAGCCAGATTCTCCGTTTTATCGAGGATATACCTTCTATAATCGTCATAACCCTCTTTCGCCATACTGATCGAAACGAAAATAAGTAGTGGTATGAGGGTGGTGAAGGAGCCCGTGGTGCTCAGACCCGGTATTAATTGGAGTACAGCAATTATCAGGAAATAAAAGTTGGCAAGTTTGCTGAACTGGAAATAAAGCTGCTTGGGCACGAAGGACCATTTGGTATAGCGACTAGAGCGTATGAAGTTGGAAATATAGGGTTTACCACTGCGCTCATCGACCAACTGCTCCTTGCGAACGCCACCTGCGCTGATAGGTATATGTCGGCCATCGCGACTCGGTGGGAGAGGCTTCTGACGCAGGAGCCCTTCAATAATCCATTTCTGGTAGTATCGATTGAAGAGCTCTTCAAAATTCGCTCGTGGCCCTCGGGCTCGCTGTTGTTGTCGCCTGATCCATGCATAGTAGTTGTTCAGCCGAAACGAAGTATCACGGCCCGAGTCGTCCGTCTCTTGACTTCTCTTGCCAGGTTCAACTAAACTCTGCGACCTTTTCCTCTCCGTTGGCGTATCGTCAAGTGCGTACTCTACATGACGCCTTTCGCCTCGGTTACCGGCCGGAGTCGATGGTGAGGCGCGAGTTTGGGTGGGGTCATCGGGGTCCATTTGTACGTCTGAGTTCGTGGGGACAAAGGTATTTGTTCGTAGGGGCACTTCGTCGAGTGCAACATCGTTTGAAAAGCGTACGCGATACGCAGAGTTCGCAGTGTTTGTTCGCCTAGGACTCCAGCTACTACTCGGATCTCGTTGCTCTTCGGCACCGGCGCCTGAATGTGAGGAATTGGCGTTCAATGGGAATGAATGCTGGCGCGAGGTTTCGGCACGTTCGGATTCGTCGTCATTGTGACTCGACATGGTCCCTGGTGGGGATCCCGAGCGGGTATATCATGCAATTCGAGGGTTGCTGCAGGAATGCCCAGACCTACTAGAAGCAATTCAGGTGACGTTGATCGGCGGGGGTTCCGCCTCGGTAAGAAAACCCAGCTAATGCTTTTTAGCCCCTCGTATCGTGGACTCATCGGCCCGTTGTGATTGGGTGGTATTATATTAATCCCAGCTTTGTTAGTCGCAAGTAAAGTCTCCGGAATAGGCAGAATATCTATAAAATCTCGAGGAGGTGAATAAAATTTAGATGCTAGGTACCTAGGTAGGTAGGTAGCCAGGTTGGTGGATCGGTGGATTGGTTAGTATTTGGGTCTCTTGCCTTCGTCGTCGTTATCGTAGGTGAAAGGCGGTACGAGTCTGGTAGTACTACGTACCAGAGTATATACAGAGATTCAGTAGGGAGGGGGAAAGGGACAAGTATAGACAGAGAGACAGAGAGACAGAGACAGAGACAGAGACATGTAGCATTAAATACTGATAGGAAAGTCGCCAGATAAGCAGATCAATTCGTTCAAATACAAGTGCTTCTTCATCACTGTAACTCAACCTAGCGGCAAAGACGCTGGAAATAGTGGAAAGGTAGATGGGGGTTTATAGGTGCAGATGTGCCTCTTAGATGGTTACCTAGCCCTGTATGTATTAGGTGTGTAGTACCTCGAGGTACAGTAGGTAGGGCAAAACAAGGAAAACAAAGCCAAGAGGATGTGTCATCCATGAAAATGACCTATACACCTCGGACCGTTCTTGCAGTTTTTGGCGATTGATTGAAGCGCCGAGAGCATAGCCGTAAAAAGTCTAACGAAGCCACATCCTTCGTTCGGTACTTCCCTAGGTAGGTGGTAGTACTAGGTAGTATATACATACATGTACCTAGGTTAGGGTAGTACCTAGGTAATGTACAATACACAAGTCCATATCTGCCCAATGAGGACCTCTATTCTCTTATAAAAAGGCATGGATGTTTGGTATATCTACCATATCTACCTGGGTAGATAACAATTAAAGTTGATGAAGAATGCAAGTTGGGGTTTAGGAAAAAGTCGGGCTATCAAGACAGCCATGGAAGCGGCAAAGTCAACTTTTTCGGCTCCTATTTAGTTACTTACTCACAGACCAACTCCCACCAACTCCCCTACAATTAAAGCTTATTTCACCCATGTAGAAGTGTAAATAGCGGAGTCAAGATCGAATGCCCCGCGCTATTGGCATTTAAACTCAGGCTTGTCAGTTGACATCCCGGGAAGTACCTGGACAATTGAGTCCATGCGACTTTGACAGGTACCAACAATTACTCGATCACTACGGGGATATATTCTGTAGGCATTACTAACCTAGTATAATAGGAGGTAAGCACTATCATTGATATCACAGCAGAGATCTACACTTCAACATCAAAATATCAAACCGAAACATCAGAAGCCCTGGAGGTATGTAATCCAATGCAATGCTTGCCAAAAGGTTACATGGCCTGAATCACGTACAATACAGTGCTGTACAGAAGACACGTTGAAACATCCATGTCAGATAAAATACGTCACAGCCCTGCGCCACCCCCGACGATGGTGCCAAGCTGAGTACACATGAATGTATTATACATATTCAGTTATGTACATTGATAGCCTGGAGTACTATGCCATTTGTAATATGACGACGAATTCGGAACTAACGGAATCCTCACGATAGAAGTTTGCCTATATGGTATTTCCTATTTGAAAACCTCAATATTTTTTGCCAATTGAGCAAATCTCAAAGTTGGTGGTATAGCACCTTTAGTTGAATGACAGATACCCCATAAACTAGAACACACCATCATCAGACCACTACTACACTACACAAGAGGCACCGACTCACCAGCTTGCACTTATGTGCATCCATACCTCCAGCTAATGTATGTATGCTAATGCTGACGCTGTGCGCAAAAGGCGCGCAACATGCTAAGCCACCCCTTAGTGAGGATAGAAGTTGCCTATCACAACTAACCCCTGAAGGAGGTAGTTCGTAGGTAATTATTGGAGTAAGATGATGTGCTGTCCTGATCTCAATCTTTGTTCGTGTTATACCTAACCTAGGGGATCAAATGTGCACATAGCCTTAGTAAGCACAATAAGTAGCCTTCATCTGGGGTTGTTAATCGCCAACGATATAAACCTTGGAAGTATTACAACTATTTTTAAAGAAAATAACCCCCAGAAATATATTAATAGGAAGCACTACACTACCACTTAGGAAGTCCTAGGTAGTAATAGTGGCATACATACTCGAACGAGTCTCAATAAAGTCTAGACACTCATCCTCTGATAGGCCGTCTCGCTATCCCCTTTCGACACGATTATACGAAGTAAGCACTAACATCTAACATCTAAGTTTATATAATCCTACATGTAGCATTGCCGCTGTCGAAATGTCAACTTCTATCGACAACATACCTATAAGCTGATAACGTAACGGCACAGCAAACCCGCTATTCTCGCCCGAGTAACAGTAGTGTCCATCTGCATCCACTAATACAGGCAACCGATTGTCCTTGTGGTTCCCGGGGCAAGGGGTATATGTGTGTTGGTTCAATACCAGCTATTATAGCAACGCAGGCTGAGGGCAAAGCTGAAAAAGAAGACTCTCCAAACCTCTGCTGGCTAGCGGATCTCGTGCCACCTTCTTCAGGGGGTAAGTAAGGGTCCTAAAGCTGCGGTGGGACACCCACGTCTTCCAGTGGCTACAAGAAGAGACTAAATATCAGACACTGCAACAGAAACAGTTGGTATTTCGAAACCATAAAACTTGGCAAGTGTTTCCTAAATACCTACCTGGTAGATGTGAGTAAAGGTATAAAGTAATGGATATATCAAACATCACCTTTAACCCGAACCTCTCAGTCACGTTCCCAAAAATAATAACAAAAAAAAAAAAAAAAGCAACTGGCGGTGTATCCCACAAAGTCCATAAAGTCCAGACAGTAGCACAATAGTCTAACTGCGCCTGGAACCCGCGTTGCTTACCTACATCGCAGCCGTCTTGCGCTAAAGGGCCATTAGTAGATGTATAAAATCCGATCTAACACGCGCCGTCGTTGAGATCTTTCAGCTGCCGCGGGGTCGGCTCGGCGGAAACGGGGGCGAAGGCTTCCAAGGCTGTCACCCTATTGATGCTACACGTTTTGACTAAAAGAGTAGCCGTGGAATATAGGTGTTCTAACAAAATGGCAGAGGCCTTTACGGGAAACTTTTCGGAGGCAACTTATGCGGCTAAATATTGCTATAGGTACAACATCTGTCGTAATGTGCTGCCCTTATTGACCGCTCATAGTAGATCTCGTTAGCTTAGCCCTGGTGTCCGATCAGGTATAGATATAACGATTTATCTACCTAGGTATCCTAGAATTAGGGCTGAGTTGTGTAGCTGATATCTAGCTTCAGGCCCTGTAAAGCCTCATGTGACAACATCAGCATATCAAGAAGCCAAATATTGTTGACACCAGTACATCAATAGTAGCCAAACCACATAGACACGAACAACAGAGGCTGCGATTGCCTAACTAGGTAGAGGTAGGCAGAGATGGATATAGATATTCCAAGTGTAGAACATTGAGTCTCACGTCCGTTCCATACACCCATCACTTCAAGATCCATTTATTCCTAATTTTATAAGCACAACGGACCTCGCATATCAACTTCGAAAGTCCCTTTTGATGTCAATTAATACGCCGTGAACTCGCATCAAACGTACCTAGTAAGCAGTAAAACTCTCTTTAGTATACCTAGATATGTACATACGTAGGCAACTGCTCATCTGGAGCTATTTGAAGACCATTGATCCGAACATCTCATCCTCTCCCAAGTTACCTAGGTACTAGGTATCTATCGGGATTCCTAATGATCTACGTAATGCAACTGATGAATTTCTCAAGACGACCAGCCGTAGTAGGTAGAACAAACCTACTCTGTAGGTAGTTATCATAACTTCCGGGATGCAGACTACAGTGGTTGAATCACGTCAGACATTTTCACATGGACAATCAGTAGATGTCTTCATCTTGCATAGATCAAGCCATCGTCAGAAACTCAACTGCATATTCACAATTTAACAATGGATATCAATTCGCGTACTTTTAATTCTATATTCCGATGTATTATAACCCTCGCCATAAAGTCGTGACAAGGAAAGGACAGCAAAAGAGTATCTTCATCTTCATCGAGTTACTAAGGGCTAGTCAAGTAATCCACTGACCGAATGTAATCGAGACAAAACAGCGCCCAGGGCTTTCGCCGCAGGCATCGCGCTGTTGGTATCTCCTATACTGCCAGCCTGGACTATCTTTAACCTCAACCTTGTATTCCCGAGGTATCAATCATCATTATTCTCAGAATTGGCACCATACCAACAATAACAAATTCCAGCAGACCAGCTCTGAGTGCTGATCTCCGGCAGACAGTTTAAAAATTATTATCCGCAAACCTAAGCCTCCTGGGCTTCTTCCATATTCATCTTGTTTTGTTCACCCTGCAGCCGAAAAAAGATATCGCTTGTTTCGTAAATGTGAAAAGAAATAAGTGGCGATATTGTAAAAGCAGATGGTGAAAAGATGGATTAGATCCGGAATTCGCAATATTAGTCCAAACGGCAGAGGCCATGAGGAGTATAGAGGTTAGTGTGACCTCCAGAGTCGGAAAAGAAAAACAAGCAAGATGGTATAACAGAACGTAGAATTGCTGTACCAGACACGCACAACCGAGTACCACCGAAGTAAGGTATCGTCATGTTGAACTTCGCGGCCGATGGAAATTGATGAAATGGGACAAGAATCGAATCAAATCTCGTATGCCGAAGAGCTAATCGGAAGAAGGTTTGAGAGATGCGAACGTGAAGTGACCAAAACAACAAGAGGTATAAAGTTCCACAACGCCACAAGGAGAGTGACCCCAGCGCACAGCGGGAATCTTATAAACAAACAAGCTACAACCCGATTAAGGTTGCCCGGCCCAACAAAAATCAATATCATTGGGGATGCCCCATGTTCTCAGGAGATAGGCTGGATGGATCGACTGTGTCAAACTGAACCAGTTGGCTCATATCCAGATCACCCTGGCCGGATTCCACGAAGCCAGGCGAGTGAGGGTGCATCGGCATGTTTATAGTGTGTTTGGAATACATCTCATTCAGACTGTGTCCGTCATCCGAAATGGCAGACTCACCCATGCCATACAAATCAGCTGAAGCTGGCCGTTGTAACATAGACAGCGGGGGCGACTGCTCAACAATAGCCGGGTCACCATGACTAGTATACGACAACGGAGATACAGACTGCGGAATCTGAGGCAATGGGGAGAGGAAGGCGCCACTGTATGGAGTGTTAAAGCTCGAAGCGGGCAATGGCGTATTCTCTGGGGCCTGTGAGAAATAATTCGGGCTTGAATACTCTGACGGAGCTGTGGTAGCAGATAGAGGATATTGCCTCATATCCATGCCGTACGAAGCCTGCGTATCGATGCGCAAATTCGGACCAACGTTGTGAAGACCATTAGGCTGTTGCGGAACGGGCGCATATATATTGGGACTATGCGGCTGACCTTGGTTGTCGCCGGGGTGCTGGATATAGAACGAGGGCATCGGGTTCTGGAACATGGAGAAGTCGACAGCTGTGGGTACCGAACGACTACGCTGTCTCTTGTGACCCGGACCACGCATACCAGGCTGCATTGGGCTGATGCCCCATTGGGATTCCTGGTACATACCAACATGAGGCTGGCCGAAGCTAGGCTGCGACGAAGGCCGGTTCGTAGGAGACACCGGGGCCGAAACTGACAAGGCGTGGTTTAAGTCGAATGGGTTCTGGTTGTGGCGATTCGTGAAAGACTCTAGAGAGGCGAGTTTGGCAAGCTGGCCGCTAAGCACCTTTGGATTACCACCCAGGTGATGAACCAAACAGTGAGTAGCTTGCTGATCTTCAGTAAAGTCGCCGCATTGAAAGAAGCCGTTCGAGTTTGGTGACGAATCCATGAAGAAGTTCGGTGGTCGGTTCAACTCGATGACGATTCCGCCCAACTTGGTGGCATCGCCCTCGGGATTCTCCAAGTAGATGTTCTTGATGGCGTTGAAGTTGTATTCAATTTTGTATCCTGCCTGATCGTTGTTGATGTAGTAAGTCATGGTACACTTCTCAGGGGAATAGAAGATGATAAGATCCATGGTGTTTTGTCCAACACGCGTCCATTTTCCAATGCTCAAGGATCGGCAGGTTAGGTGGTGAATGACTAGAATAGTAAGTCATCGGAAGGAAAACCACAAGAATCGACGGCGCAACTTACGGACTTTGCCCTGTCCACCCTGCTCACCGCCCAACATCATCGATCCATAGGGTAACAGACCGGTGCGTCCCATGTAAGGACCACCGAGACCTTTACCAGATTCCATGGCCTGCATGGCCAGGTATGCTCGCATTGATTCGGGGATAGAGTCAATATCTTCACCAGTCTCTAGACTCTTCTTCGCGAGAAGCTTGATCTTGGCACGACTGTAGGGTATGAGCAACAATACCAGTCAAGTTTCATGTCAATTGGTACATACCGGTTCTGGAACCAGATCTGAACAGACCTTTCGGTCATGTTGATCTCCTCCGCGATTCTCTCCCGGACATTTGCAGTCGGGGTAGGGTTTTTGTTGAATTCCATTTCCAACGTCGTCAGCTGGTCCTGGGTGGCGCGCTGTCGCTTTTGGTTCTTCTGCTGCTGCGTTAGAGTGCTCTTACGCGGCGGACGCCTCGAGTTGGCATTGGATTGCGTCGATGGGGCAGACGGCGAGGGCGATTGACTGTTTTTCATGTCGACAGAGGTAGCCGGCGTCGACATGGCTTCAGGTGTAGAATGAACCTGGCCCGCGATAGTTGGTCCCGCGGAGCCCGGCTGTTCTACCTTGATGGGAGTAGTGTCCATCATTGGTCTGGTAGCTCAAGGAGTGTTGTGTACGTAGTACTTGGGGAAAAGAATGTCAGTCCGGGGTGATCGGCCTCGATGTCGGGGCTTAAACGCGATATCGATGGGCTTGTCCGCTGTCCCAATCACGCCCGAATATCAAAAAGATTATTATGGTTATATCTTTCTAAAGATGTAAAAAGTTGGTAATAATTGTCAAGGAACGTCGGCCCGAGGCAAATAGCTATATTTGAATAACTATAGCACGATGGTGGGTTGTTAAAATGTCGTCGACACAAGATACTACTACTAATAGGTATATTGGATAGCAAACGACGACAAGGTCGCGTAGATGCTGGACTGTGTTAGTTAAGCCTAAGGAATGAAATGGACCCGAAAGGAGTGACGGTGTCCGTAATGGCTATGAAGTGGAAAAGAGAGTGTGGGTTCGAAGAAAAAAGGAAATAACGAATACGGGGGGGGAGAAAGGGTAAGAAGAATTGTCGATAAACGACGATAGTGACAATACGGGTGAAGAAGATGAAGATGGAGAGAATACAACAAAAAAAGGGAGGAGGGGGGGAAAAGGAGGAAGGCCGAAAAAAAAATGCGTAAAGGGCGGCGGCCCAGCAAGAGCGAACTGAACTACCAAAGTATCCGTTAGGTAGCAGACACAGCCAGACAGTACAAGTGGAAGAGAAAGGTACCAGGCGGTACCTGCCTAAGAACTGCAGGCGACGGGGATAGACCTGGCTTGGCTTCGTAGGTCGGCCCCAAGTGGGTAGGCCTGGTACACACCAACTTGGAACTTGGGGAGGGGGGGAGGGAGAGAGGGAAGGAAGGAAGGAAACGGGACACCAAGCTAAATGGTTTAGGTGGGTCTCTCTATCAATTCATCGATGTACTGTAAGGTATGCCTGTATGCATGTGTAAAGTGTATGCATGTGTAAGGTGTTATGTATGTATAGGTATCATGGATGTATCTGTATGTATGTATTTACTTACCAATTAACAGTGAATAATACAGTAAACAACAACTACCGTGCTATACCGGCTTAAAGGTATGACGCGGGTTTTCGCGGGGGCGTGATGAGCTCTTTAAAGCTAAAAGAGAAGGGAGTTGTGGGTGGGCTATCGCCTGTTCCTGATGTTCCTGATGTTCCTAATGCGTGACGTTGTCCAGCCCAACTAGGTACAGTATGGAATATGGAATGGATGTGATCTTTAAGTGACCTATCAAGTTGAATATATGGAGCCTTTTAGTTTTTCTTCGAATTCCTATTTGCACAACTTGTTGAAGCTCTTTTGGCTTTGCATCCATCGTCTCCCTTCACAGCCCACACAATTCGCGGCACACCGTCTTTTTTCCCTCATGCGTGAGAGAAGAGAAAGGAAAAGAAAGATGGTGATGATGACGATGCTGCTGTTGTTGTTATTGTTGTTGTCGTTGTTGTGGCTGCGGTTGATAATAATATTAATAATATAAAGGTCGTGTATGCTCCAACCACACTTTTATAACAGGATGCAGCTTTTTATCCAAGTATAAAGTAGGTAAACATTGAAACTTCAAAACAAGAGGATAGCACCCGGAGGAGCATTTGTTTTTGTAGTCATAGCATGAAAAGGAGCCACTCACTTGCCTGTCTTCCAAAATCCAAACTGAACTGACTTGAGAGTTAGGACAAGTCCGAAGTGGATCGCCGAATGGACCCTGGATAAGTGGACCAAACGCTGAACAGACCAAGATGGTGGAAAAGGTCTGGTCTACGAAGTAATCAACCAATGTACATGGATGGTACAGCTGTTTAGCTGTAGCAACATTGAACACCATTGTGGGACTGATCTCTGACGATGACTTCCACTGTACAACTGGAACCTGAATCTGAGAGATAGGAAGCAAGTGTTGCCCTTTGCTATTTCAATTCGAGGCTGTAATGTGCTACATACACCTAGAATAGATACCTACTTTTTGTAGGTGCTCCTGAAGAGTACATAATTGGTTTAGTTGCATAACTAGAAGATAGTATGTAACTATTGCCATACTTACATAGGCACACCAGAACGTACTAGTCAGTTATATGTGATTGATATCGATATCAGTGTCTTCATGCGAAGGGAAACTTGTCATTTTCCATTCCCATTCCCCTGGGAATTCGACAGGAGTTTGGGGGGTGTTTTGCTTTTACCTATCTTACCTAGGTAGTAGGAGGGAGGATTATAACCATCCTGGGTGGACAGTGTGTCCTCCCTGGAAACCACTATTTACTAATTAGGTAGAGGCAGAAAGCAGAAAAGCCCTCTCTGGCCAGCGGGGCGGTTGTGGCCACGGTATCGGATAGGAAGAGCCGACGGTAATCCTTGCCTAGTAACGCGCCGCATTTGATATAGGTATTATTGCCCTTCGTGCATACTCGTGTACAATACAAATGGACTTTGTATACAGCATTGATTGACATATGTATGCCTCGTGATTGATGTTGGGGTGTGCAAATGGTGACTATTAGAAAAGTTACTTAGCCTTGACAAGATAGTCTTGATCTGGCCGGCCTCATCAACAATGAAGTCCTTTTAATTTATGTATTTGTTGGCGATGCCGTTGACAATTAGCAATGTACGAAACTGTACACATACATGGATGGAAATGGATCTGTCGTTGTTCTTTCGTAGTACGATCCGAGTCGAGGAGACAGGACGGGATTAGTACGACTCTTCCCGTGCCGCCAGTCCAGCATGTTGGGAACTCCGATCTTCAAAGCGATGGGGGCTCAGACATTCTGGTCAAGGGGAATTGGACCCCTTCCCAAACTTTTCTCTCCAAAGGTCTACTTTTATCTTGTGCAGGCAATCGGAAGGCAGAATACTCATCAGCTTATCCACGGGCGATCTTGGATGGATGCGGTCTGCTTCGCAAAACTGGACAGAATCGCTTAATGGAACCCATACGGCGTGACACTCACTGGGGAACGTCCTAGGTATTTGGCACGCAAGAAACAAACGCATGATAGGTGCCTTCGTTTCGACAAGCCTGGATGGTGATCCGTTCTAGTGATGGTGGGGGATTGTTCGACGGCATATTGCAGCCAATTACAAGTCGCGGGTCGTCCCACTGCTCCACGAACGACAAGACTTTTTTGATGCAGGAAAAGGGGGGTTCAAGTTCAAGAACCAGGCTGCCAGGAAACCGTCTATTTGGTGTTGGACCTAACACCAACCTAGTATCAGTCTAGATATCTACTAACGTAGTTTACCTAGGTAGTCAGCACAATCGTGCAGCGCATAGCGAAACCGAAGACCTACATACAATGCATACATACATACCTAGTACATATGTATGTATGTATTATATTGTACAATACCTAGGTTAGTACAGTACCATACAATACCATAGAATACAGTACATACCTAACTAGGTCGCTGACTAGGCACCTAGTAGGTAGATAGATCTAGCGTGTGCATGTAGCCAGTGGCATTGAACGATCCTCAGGATCGATTGTATCCCTGCATGCTTTTCCGCAGCATCCAAGACATCCCACGTACCTAGTGTAGTCGACCGCGTCCGAACCAGGTCGCGACCATCTCGACAACTAATGGAAGTTAATAGTTCGACTACGGAGGAACTACACGCTGTTCCCCGTCCTTGCCTCAACAGGGACACAAGATAGGTAGCCTAGGTGCCTAACCTGCCTTAGGCGGCGCCTACATAATAGTAGTATTTCAACATCAACAGAGCGTGGAGGAGCTTACATACCTATGCATAGGAAGTATCGTATTATATTGTAACGTTATTGTACAATACATATCTTTTCTGGTGCGGCTTGCATAGAAGGATCACAGTGACTTGAGCGTGGGAACTGTGTGGATATACGTACCTGCATTGGGTATTGAAGCCAAGTAGCACTGCAGTGCTGCATGGCCATCGGTCGTGTTCCTGCAGTAGTGTACAGCCAGGTTCGTATGCTTTTCATACACACTGTGTAAAACACGTCTTTTTTTCCTTACCCCATCCATCCCAGAATAGATGGCCTTTTGGTCGCGTCCCGTTGTAGAGGAGCCGGTCGCAGACGCGCAAACTAGAATAGGAGCATTCCTTGCCTGTGCTTGTAATCCCAGGCTACTACACTATATGTAGGTACATACCTACTATGTATGTAGGTAACGACAAGTAGGGTATGTATGTGCAATGGATGGTTATATGTAGTTACATAGTTAGGTTGGATGTTGTTCCCGGCCGTGAGCGGTTGATCAGTCCGAAACGAAGACCGATAGCAAGCGCTTACCTCACGACCTCCTAGCCTGCTTCTTCTAGCCGCGAGGATGGTGCCGACTCGTTTTTTTCTTCCTTACGCAGTCAGCCAATTAATCAATGAATCAAGTCTTTAGCATTTTGACATGTCGCCTTGAATAAGGCTGGCGACTTATTACCTTACCACCCTGTCGCCTGGGATTTGTTAAAGCCCTGGAGGTGTTAAGGGCTGTCTACCCACGCAGCTCACGCAGCTAGAATCCCTTGCAGATCTATCGCATTCTGTTGGTGAAGACTTTCGGATGCCAAGCTCCCACGAGGACAAACTTGAGGCCGGGTTGAAACTGTGACAGCCTGCCTACTAATCAATAGTAGCATAGCAAGTAGAGGTATAATAAAATCTGATCTTTTAAGAATGCAAAGGGGGCAACAAAGCCCTATGCTGACGTAAATGGCATCATCATCGTCATCATCATCGAAAATAGTATAGGAATTATTATTTGTAGCCACATGAATGATGCATCAAAAATGCATTCAGATGTCTTTTAACATTCAATGTTTAGTTAGTTAACACACAGTGTGTTAAGTACCTATTCTAGGTAGGGTATGTTTAATAGATCGACATTCAAGGTACCTACCTCCAATGCTACTTCAATGTTAGCTTCTCACATCAGCCATCATCCATTAGCCATCAGCTCGAGCCATTTTGTGGATACCTACTTGACACCCCTGCAAACTAGCGGTACGTATCTGGCACTAGTAAAGTTACCCCTGAGCACTTCCATGGATCATCCATGACCTATGATCCGTGTACCTGCATAGAAAGAAGAATCACGCGCTCCATTACCCGCTTGTACCTTGCACCATTCCATCCCATGCCATCCATGATCCATCCCATCCATCCCATCCATCCCATCCTTGAGTTACACCCTCCTTTTACACTTTTTCCAAAACACGATCGAGCGATTATGAGAGGAACATCTTATGTAATTGGTCTCAGCCTCTTGAACATAGAAACATTGAGAATCTCAAGGTAGGTAGGTACTATGTAAGAGGTATCATTGTAATAAACTACCTAACCTATCCTAGGTGCCTAAGCTTCTACAACCACATGCAGGCCTCGCTACACTATAGTTATCCATTCACATGCGAAACCTCCAGGGCTATCTACCTAGGGTACACTGCCAATACCTTAGGTAGGTAACTAACTAAGGTATGTACGTACGTGAGCCCAGAAATCGACCAACAATATTGGTTCAACGTTCAAACTACTACATGGTACTAACTAATAACTATTTACTACGTAGTTAGTGACTGGGAAAATGTTCCAAGATCCTTCCAACGGTGCCAGTCATCGATCCCGCAAAGCCGCATAAAGGGGGAAACCTAGTACCTAGTAGTCACCAAGCCCCGAGAGCTATATGTAAGTCTATATGTAAGTCGATCAGCACCGTGCGCTTGTGGTCTGCTAGTTTAGCTAGCTTCCGATTCGTCAACTTCACAGCTTCGTCGTCATAGGTATTACATCTCGCCTTCTCTAAATGCATACACACTTACCATCTGTAAGGTACGCCTGGGCAGACAGTACTGTCAGTACCAAGAGCATCATCGGCTAGCCTCGTTCTATGGTTTCCTCCATACATACTACTACAGTACTATGTATGTACTAGGAATGTTCTACATCTGGGAAACCTCCAAGCCGTTCGGCATCGGCGGAGCTAAGCTCTCCTATCCATGGAACTAAATCAAGCATGGTAACCATCTCACAACGTCACATTTACAAGCCAAAAGTCTCAAGGCCAAGCAAGCGGCATTTATGGACATAGAGATCGTATTATAGATCATTTTGGAGATCTACTGACACCATGGTCCTGATACTCTAGGCAATGGATGTTGAACCTATCTTTGAGGCTGACATTTGCTTATCTATTACCTTTAGTTACTTCGTATCCCCAGAATGGCAAGAGATCTAGTGCTACTAACCAAAGCAATTTTCAGAGACAACGATTAAGCCAAGGCATCGTGGTACTTCGTTCATAGACCCCATACTACATGTATGTATCATATTCGAAGCCCCATTAACAGATAGAGGCCAACAACACCCCACAGCAGCATGAGGAATAACCCTTTCTGCGCTTCAACCTCTTCCGCATCCTAGATATCCTTAGATAGGGCTCATGCATACTTGGGTACACACATTGTTTTGCCCGGTTCATATTCCTTACTGGGGACGAAGGACTCCGCAACTTTTATGCAGTAACCCAATACGTCGCCAGCGCCACCCACACCTCAGGAACTAACTAGGAATGTATGCATGAAGCTATGGCTTGGCACAGCCAATCGTCGTATGCTTCCCCTTTAACCCCCCTGCGTGGACGCATGAATGATCAGCCAGACGGTTGGGTGACACACTAGTGTAGTGTAGACTCTTCAAAGTTCTCACGATGCTGTTCGGCACATATGTAATACGTACATTATACGGGCATTGCCGCGTTGCAGCTGCGACCTCACTAATGGGGCGATTGGCTAGCCAGCCACGGCGCAGAGAAAGCGCCTCTTTGCAACCATCGTCTCACGAGACTAATTTTTTTGCTGTCGAGTTAATATCTGACGATAGTCACGCAGTCCGGCATGCATGTCCATACTTCTATAATAAGATATACGGATAGCAGCAGCCTAGATGTCATAAGGGATAATGTCTAAACAAACTACTGTAATCGGCCGTTTCGCATTAACTCCATACGAACGAAACACGGGCTTCTAGAAGAAGAAGATCACTCGGGGGTTTGGAATGATCGGGGACAAAGAAGAAATCTTTGACGATCCCAGTCCCGAACCCGGGTCTCAGCTCCTTGTCCTTGATGGCAGACGAGGCGAGGGGAGGTAGGTATGTAGGTACGCGAGCGGCGTATGTACGAAAAAAGGAAGAAGGAAAAGGTTGTCCCCGCTTAAGTCACCCTGTTAAGGAAATCCGCATCATGGTTACCGTCTCGAAATAGAAAGGTAAGCAGGGCTTCTTCGTCCAAGCGCACGACATGTAGGTATTCTTACGTTATACGTTATGGTACATAACACCAACATCCTTCGCATCATAGCACAGGGGGCCCTTTTTCGTGTGTATCTACTACGCAGTATATCGAAACGAAACGAAGACGCCTATTAAGGACGTCTCTGTTGGGGGAAAAATCAACAGAAGCGTCTGCCTCTTTTCAACTAACTCTTAATAACTTATAGTAACATGCGTAGGTTACCTAACTACCTACGTAGGTTAAGTAAGATGCATAGAAACGACGCTGAGGCCGTGCACCTGGCCGATACTCGCGTTTGAACAGTACCGATTACACCAAATCTACTTACACAAGCGATATCGAGAAGACACTTCCCGATTAGTGACTATAATTCATTACCATGCGCTATAGATAGGCCACGGCTTCAGGCCCTACGCTTTCGTTCGTTCATCTGATGTTACCAATCTACTAATCTAGATACCTGTATACATACATGCATACATACATACATACATACATACATACAAGCCCTACAGCTTCAACTCGGCTCTTCCCGAGGCCGTCAAAGGTGACAAGGGTACCGAAGTATGGAAAATGTAACGAGATCAGTTCATTCTGACGAGTCCTTTAGCATACATACATACAGTGCATACATACCTTCTGCCGCGGGGCTACGTATGTCGCTTCTCTGTGTCGCGCATGCTAGATCACCATGGACATGAAACGATCAGTGGGTACGGTAAGCAACAAAAAAGAACGGACAGGGGAGGGGCACCAAATTGTGGTTGATGCGTATTCCGTCCCCTTGGCAATATGCCGTATCACCAGGTGAAGCTCTACTGCATAGTACTACTAACTACTATCATACACACTATCATACTACTATCATGCCCAGTGAAGCAAGTACGCCTGCTTTGATGGACGCGCCACACCGAGATTTGCTCTCGGGTTAAATGCCTAAGTAGTTGGCTAACCTCATGCGGTTTCTTGTTGAGTTAGCTAGTTAAAAATTAACTAAGCTCCGAGAGGCTATAAGATATAGGCCCGGCCCGCTCGGAGAGGTAAAACGGCTTTTGTTATACCTAGCTACCGGCCTATAGTTATACCTACTGGTCTATATACCTATAGCTGAACTAGAGAACTATACTACACAGTAACAGGTTCATCCCAACCCCCTTGAGCTGCTAGATCAATGCCTCAAGCGAGGTTTCTAGAAGTTTCACTTTGACAGGCAGTTAGTTATAACTACTTCCAAGAACTTGCCGCGAGGCGGAATCTAGAAGACGCAGAACATCGTCATCGCGCGGGGATCTCTAACATCTCCCCGGAGACTACCTACATACCTATGGAATCTGGTATACCTACACGTATGTAAGCTGTCTTCCAAGTTTGTTCTATCGAGTCCCCCCATGTAGACCCTTGGCAAAACTTAGCTGTACCTACAATAGTGCAATGGTATCATGGCCTCTTCGATTCCTACATACCACTCCTTTCCCACCGCATACACCCAGGTTAGTTGTACTAGTTTACGTTTTATTCAAGTCGCAAACACCTATGTAACCTAGGTATGTAGGTATATACCTACCCGATCTCTCCAACAACAGCCTCGTGAACCCTATGAACATCCTATGTCACGTCACGTCACGTCACAGCCATTATATTTATCCGAAGGATCTCCCCCATGCCATCTACAATCAGGAGGTGTAGTTCACCCCCCAACTTCCCCAATTGGCAACAACACTGAGATCCTAGTCTCTGCGGCAAAGCAAAGTTGCTTGCTTACCCCAATAACGTCGAGATTTCGGTTGCTCTCGGGCCGAAAGTTGGGAGCTGTGGTTGGTTCGGGGTTTAAGGTTGTTAGTAACTTACATAGGTAGGTAGGTAGGTAAGGAGAGGGATGAGGTAAGCTGGGTGGGAATATGGGAGGCGTTGATAGGATGTGGTACAGCTACATATATGGAATCCTGATGGAGCTATGTCCAGACGGGCTGCATTAGTGGTATCTGACGTACTTTATATGTACCCGGGTAGGCATGCCGATATATATATTTATCTCTAGATAGTTCTAAATATAAAATTTTGAGTTCTAGACACAAGTGTTTACAAGTCATAAGGATGCCACCAAGCGTGATCTTAGTCGAACCCCCCTGGCTGATAGCTGCCATAGTAGAATATAGACTGGCTTTAATGGCAAGAGGCTACCCAGCAGCAAGGTATACTCGTTTTAAGAATCCAATATCTGCAATCGGAAGTATATTGGGGCCCCTCGAGGTAATTAGGAATTTGAATCATTGCGGGACACCGGCTCCACTCCGTGATCACGGGCTGCTAACGGCCATATTCGTGCTGAGAATGGTAAGGCAAGGCGAAACGCGTAATAGCCAGATAGTTCTGCCGTTTGCTTCAACCCCTTACATCCCTAGCATAATAGCTCGTGTTTACCTAGGTTTGCCATGCGTATAGGAGGCTAATGCATGTCTTTCATTACCTCAGCTACTGCCTTTGCGGCTAGCCTCTTTCGTTGCTCTTCTGGTAGACCAGCAGCCGTTTCGCGGACTACTTGAAGCTTAGCTATCATCGTCTCTATCTGTTGAATATCTTCATCGCCAAGGTTCTCCTCATCGGCCACTTTGGTGGTGCTGGTACTCGATTCCCCGTTTGGTAACTCTTCTTCCGGTTCTTGCCCGGCCTCTAATATTGCCTGTTTCAGACCAGCGAAGTCCTCACGGTCGAAGCCGAAGCCTAAAGTTTCCGGGTCAAGATCGGGCCCCTTTTCTTCGGTGTCCTTATCTTGTCCGATACCTAGCTCGGCCTCGAAATACCCGAAGTCTGACCCGAGATCGTCAAGTGATGCTTGAGACCAATCGTTTGCCTCTAACGCCTCAAGAACGCGAGGGATGCCCATTTTTTCTGTGATTCTGATGAGCTGCCAGTCGCTTATATTCCTCCCACGGGCAAAAGGGGTAGTCGTGATATTTCAAACATACCGCCAAATTCATTCCGCCCTAGCACACTTTGACGCCTCACTTGGACGAACTCGAGAGCCGAATCGGAACAGCAATCCTCCCAGTCATCCACATCGTCGACTTCACCTACCCCCAAACATAGACATACTCCATCCCAGGACCAACCGCCCAGCCCATCCTTGATAACCTTGCCGACATGTTGGATGAGTTCACGTGCTCGGTTGCCCTCATCTGATTGAAATTCTATAGGTAGTGAAAACACTAGCACGATGCCCCCTAGCACCTCAAGGACCTCCTTGGCTTCTGAAGAAAGAAATGAGGAGGACCATTCTGAGGGTGATGAGATGAGATCTATCCATATGGGTACTTCGGCTTTGTAGTAAGTTGTCTTGATGGAGAGGTTATGTGATGAGCCAGCTAGTGACGTGGAAGCTTGTTCCGGAAGCGTGCCGGTGAGATCTTGTGGCGGATTAGCTTCTGGAATGCGCTTATGTAGGTAGACAGGTAAGTATTAAGTTAAAAGAAGATACGATGTGATGGATAAGTTATGACGTTTAGAATAATTCAATGTTATTGATTACCTTTGATCACTGTGGTTAAATGGCGTGTTGAGTCGGGATCCGCCAACGAGACGGCTAATATCCGACGTGGATTAGTTACATCTATGATATCCATGATAAGTTGTGGATGAGGGCGGAATAAAGGCGAGATGGTCTGATAAAGAGAAGCTTCTAATGAAACTTTTAATAATCTCCAGGACTTTGATGATGGATCATTGGTGGGTACTACTACGACATAGTATGATAAGTACGAGACTGACGGGGAAGAATTGGAGGGGCAATATGTAACTACATATGTATTTACTTGTATTTACCCCGCTACCACCAATAACTGCATATTGATGTGATGTTGCACTTACCCGGGCAGTTGCGGCCGTACTGCAATACCTAACCTAGTATGTACTGATAGTATGAACGAGTACATATTGGATGTAGTACAGAATACCTAGGTAGTAGCGCCCGTGGCGTTGATGCCTTAGATTAGGTAGGTAGGCACGTATGTAGTGATCATATTAATTTAATTCTAATTCATTGATTGATGCAACTGATCTTTTACCTTGCATCTTTCAAGTTGTTGCCATCTAACTACTTACAATATTGAACACCCAACATTGAATCCAACTAAGTCGCCATGTCTCACCCCGAACCATCTCAACCGGTCCATTTGACCAAGGCCTCTACTATTAAGCCATCGGGTGGACAAACAGAGGGCATGATCCGATCAAATGCCATCGTCGACAAGTGTGACGGGATCTGTGCTACCAGCATGCTTGCCAAGCCACATACCGCCTCAGCGGTCCATCATCATGGGGCTCTAGACACCATAGTCTACGCTGTCAAGGGTCGAGGTAGCGTTGTCAGCGAAGGGGGATCAAAGAGGGTCGACCTAGAACCAGGAGACTACGCATTAATTCCCGCATATATGGAACACCAAGAGATCAACGACGGCGATGAGGATGTGATATGGACTATAGTGCGGAGCGGAAGGATCCCCGAGGTCGTCAATTTGACCGGTTGGAACGGAGATCCTATCAAAGATTAGAAGCCTTTGCGTCTCCTATAGGGACGAATGGAACATGCTTCTTGCAGCTATATTCAACCAAATTTCAACGCTTCTCTATCTATCTATTGATTCTGTACGTATCTGCGATCGATCGGTATATCGTTAAAATATATCCAGGAAAATTCATGTTATCTCGCTCATGCACGCTCATCAATCAACCCCCGAAACTCTCCGCAGGTACTAGGTACTAGGTACCTAGTACCCATGCTTCACCATGTTATCACTGTGATGTTTCCTCTTCGCCTCTTTCAGCCCCGGCCACCATTGTAATCAGCACCGCCGGCCCTTCTCAGTCTAGCAACAATCTCTGCTTCGTCGAGATCGGCTTTGTCGCGGGCGTCGATCGAAATGCTGTGGTGGTTAAGGACCCTCTTAACGTTGCCGCTCTCGATGGACACGCGTGCCTTGCGCATGACCTTGGTGTTCTCTCCAATCCAGACGACGAATACGAATTTGACTCGTTTGCTCTCGGTGTCGTTTGCGTACTCTACGCGGACGTATCCGTATTGTGCTTGTGAAGCGTCCAAGTTATTTGCCAGCTCCTCCAGCCCGCCAGAGCCCGTCCCCGACAGCTTCAACTTATCGCCGACGGCCCCGGCATATGAGAGAATCAGCCAATTCATCGGGTCCTTGTCTGACCGTATTGCGTCGTACGCAGACAGGACCTCGGGGGCGTCGGCACCGGACATTTTGTGCTGGCGGGGTATTAGGTACCTTGGGTATCTAGGGGGTAATCAGGAGGTGTGTAGGTACGGGACTTAGGTATTCGAGTGGACGGGTGTACGGTTGGGGTCGTTCGTGTTTTTTCGTTACTATAACATGCGGAGATTGACTGATGATGATTGGCGAGGCCAATGGGATGGTTTTCGTTGCCCGAGTACGAGTCTCGAGTATCCTGCTCGGGAATGGTTCGGTGAGTTTGATCCAAGGAAGTTTTCTGCCTTTTTATTGCCAAGTAGCATAAAGGGTGAGGACTGGCAACGGCCCGTTGTCATTGGTGCCAACTGGCGGAATACCCCTATTTATTGCCAAGACCCATCGCTTGCATCCGAATTAGGTACTTGCCTGCCATATTAATTATAACAAAGGTATATGAGTTTCAATCCCGTGATACTTTTTAGCATACTAGAACTACTTTCATTTACTACACTTTCCGTGAAATGTTAGGAAAAAATCTTGGTCATTTCGTATTAGGATAGGTACCTGTGCAATATGTATGTAACCAGGGTAAGGTGCGCCGCCTAGGACTTCACAACTTCACAACTTTCTTTCTAGCGTAAAGCTCAAGGGTGATTGATTGCCAATGGACGTTTTCTCTTGGGAATCATCAGAAATGATAATTTTGGGGGGTTGAGAGCGTGCTAATTGGTACTAGCAATAGAGTATCTAACTAGCACTCCGGGGCTATCTTACTACTATCTTCGGAAACTAAGGATAGGATTCGTTTAACCTGTTACCCTTCCACGGCGAAAAGAAAAAGGACTGAAAATCTCCAGAGACCTCGCTCTCGACGTTGATATTCGCACAACGGGGATACACCTGTCATAAGTGGATGAAATATCATGCACATACGTATTAGCTAACAGCTAGCTAGTGGACGGCTTCTTATTGTCGAGCTTCGACTCGCATCCCCAACCTATACCGTAGTTCGCCCGCGACAGCGGCGCAATTCCTCCGGTGGGGCTGGCGCCGTTCTTAGACCTCTGAGCTCATTGCTGCTATACTAGAAAAGGGTTGTGTTTGCTTTTCTTTTGATTTTTTTTTTCATAGCTACCTATGTGCCTTAGAGGCTACGTTTAGTAATTCTTTCAATGCTCATTGATCATGGCTATTGTCTTATTAATGAGGCTCCTAGTAGTTATTGTCAACGGCGTAGATGCCAAAGTGGAGGCGGTACGGGCGGTTCCAGAAAAGGTACGGCGGCAGTGCCCGAGATTGTGGGTATTCCCCGGCTCCGTCTATTGAACTTGGGTGAGATGTCACGGGACATAGCTACCTAATGTCTACAGCAAAATCACTTGGACGAGTGGCGGGCGCTACGGCCCTACGGAGGTGGCTCCTGTAATTGAAAACGTGAAGGGGGTGGTGTTGCAAGGATCGGGTTGGAGCCCGGTTTCGAATAAGAGGCACCGCCACATCTTACGCCCTCCCTCTATGTGGGAGCCTAAGCTAGCACCTTACATACCCAGGTATCCTTCCTTCAAACCTGAAAGACAAAAGTCAGTAAATACCTATGTGCCTAGGTAGGTTACCTAATTATCAACTTGACCTTCAAATCATCAGTCTATACACATGAAAGAAATGGCGCAATGCAAAACTTGCGCTGCCTTAACGGTAGAAGATTTAAGAAGTTGTTCGATCTTTTTCCACCCTAATCTACGATCCCTCCGGGACTCTGCGGCCGCCGGCTGTGACTTATGTATGTTATGTTGGATAGCCATCCAGAAGAACAACACAGCAGATGATATCAAGGCCGTTTTGGATGGCAAATTAACGAGTATCCACGACAACGCAGGGCAACCGTTGCCCGATGAGAGGGTTTGGCTCACCGGACTGTTCACGGATGTATTTCGCAACCCGAAAGGGAAGGAAACAGCTAGCGCAGCTTATGCCGCTCGCGAGAATGAATCCAATGGTAGTGAGATTTGGGTAGACTGTGGAAGTAAAGAAGATGCGGAAAAAAGCTTCGGGAAGCATATGTTGAGCGGCACATTAAACGTATTTGCCGATCCAGGTTTATATTCCCCAGCCCTCATCTTGTATTTGATCTTCGCTAATAATCATAGGAACACCTGCCGCGTCTCGCCTTACTGAACGCCTTTTCACTGAACACAGAAATATAAACGGGGACATCAACTTTGCCCGCTCTCTCATGACTAAGTGCCAGGGAGGACATCCTGAATGCAGAGCTACAGACTCGGAAGAAGTACCTGTGATGCCTACGCGGGTTATAGACATTGGTCTCTCTCCCGGCTCTATGAAATTAGTGCAGACTTCTCAGGAGACGCTACGTGAGCCATACATAGCGCTATCCTACTGCTGGGGACAAGGGGCGAAAGATGCTACGGATTTGAACGACGATAATATCTTCTTTCTCATGGAATATATTGACGAAGATAATCTAACCCTAACGCACAAAGACTGCATCGCTATTGCCCGCCAGTTAGGCATACGCTACCTTTGGATTGACTCACTATGCATCATTCAGAGGAACCGGGCAGACTGGGAGTACGAGTCCAAAAGAATGGCAGAGGTGTACGGCAACGCAGCTCTTACTATCATCGCTGGGCGTGCGGCGGACAGCCGTAACGGTTTCATGATTAACAAAGTCGAACAAGCAATGCCACCCTGCCCGTTATCATTTGGTAAGAACATGGGTAACGTCTACCTTAGTCTGCCCCGTTCGAAAATAGAAGGCCCTGTCAGCACACGAGGGTGGTGCTTCCAAGAAAAGGTCCTTAGCAGACGGGCACTCATCTACGCGACGGAGCAAGTCTCCTTCTCCTGCCAGCGGTCCCAACTATGGGAAGATGGCAGGCTAACAATGCATGATCCATCTCATCTACGAATAGGATCATTCCCAGACGCGCCAGAACTTACTAACATGAGCTCTAATGTGAAGCAACGCGAACTAAAACAGTCACGGACCAGAATGCTCCGTTTATGGTATCAGAAGATTCTGCCGGACTACACGCTACGACAATTGACAGAGCCTTCTGACATATTCGCTGCATGCAGCAGTATCTCGCAGTTGGCACGAAAGACGATTAGATCTAGATACCTTGCCGGCATATGGGAGGCAGACATGGTACGTGGCTTATTATGGTGCACTGCTTATTCGATCAAGGGGAATCTTAAGACGATTCGCTGGCCTAAATCTACAAGGCCAGTCGACAGAGATGGAAAGAAGGTAGTTCGAGCGCCAACGTGGTCTGTAAGTTACCTTCAACTACCTACTTAGTATTTCATTATTATACCCCCTTTCATCTGGTACCTGCCTACACGTAACTATGACCCTATTTGAAACCACAGACTTACCATTATCATCAGTGGGCAGCCATCCAAGGCCAAATACACACTCGCGCAGAGTATCTGCGAAAAGACGAGTTCTTCCAAGACCTCGATAACGTCCTCATACGGCCTTTACCTACATCTACACAATCATGTCCGCCTGACGATACCCGAATGAAAAGCACAACACCGGACTATACTCCGAGATGGACCCTTCTCCCAGACCCCAAATGCGATGCCGACATCCTCCATATGAAAACTTGCGAACTGGCTTTCCTTGGCCGCCCAAAACATGTCCGCTGTAGTATTCCCTCCCAACCCGAATTGTCCTCCTTTCCGAGCCTCGGCTGGCCGCCACGTCGCCGAGCCCTCACTGAGAATGGATTCCTAGCGGTTCTCCAGCCTGCTGGTACAGAACACGCCTCGCTGAAAGAGCTTAACCTACCTTCTGCCGAAATCTTCGCTCTTGCATGCTTTGATGTAGCTGAGGATAACATAGGGGCTCAGGACTGCTGGTTCCTGCCTATCCTGAAGGATAGACGCGAAGGGCTGTTGCTAAAAAAGGACCCGTCGGGGATGTTCCGGCGCCTGGGTATTGTAACGTTGGTGAAGGAGCAGGTACGTCTTTTTCGTCTCTTTAGTTCTCCACTTCTTCTCTTAGACAAGATACCCATCTATTACAGTGGATACTAACGCATACTGTTTGTACCAGTTTCGACCATGGCTGATCTCGGGCGCCGAGGAGGAAGTACATCTAATCTGACAGGATATCACTACCGCTACCTAACTTACCCCCCAAAACGTGGCAAAGCCATAGGAAGCCCAAGAATATGAGACTTCTACACAGTTTATGCTGAGATACTCCTAGGTATGGGTGATGGCCATTTCAGGAGTTAGCATGGCAGATTGGTCAGGCGGTGATCGAGTGCTTACCTGGCTTAAGCAGGCGTTTGCTTTTAGGGGAAGGGTTGCTCTGGTCTCAATAACGATATAACACCATTCGCACTAGACGTATTGCAGAGGACTTACACCTCATTTTATTAACTACCTCCCTACGTAGGTAGATACCTATCTAAAGAACCAGGTAATACGCCTACAGCCCCTCAATTTACACCAAAATAGGGGGTGACCACATGTTGCCTCAATATGCCCAGATTCTCTTCTCTCCCCTCGCATCCTTCACCCCTTTCCTGTTCATCCTCCCGTACCACAGCCTCAAGCTAAGAATCACTATCGCAACAAAGAAGTTGCACGCCGCACACACGAAATTGCCAGTCGGGTAGCCGTCCTTCGCCTCGTCCGCCTTCCATATCCACTGCGCGATTACCTGGCCGATCCCTGCGCAAGAATTATGCAGCGCGATGACTAGCGGGATCGTTAGCATGCTAGGGGTGTTGCAGACGGTGAGGTTGGTCATCGCTGGCGCTACGGGGAAGGCGCCTACGGCGGCCATGCACAGGCATCCGTATCTTGAGGTGTATGCCGTTGGGGGTAGGAGGCCGGCGCTTAGCCAGCCGATGCCACCGATCACGGAGGATACGGTGATGTGGTAGCCTCGGGCGTTGAAATGGTCGGCGGAGTAGGAGACTAGGATGGCGACGACGAATCCGACGACCCACTGTGATGTTATGTGTTAGTGACTGGTCCACTAGCTTGCCCTAAGAGGAGGTCGCGTGTAAGTAGGTTCATTAGAGAAAATGACTTGACTTACTGGCGGAACTGTCAACAGCTGGGCTTGAATCGACGTATACCCCAAACCAGTGACGATGGTAGGAGTGAAGAACGTAAACGAGCCTTGAGTCACCACATTGGCAATCTATTCAGTAACAGTTAGTCTACCTAGGTAAACACCTGGTATTGAAATAAACGATCAACTCACATAGGCAAAGTAGTGCGCCAACATTCGAGGGCTAAAAAGCGTCTGAACAAGCTCCTTCCGAGTAGCATGCTCCCTATTATACCCCCCGCCCCTCTCCTTAAGCCGATCCTCAGCGAAACTCTTTTCCGACGGACTCAGAAACTTGGCACGAGCAGGATAATCCGGCAAGATGAGGAGGGTGGGCACTACGCTCAAGATTGTGATGGTGCCTTCGATTATGAAGAGCCAGCGGAACCCTTCGAGATTGCCGGCCCCGTTGACGGTCGCCATGCCGAATGCGATGGCGCCTCCGAATGCGCCGGCGAGGTTGCAGAAGGCGATGACGAGGGCGATGCGGACGGAGCGCTCGTTGTGCCGGTACCAGATTGTTATGAGGTAGACGATGCCTGGGAAGAAACCTGCCTCGAACTATACAATATTAGCTGTATTGTTCCCCCCCTGATAGACCTACATGTGATGATAGCATGAGGTTGCTTACCACGCCAATAAGCATGCGCAACACAATAACCGTAGGATAGTTCTTCACCCCCGCAAACCCCAACGTCAAAGCCCCCCAGCAGCCCAGCAGAACCGCCAACCAAACCGACGGACGGATGTAGTGCTTCATGATCCAATTCGACGGCACCTCGAAGAGCGCGTACGCCACCGAGAATAGCGACACCGTTAGCGCGTAGTTAGTGGGCGTCATGTTCGTCGTGTGCAGGAGATCGTTGCCAGTCTCCTGGTTCAGCACCTTCGCGTTGCCGATGTTGCCCCTGTCGAGGAAGTTCAGCAGGTAGAGCCAGCAGCATAGTGGGAGAATGCGGATGTCGAGACGGCGGTTGAGACGTTTGTTGCGTGCATAGTCGAATTCTTCAGGGTTGTTAGTAGTAGCTGCATCTAGCGAGGCGTCTTTCTTTCTCTATGGGTTGGCGTTTTATCGGTTAGTTACTATCTTCCTAGGTATTGTAGAACACGTATATAAAGGTAAACTGCGAGATTACTTCAACTTCAACGTTACCCTCGAGGTGTTCTGAGGGCTCTATTTTCTCCATTGCTTCAGACTTTTGGTTGGGACGTTATCGTACACACACAGCACCTAAACATGGACAACAACAACAAGCTCAACTGAGTACTGGGTATCAAAGAGTAAGACTCCAGTAGGTATAATAAATACTCCATAAGGCAATATACACGGCTATCAGACGTCACATCACAGACACGCTCCTCCTCCTCGGCATGGCGTTGAATGGCCGGCCACATCCCGAACCTCTTTCTCCAAGGTATCTCCCAATGCGACCCCCACAACGCGAGAATGGGGCCGCCGGCCATCTAGCTATTACGTGGTAAAGGTTGATATAATTCCCATATTGCTGAAAGATGCGGGGTAGAGCCCCAGATTCAACTCTGATCACGATTGCGTACTAGGGAGGTAGATATATACCGAGAGGACCCTCCCCACTGCCGAGCCTACCCAGATCATTCAGATCACCCACTATTATATCGTCACTTGAATATGTATAAAATAGGCACTCCTATAACTGAACACAGGCACGCCTGCTGCCTAACCTAGACATCAAAAAGAAGACGTTGGGGAATACCTAGAACACACTAGGAATCATATTTCCGTTCATTCTTACTACAAATAGACTAGATCGTGGGGAAGTCTATGGGGTAGTTGGAGGTGGTTTCGCGATTCTGCGTTATGATTAATAGCGTGCTTAACCCTGTAAACCCCTTGCGCTTCCATAGAGGAGAAGTTGGCGAGTTGAGTATGATGGTTACGATTGAACTTTCTGAAGATGATTGGCCAGCAACCTTATATACTCAGGTAGGTAATACTGTACATTCTCACTGTAAAGGTATATCTAGTAGGTTAAGCCGTTGTATTGTATGAAGGGATTAAGAGATCGCTTTTTTATTCCAAATGTATGAGGTTCTTGGGTGGAGAACAGAAACCCCCTTTCCCTAACACACGACCCAACGAGACTCACTCGCGCGGTATTCGTAGTCTTCATCGCCCAAGTAACCGTCACGAGATAAATAGAACACCAATGACATCTTAATCCACATGAAAGAGTTTGAATGCTGCGATTGAAAGTAAAGAATCCAGTAGCGACACCTTTAGATGCCCCTACCATATAAGATCTCTGCTTAGTCGCAGATACACCCGAAAATCCACTGCGCTGAGCACTTATATTATAAGGAGAGGCAAGTAAGGAGACATCCCTCTTAACGCATCAAACATACCATCACCAATACACCATGCCACCATTCCCAACTTAGATCCCAGCACCCAACTAACTCCCCATTCACAACGGAGCAACGTGTGCCAAGCCCAGACACCCCCGATCTGGAAATCTGGAGAAACATTCCGTTCCGCATTCGACACACCCGCACCTCTCTACCTTCCTAACTCAACTCGACCCACCAATCCCAACGCATGTGCCATCGAGCAAGACAAGCTTTTCCCTCGTTACTTTCGACCTTCCCCTTGGGTACGATATATCACGTTGACACTGCACAGAGCCGTGCATGTATCCACCTCCTATCACATCCTATCCTCTTGCCCTGTCCATAACCCTACCTTGTCTCAGAAACCATCCCATTCCAGTTATAAGTACGAGGTAATGGCCTCATGTCCTAGCAACTGTTCAAGCAAGCTAGGCAAGCCGGCCTCCTAACTCCGACAAGATGGATCACACGGAGGGAGAAGCAGCGGAAAGAACCGAATGTGAATCCGAAAAAGTAGAGCTTTTGCTCAATTTTTCCATGGAGCGCAACGGTGATGGGCTGGGGTGATAGACTCACATGCTCCGAATGATAGACAGCAAGGGTGTATCATGGAGTCTGCGAAATCATTTAAAATGCATGCATTTCTCCTAACCTTGACGTAAAGAAATGATCGACAAACAGGCTACATCATCTCTCAGCCTCAGATAGATTGCGTGATCGTCACGATTGATCTTCAATTCCTTTTCAGCTTCATATTCGGCTACCTAGGTACCAAGGTAGACAAAACTCCCACCTCACAATGAAGTGGACCCCCATCGCGGCCATCGTCGTCTTCGGCGCGATGAACGTGGTCGGCCACGCGACGTTCCAAGATCTTTGGGTCGATGGCGTCGATATGATAAGTACCCTACCTGCTTACCTGCTTAGGCAACTTACCTATACAAAAAGGGGGCGCTAACACCCACAGCACGGCGCCACATGCGCAAGGCTCCCGCTATCGAACTCGCCTATAACGAACGTAGCATCCAAGGATATCGCCTGTAACGCTGGGACAAGCCCCGTGTCGAAGAAGTGTAGCGTAGCGGCAGGCTCAACAGTGACGATTGAAATCCACCAGCAACCCGGTGACCGCACCTGCGCCACCGAAGCCATCGGCGGCGCCCACTACGGGCCCGTGCAAGCATACCTAAGCTCCGTCTCCGACTCCTCTGCAGCCGACGGGTCAACCGCATCCTGGTTCAAGATCTTCGCCGACACGTGGGCCGCGAACCCATCGGGTGGCTCAGGCGACGACGATCACTGGGGCACCAAGGACATCAACACGTGCTGCGGCCGCATGGACGTCAAAATCCCCGCGGATCTCGCGGCGGGGGACTATCTACTTCGGGCCGAAGCGCTGGCGCTCCACACTGCGGGGCAGAGCCAGGGCGCGCAGTTCTACGTGACGTGCTTCCAGCTGACCGTCACGGGCGGCGGCAGCGCTAAGCCTGCTGGCGTCTCGCTGCCTGGCGCGTACGAAGCTAGCGATCCAGGCATTCTTGTTAACATCCATGCCAAGTTGAACTCCTACACAGCGCCTGGTCCGGCCGTTTATGCTGGCGGTTCGACGAAGAGCGCTGGCTCACCTTGCGCTGGCTGTGAGAATACGTGCAAGGCGGCCCGAAGGCGTTTGCGTTATTGAGTATGCAAGCTTTTCCAAATTACCTACCTACTAGCTTTCTGTTTGATCGAGCAGGGGTTGCAATAAATTCAACAATTATGCTCGCTGGAGTGAAGTTAAAACTGTGAAGCGAGGTGAATTGAGTCAGGGGTGATACGATCGTTAGGCGGTTCAGAGGAGGTGCATGTTGAGTTGTAATCATAATCTTGATGCAATGTTAATTCATGTACTGTATATAGTATTTCTCGCTCCGCTAGAGCTTGTAGGGGACGGATCTGCCAATTATCGTCATCACCGCCTCTCCCAACGGTCCCTTGCCCGCGTATACCATGTACTCGTCCATATTCTTGGGTATCATAATAAGGCAATGAACAGGAGACGAAAATTCGAGGTGGACACAGACCAAACCGTAGGCGTAGCGAACATCAACGCACCTCTATACCCAAATCTTTTCTTTGTTTGGAAAATCACGCTACCGGGGGGCCAATGTAATGGATACGGCCCCATGCAACATACCATCCAATAGATATCACAGTGAAGCCTACGAAGACAACCGAGGCGTAGTTCATGAGTGCTGGGTCAACTACCGGAACGATAGTAGGCATGCAAAATAACGGGATAGCGAGTAACGACCAGCCTATATATTTGTTAGCCTGGGAGACAATGGCCAGGTTGAAGAGCCTGGCACGATAAATCAGGAGAACTTACAGGTTGCCACGATGTTACAGAACCAGCCAAGCGGTGCCCCCAAGTTGAATTTTGCAGTGCTCACCGTCTTACGGCCAGTAAGCATGCTAATCACGATCGGGGCCGCGTAGGAAGCTGTCAATGCTATGACACCAACGCCTGAAAAGGCATTGAAGGCAGCAGTTGAGCCGAAGTAGATGGCGCCGAGAACGATTTGGACCACCATGCTAAGCATCATAGCATTTAATGGCACTTCATCGAGTCTATGATCGATTTGCTTCCAAAGTCTCGAGCCTGGGATGGCACCATCGCGGGCGAAAGCATATACGCAGCGGCTTGTTGCAGTGGTGCATCCAATGCCGCAGATTAATGCCAAGACGAGAAGCGGGATAAGTAAACCGAATGCGCCACCCGAGTTACCGACGGCGGCTTTGATTATAACTGGGACCGGTTGAGCAGATAGAATGAGTTCCTGAATGTCAGGAAGAACAAAGACCAAGGGAATCATGAACATCAACCCAGCTACGGTGTTGATGCAAACAGTCAAAACCATGGCTTTGGGGACTTGTTCCGCTGGTGCTCGAACCTCTTCGCACATTCTAAGGATGTTAGCAAATTTCGGAAACATGAATCGATATGGGTACTTACGAAATAATCATTCCAGTAGAAGAAGTAGCATAGGCAGCATGTAGGAGACCAACCATGAAGGACCAACCAGGAGTCCATCCAGAGTTAACTTCAAAATGCGTGAAAACCCATTTCGCATCGTGACGGCCCTCTTTAGCCATAGCCAAAACACAGACGATGATCGCGACGACTCCAGCAAATGTCCAGAAGATTGCAAAAGTCTAGCGTTCGGTTAGGTTAGCATACTTCAGAGCCAAAAGTAGTTTGGTAGATAATTATTTAGGTTAGAATTATACGTACATCTAATATGGGTAACCACTTATTTCCAAGAGCGGAGACGGCATTACACAGACTGCGCGTTGGTTAGTACAGCAGATGCATGTGGGCGGCGAAATGCAGCCAGCATGGATATTTTCCGATACTGGAGACACAGCAGGATATAGACTTACAATGTGATCGCTAGGAAGACAAGGAAAACCTGCCAAGGGTCTCCGGCAAACACTAAGCCGCCGTCTGCAGCTTCAAAGACATTGATACATCCAACCAGAAATAAAGTCGTTCCGAAGTTAACAGCCAATGTGATAGTTACATTTCCAACCATATAGAGCCAACCACAGGTCCAGGCAGCGAGATGTCGCCATTCAGGGGGTGCTAACTGGAAAGATTGGTAGTAGACACCTCCTGCCGTGGGATAGACCGAGGTAATTTCGCCCAGGGAGGCCGCAACTGTGAGGATAATGAGCGATACAGCCAACCAACCCCAAATGATGCCAACGGGACCACTAGCAACTAATGGATAGTAGAGGGTAGTCGATAAGCCGTATGGAATACTCGCTAAAATGAAACTCATGCTGGCAACTTCGAAAGTAGAGCGATTCCGTTTCATTTCAGGAGTGTATCCCAAAGAGGTCAGCAGCTGGTCGGCCGAGTCGGAGTCGGCTCCGGCAAGCTCGGCGCGAAGAGCATCGCCGGTAGTCGTTATCGGCTTCTTCATTTGGCCGTCGTCCATTTTGAAAGAGAGTTAAGTTGACAGGTTAGATGGCTGAATATAGGCTTTCGAAGATGCTAAGGCGCAACTCGAATACGAAGCCGGAATAAACAGAATGAGATCGTATAAGAAAATATACGTTGTATGAGTCCCTTAATCCATATAGATAAGATATTTAAATGTCGTAATACTATAGGTGAATTACCGTCCAATAGAAAAACAGAATAGAGAGCGAGAATGGGCGAAAAATGGTGAAATAAGAGGATAAAACGAAGAAAGGGAAATCAGGTGGAAAATGCAGCGCGCAAAGCAATCGCGACTGCTTATAAGCCTGGGAAAGTTCAGGTGAATTGACATCACTCTTGGGAGAAGTCGCCGTCGATCTAAACTCATCCTTGCAACTTAGCTAGATAACCTGCCTCTTAGCGGTTAGTGCCCCCGCGTGGGAACCACGGTGTCTCCGTTGTACGACCTAGTTGGGTACCAGGTACATGATACACATCCCAGCTTAGCGCCATAAATACATGTACAGAAGAGATAAGAGATTGAGTTTAGACTTGAGTTACTTGGGAAAACTGTACTAAAAATATTGTACACTTAGATAAAGTCTGATAAAGTAGTACATGTACGTAGATGATCAGGAACAGTTTGGTACCTACATAATCTATCTCTATCAAGATTCAATATTGGCAATGCAGTACATCAAGTACCGAATATTAGTTCAAAGAAATAACCCTCAATTACGAATTTCGCATCCTCGGAAATTGGAAAGTTTAAATGATCGACATCAGTAGCTTGTTGGACCGCTTAACAACGGCCCTCACAGCCAATCAAAGAGCAGCTCTCGGTGCAGACTCCCGCTATCAGGGCTGACGGCGCCGGCGCAAAACCCCGGCGAGACTCGGTAACAAGAATAATACCCAGCAATGTACCGCAACTCGCACAGTCAAAAGGGTACATGATGTATATAGCTATACCTAGCTTTCGACTCAATCAAGTATGCCAACCTTTATAGAACATTCTAAAACGACATTAGTTCTAAGCTTAGAGCCTTAAGAAAGCTCTGGATTCCCAAATGACTTAGTATTCCTTACCATCTCCATCCGCTTGCTAGATTTCCCCGTGGGTTAGTCGATGCGGAAACAGATGTATGTAAGTACTAAAGCATAAGTTGCAGACCTGAGCTTCACAAGATTGTTTCTGTCATGGGGGACAAGGGTCTAACCTAAGGTCTTACGTACCTAGGTAGGCTTGGTAGGTCAAGCCGCTAAGATTCCATCTCGACGAATAAAATGTAGAATATTTCACAGAATAAGCGGTTTGTCGTTTCACAACCCAAAGCTGACCCAGTGGACTTAATGACTTAGTGCAAGGGACCGGCTTCTTAGGACAGGTATGTAGAACAGGCGTTCAACAAAAAAAAACATTGAAAATTTTCCAATTTACAGAAATTTAAAAACAGACCATTTTTCTCTCTCGCCTTTCTCTTCATGACTGGACTCAGTGGACTGGGTTCCGCTCAACCCGCTGTACTACGTCGTATAGTTGCATCGTTTGAGTTGGTTCATCTAGTGAATCAACAATCTCTTTCCATTCAATTACGAACTTGGGTCATCATCACCTGGGCATTTGGGCTGGGGGGTTTTTTCAGCTAAACCATTATCCTACTAGGTAAACAGTCAGGTATTCGTAATGCCTTATCTTCTTCCATAACCCAAGTCACATTCTAATCGGGGTTCTTTACGAATTCGGTTGCACGAAAGGGGCATAGGTAATTGATAAACACCCCCCAAGTTGTTAACACTTCAGCGCTGTTGATCTTCCAACCATTGATGACCTCACTCTTTCTCCACTGATAGCCGAGACGACTTCCGAACCTCCCTTAAAACTAATGCATAGTTTCCATTATCAAACAAATATCCTCCGCCATTCTCTCCTCTTGTCAGCGTATCGTTGGATAATAACAACAATAAGTGGGAGGGCCATTGGCATAATAGTCGGTCTATTGTCCTAATCTAAACAATCATGCTTGAAACCCAACGCTAGATAGGAATTGTCTCGGTATTCATTCACGCCTAAGATATCAACCCTTTTATAGATAGGTGCCTACATAACTAATAGTTCCCGAGCTACGCCGAGGCAACTCAAGCAACTAGGCGGTGTTATCTAAAATTATACAAGAGATAATCAACAGATAATCACAAGGGGTACGCAGCCAGAGATAGGAAAGCTCAGGCACAAGTGGCATCAAATCGTCCTAGTATATGTTTCAGCTAAAATGGCCATTTTATTCATTCATTAACCCATCTTTATCCCAATAGGAACATCAAACATCGAACTCCAAGTATCACTGTGATAATGAAAATCTCCGTCCATAGAGACGCCCGTGCTAGCAGATAACTGAATCCTAGGAAAGAGATACCGTAGACAAGATCTCGAAGTTGATAACTCCGACTACAAATTGTTTCCGGGGAACGCTTCTAGCAGTCCCCACCCCAACCTAATTGACGATTAACCTCAGTTATGGCATGTATGCCGGCTCTAAATAGTCCGAGTCCTCCGTCAACAGTCGAGTTACCGGTATCGAACGCCGGTTCGGCCTCTTGGGCCCGTCTCAAATCCGCGTGATCCAATAACCCCTGCCGCTTTCCTAGCACCGCTTTGAAAATAGTACGCCCCCACATGTTGTACCATTGGTCCTCACTGATGCTTACATACTCCTTAGGACGGCCATCGACAACCCGCGAGAACTCCCAATCGACGATAGCTACCTCCCACCTTTTCGTGCGCAGCCATAGGTACGGCCAGGTGAAGATAAATAAAAGGGTGACAGTGAACAGGACTTGTATCCACTTAGTTAGACGCCACCTGTTCGTCTTAGCCTCATTGTAGCAGTCGACGGTTGCGCCCTTCATCAAGATCTCTACATGAAGGTGCCCGCGGTAGTTCGCATCACGGACCAACTCCCGCAGTCGCTGCTTAAGGTACTCCTCATGAAGCCCAATCACTCTTTTTTGAAGGGTGAAGACCTTCAATCCCGCATGGCTCGCAGCATATCGGTGGCACCACTCCCTCAATGTTGGCTCCGTATCACCAAGCTCGATATTCTGATTTGCCGGGGCGCACTTCTTCAGAATGGTTCCCCGTTTCGCTTTTTCGAAGTTCTCCACGGTGCGCAGTTTCGACCACGACCGTCTGTACTGGGCATCGGAATACAAGTAGGGTGTTAATTCAACAGAAATGTCGAAATCGGTGATCGTATTCTTCTCTGTATTTCCTTTGCTATCTTTTCTTGTCTCGGAATGAGTTCCGACGAGCTTGACATATGGCCGCGGAGGAATTCCGGCGCATGTTCGAATATGTGCCTCTAGCTTTTCTGGATCTTCAAGACTCCGAGAGATGTACGATTCGGAACCAGTGTTTGGATCTTCGATGTAGGTACCGTCTGGAAGATGTGGTCGCGTAGTGGTGGCGGGGTTAGTCGGAAGCAAAGAAGCGGCTTCGGATGACTCGACAGCATCGCTATAATTCGGTGGCAAGTCGTCAATTGATATTTCGGGTGCATCGAAATCATCATAGTTGGGATGATCTTCTCTAGAGCTCTCGCCCGGGTTGGTATGCAGAGAGACGGCATCGGTTGCATCCTTAGGGTCCTGTTTATCTGATGGTTTCCCCATGACTCGTGAGATTTATATAAGAGCTTAGTTCGTGAGAGGTAATTGAGCAGAACGATGTAATAGCAAGCTGTCACTGGAAATATCGAGGCCTCGAAATGAATGGGTAACTGGTAATTGGTTTTAAAGAAATGGTACTATCCAGGTGTATTCAAGTTAAAGACATTGAAAAAGAATGAGAAAGACAAAGTTCGCGACTTCAGCCTCAGCTGAGTCCACCCACGGTCCATTGCAGTTGCCATCATAAAGCATTAGGTAGCATATTAGGTAGGTGCTTGCCTAGGCTGCCTAGATTTGCATCCATGGAGGTTCTAACTGGGCAGTGCATGTGTGGGGTCCCTGAGAACCCCCAGGCAGAATTAGGCTTAGTTGGAAGTGATTGGTGGGATATACGGCTACGTCAATGGTCAACCGTCAACCAACATGTCATGTACAAAGTACCTACTACCAGTGCATGTAACTCGAAGTACCCACAGCATTGCAACCTGAACATTGCAAGTAGTTATATTGAACGAAAAAACTTCACAATATTTCCACTTATCCAGCAGGCAGTATAGATCAATACTAACCTGAGTACTAATCACTGGAACAGTTATTAGGCAAGCGTTGAAAATATCCAACTCCGACACAGCGGCACACATGGTCACTACTGTAGAAGCTACAGAGACTAAAGACAAGGCCCAGACTAACCCTCTTACAGTAGATGGCTCGTAGACTTGTGCCGAGGCCCGAAAGAGAAGCGTACGTATGTAGTAATTACCTGACTTGTGACTTTGAGTTAGGGTTGTTACATAGCGCGATTAGATAAGCCATTAACTCACATGACCTTCACACAAAATAAAAATAAACCAAAAAGTAATTCCAAAACTGCAAAATCATTTCACATCTTTAACAGAAGAAAGAAAAAAAAGAAAGTTCTTTTGACAAGAGTGGGACTTGAACCCACGCGGATTGCTCCATGAGGAATTAGATGCTAAGGTGACCTTAACCTCACGCCATAACCAACTCGGCCATCTTGCCATGATTGCTGGGTGATATTCGGTTTTCTTATTGTCATTTAAGTAGATGCTAGGGAAGCCATGGACGCCATGGGCGCCTCAGAAAAGCTTCTGTTGGCCATTGCCCCTTGTACCGAAATGTCTATGGCTTGTTATCGCCCTTTTCTTCCGAGTTCTAAGTTAACTATATCGTCGTCGTCGTCTACAATTTCCCCTTTCTTTTGTCCTCTTCTATTTCTCTTGTCTCCTTAAGCACAACAGAAAGGCTTGCTATCATGATAATGTAGCAGACCCTTGACGACTTTTGACCAAGAGTTGATCCATGCCTATTTTCTTGTTTAGTATGCAATGAAACAGACACACGTCGCCAAATCATAAGATCATTCAACCATCTAGTCAATACCATCTACCTCTTTCACGTTAGATACTTGTTCCTGGCTAAAATAGCAAAAATGGATAATAAATGGCATATTTTAGTCACTTTTACCTACCAATGCCCACTCAAAATGAACCAAATATTGTTAGTAGGATCTGATGGATAGTCGGCACATCAGTCACTACGATGAAGGACTATGATGACTTGACTAAAAATTCACAGAAAAGAAAAAAGACAAAAATAATGCCCAACACAGGAGTCGAACCTGTTGCCTCCTCATTACGGGGTATGTATCGCCTTTAGGCCAGGACCTCTGAAGTTCGGACGGGACAGGAGATCATACTAGTGAGGCGCTCTACCGGTGAGCTAGTCGGGCCAGGTGTTGAAAGTTGTGCATGCTACAATAGCTTATAGACCTAGCTATTACCAATCCTTTTCCTCGAGCACAATATTTTTTTTCCTCTAACGATGGAGCCCTCCTAAGATTGCTACCCCCGAAGTCCTGCCTACCAATAGCCGCTTGCTTCGGAGATCCGCCGGGCCCGCTTAGGTCGTCTCGCAATAGCCTTTTAAGCCTCATGGCTCCCGGGATATACTATGTAGGGCTAAGCAGGGGATATACCTACTAGCAAACATTCACAGGAAGTAGATGGCCATATCCACACTCTAATACTTCTTCGGTTAAGACAAACTGTCTCAGAATGTCATCAAACTTTTCTTATAACCTACATATAGGTATCTTTGAGCCAAGGCCCTATAATGGACATATAAGTGCAATACAATAATGCATAGATCACGATCATGTCACAAATATTTACCTTTTTTTTTTTCTAGTGTAACTTTACCCGACTACGTGCTATACGTGTTCATCGAGTTCGAGAAAAATAGCACTCGATACTCGTTCTGACAGAGCTAGACGCCCGATACTGTCTGCTGCTGCCTAGGACAAAGGCAGCAGCACCGCTGGCCTCAGCGGCCCAACAAATTAGCAGTTATGTGCCAAATTGAATGTATCAGCAAGAGAGCCTCTCAAAGTACAACCTTGAGTGTACAATGTGATAGATATAGTCCATCTCATGCTCACGAGCTTTGAGCCCATCTTTGGTAGCAAAAGGGAATAGTTTAATCCTTCGGGCTGTTCAATACGGAAATTCTGCCCTCCTGGTGACATCACGTTCCTATGCCTGCCGTGAATTCTTGATCGCCGGTAGTCTCGACCGACTCCTATATCAACCCGCCAGTAATTGTTTTCATTCCCAGCGATGCGTAAAGGCGACCGATCGGAGAGTGGGGTTTCAGGGAGGCCCTCGTCAGAGTTATAGCAACCAGAAATGGGATATTGTCCTTGAGTTGCTTCTAGCTAACAATACCGTCGTCTTGATGCAAACTAATACCCAACTCATAGCGTTGAACCACCATCTGGTAGCGAAATCAGTCGACAGCTAGTTATATTGGCCTCATCTAACTAGAACATCCTCGAACCTGGAACAAAGACTCTATATTCTTGAAGAAGGGTAAAATCGATAGACATGAGTGGCTTCGGAGACAAGGACGAAGGGAATCAACATCAAAGCCAGGATAGAGCTGACGCGTCTTTTCCAGGACACGAGGGCAAAGCTGCTTCTACTTCTAGTTTAAAGACTGATCCTTAAGAGAGGTGCCCGTGGCTAGTGTAGGTACACATTTTTCTCTACTTCGGATAGGTAGGAGTAGCTCGTCAACAATATACCTACGCCAAGTGATCTCGCTGATCTCGGTTTATACAACGTTTCCGAGGGCCCGGTTCAAGATATCGTGATGCCGGCCCTCCCGCAAGACTGGAGCCGCGAGCTTGGAATTCGCTGGAGAGCTTCGCGCCGAGTGCGTGTAGGTATTTCTTGTGTGTTTTGAGGTGCTTTTTGTGCTGATAGTACTCTATACATACGGAATATGAGAGTACATAGTTCAGAATTCATGACAGTTCATGTCAAAGTCGGTGCAATCTGTCACTAGCCGCCACCTGTAACACCAGCTGCATGTGCTAGACCAAGTCCTAGATCACGTGAGTTTACTATATCGCTAGATGTGGCCCCAACTCATTAAGCTCATCCCAGTCCCACATAACTAGCAAGAGAACCGCCGCTTTTCATTGGCCCACTACCACATTAAGGTTTCAATTGCCTTGTTTCCAAACTAGCCCTGCTGATTAAGCGCCTTCCCATTGGCCCAGTCCTCCTTTTAGGCTAAATGCCCGAGTTTTCGAGGGTTACTGTACGGTTTTTTTCCCAAGGGGATTTGGATTACTAAGCAAACGCGCTAGGCTCAAATAGGAAACCTTTTCCACTTTAGGAAGGTGGGGATGTTGTTCACGTAAGCTTGTGGGTCTCTAGGGGAGGAATTTTGGGCTTTGCAAAAGAGGAAGGTTTGCCAAGACTTCAAATGGTTGCTCACGTAAGCTTGTGGGTCTCTAGGGGAGGAATTTTGGGCTTTGCAAAAGAGGAAGGTTTGCCAAGATCCTCAAGCCACATATGGAGCCACACATACAGCCACACCTCAAGACTTAGAGGAATTTTGGGCTTTGCAAAAGAGGAAGGTTTGCCAAGACTATCAAGCCACGTGGGGAGCCACAAATGCAGCCACACGTATGGAAAAGTGCTTAAGCTTCAAGTCTCATTAAGTGCTTAAGCTTTCAAATAAGGAATATTGAAGGTTTAATATTATTATAAGCCCTGAAGACATTCAGATCCGTCAGCGGCCATTAAGATCTGATTAACCTATTACAGCTGTTATAAGAATGGAAAATATATGTATTCAATTACCTCAATAGCCCGTGCAAGAAAGTCGAGATTGGCTGGAATCACTGGAATTGTGGGTCCCAGAGGCTACTCTCAGGCTAGTGCCACGCAAAAGATTTTCAAGGTTTTGACACGATGATTTGATTGGGTGCAGTATCCATTGGATCACATGACCTGCTTTTTCAAGCTGCAACTCTTTTTTTTGGACTGTAGGAGCCATCAACCCTTCTGATGCAACCTTTCCAATTGAACCCTTCTTATTCAATTCAACTGATTGAATTGATCGGATTGATTGAATTGATCAGATTGAGTGAATAGCTGATCTGCATATCCTGTTGCAAGCTGGCTGGCTGGCTGGATAGCTGGTTGAATAGCCCGGGCCAGCTCATCCAACGTTGGATCCAAAGCTGGATCTAATAGCTGCTTGAATAGCTGATCAAATACCTGATTAACGATCTGATTTGTTGAGTGATTAAAGACCTAATTGAATAATGAATCAAAGAGACCAAGGGATTAATGCAATCAAGGGGATCTAAGAGCTGATCGAGAAGCTGAGCAAAGATGTTCCGGTCATGTGACTTTAATCAGGTCCTTAATCAGTTCTTAAATCCCTTGATCCCCTTAATCCCCTTGATTCCTTTAATCTAGTATTCAATCAGGTCTTTAATCAATCAATAAATCAAGTTGTTGAGCAGCTATTTGATCAGCTATTCAAACAGCTATTAGATCCAGCTTTGGAACCAGTGTTGGATAAGCTGGCCCGGGCTATTCAGCCAGCTATCCAGCCAGCTTACAATAGGATATGTAAATCAGCTATTCAATTAATCAATCCATTAATCCATTAATTCAATCAATCCAATCAGTCCAATCCGATTAATTCAATCTAAATCGATCAATTCAATCAGTTGAATTGAGTTCAGTTGGAAGGGTTGATGGCCCCTACTATACCAAAAAAGTGTTGCAGGCAGTCGCGTGATCCGAAAGGTGTTGCATTTAATCAGTCAGTCCATCAATCAATCCAATCAGTTCAATCCGATCAGTTCAATCCGATTAATTCAATCAGTTGAATTGAATTGGAAGGGTTAAATCAGAAGGGTTGATGGTTTGTATATTCCATACCATCAAAAAAAAAAGAGTTGCAGCTTGAAAAAGCAGGTCATGTGATCCAGTGAGTGCCACAGCTGCCCACATCAATCCAATCACATAACTTTTCAACAACATGTGGCACCACGATGCATCCGGATTCAATTGAAAGAGCATTCAATTGCCAATTGATTGATCTGGGCCCCAAACTGAGGCGATACATGGTTGCAAAGTTATTCAGGTAAATAGGCTGGCAAGATGGGGGCACGTGATTAGCGTTGGGGACACATTAAGGGCCTTTAGAGCCGCCTAAGAGCCCTAAAGCCGCCTGGGGTCACCCCAAGCAGTGTCACGTGACCCCTCTCAATAGTTACATATACAAAAATAACTTTTCAACTACGTATTGCCTCAATCCAAGAGCGGTATCAATGGATTCGTAATTGAATGCGCTTTCAATTGGATGCGGTTGCACCCTTGCAGCTATATGTTTCAGAAACGTATTCAAGGTTGAAAGGGTTGAATAAGGTTTAGCTCTAAGGGCTCCAAGGGCCCTTTAGAGTGGCTTCAAGGGTGATCACGTGCCTCCCATTCTGCCACCTATTTACTTGAATAACTTCATGACCAGATATCGCATCAATTCGAGACCGGTATCAATCAATCAGCAATTAGAGGCGCTTTCAATTGGGCCCGGGTTCACTATGGTGCAATATCTGATTCAAAAGTTATTTAAAGTAGAAAAAGGGTTGAATGTGGTTTGGGCTGGGGGCGCTCTAAAAGTGCACCTAAGGGCCCCAGCTTATCCAACGCTGGATCCAAAGCTGGAGCTGTTTGAATAGCTGATCAAATACCTGATCAAATACCTGATCAAATACCTGATCAAATACCTGATCAAATACCTGATCAAATACCTGATCAAATACCTGATCTGTTGATTGATTAAAGACCTGATTGAATACTAGATTAAAGGGATCAAAGGGATTAAGGGGATCAAGGGATCTAAGAACTGATCAAGGACCTGATTAAAGATGTTCCGAGACTTTGATCACATGATGTGATTGAAGTCACATGATCGGAACACCTTTGATCAACTCTTAGATCCCTTTGATCCCCTTGATTGCGTTGATCCCTTGATCCCATTGATTCAATATTCAATCAGGTCTTTAATTAATCAACAGATCAGGTATTTGATCAGGTATTTGATCAGGTCGTTAATCAGGCATTTAATCAGCTATTCAAGCAGCTATTAGATCCGGCTTTGGATCCAGCGTTGGATGAGCTGGCCCGGGCTATTCAGCCAGCTATTCAGCCAGCCAGCCAGCCAGCCAGCCAGCCAGCTTGCAACAGGATATGTATGTAGATCAGCCATTTAATCAATCAATCCATCCATAAATTCAATCAATTTAATCAATTCAATAACTTCAATCAATCCGATCAATTCAATCACTTGAATTGAATAGGAAGGGTTGAATTGGAAGGGTTGAATAAGAAGTGTTGATGGCCCGTGTGCTCCCTACCATCTAAAAAAAAAGAGTTACAACTTGAAAAAGCAGGTCATGTGATCTAAAGGGTGCTGCACCCAATCAAATCGTCTTATCAAAACCTTAAATACTTAGCGCTGCGCTAGCCCGAAAGCAGCCTTTAGTAACATTAAAATTGAGTCCGAGAAAACTCGGGCATTTGTGGCGCGCGCGAGCGTGTGCCCTCTAGTTAACCCATTATAGGGCTTAGCGATCCTTCCTGATCGGGTAATACCAGTATTAGGTATGATGCAGCGATTTGCTGTTCGCGTGAAATGGATGACGCCAGACGAGATGGTAACCCTCCTAAACTCGAGTATATTGCACTTTTGTAAATTTGGGCGTAGAGTTGTAATGGATACATGTAACTATAGAGAAATGATATATACGAACCGTGCATCTTTGCAAACGCAAATCAAGTCAATATCTCCAAAGTTATAACAGCGATGATATAGCCTTTACGATGCTAGGTATATTGCCGCGCATTATACCTACATCACGACAAGCATATAACCAATGTCTCAGATTCTTGTGATCCCAACGAGATTCGAACGGAAGATTGACATATCAAAATCAACTGAACGGTATATGAAAAGCAAAAGCACCAACACTTCAAATACCTATCTTCCTACCTACCTACCTATTCGAGAACGTTGCCTACCTAGTACTCTGTGGTGCTACCATGCGCGAACAGCTATACCTACCTACATATAAAGATAGATGTCTTACAGGAAGTCCAGAAGCCGAGATATAGATAGATCTACCACGGCAAATACCCATAGGTCCTTTTCTCGAACAAGCAATCAGCTCTGCGTGGGGGCACTGCTCATAGTTATACTCCCATTGGCCAAACATAGATAGGCATGCAAGTCGCGCGTCCTGTAGACATCTCGCAGACTATGTAGGTAACTACTGCGCCCCAGGTTCCTTCTCTCATAGCTTCGCCCCCTCTGTTCGAGAATAGGTATCTATAACACAATAGCATCTCGTTATGCGAACGCAAGAAGATCCCATGGAAGTAAGCTGACTTGGAGAAACTTCCACGAAAACCGAGATATCAGCGCGTTCTCAGAAGTACAGTTCCTTGAACCATATTACCTCTAGCTCCTTCAAGACCGGATTAAGGGGTTTGCGCTTGTTGGAATGTGGAGAAAAGGTCACGACACCACGAAGGCAAGTAATCTAGCGTGTCCATCCCGACGACGATCTGTGGTATAGATACCTAGATAGAGTGACGGGAAAGATGGGAACTCCATCCGAAACGCCCAGCCCTCCCATAGGCTCGCTCCCCAAGCAACGGCCCCCCCCTTCCCTTCCAAGCGACCGGCCAAAAGTGTAGGGTCCAAGCATACCTATTGAACAATCGAGTCCGAGGGAGGTGGAGGAGGGCCTGTGGTTTGAATTGGTCGGAAGACATAATCACGGGTTGTCTGTTGCAGCGCGAGGATGTCAGCTACTCCAATTTTCCCCTCGTCGAGGTGCAGTGGTCGAATGCAACGGGAATTTTTGGAATACTTACGCAGCTCGAAATAGTGCAGGCAGGATCGCCCAGTAGCAGTTTCATCGGCAGTTCGCCGTATACGTACTTACCATAGTAGTAGTAGTAGGCAGACAGGTATGAATCTCAGCTTGGAGTTGCCATCGACCACATACCTACGTATGCTACTATAGTAGCATACGCGGAGAACGTCTGGTTTTCATCACGGCCCAAGCGGCTAGTAAGTACTAAAGCTGTAAAAGTAAGGCCTGGGCTAACAGATCTTGATTCTTTTACCCCTTAGTATTACTTAATAGGTCCCCTAGACCTTGTATGTGATTGGTATATTCCTATGAGCTAGACATACAGGATTGTCCTCGTCGAGTCGAAAGGGGAACAGCTGCCAATCCTGATCATTACGAGGCCTTTTGGTCAAGTGAAGGATTGACGCTTGGGTGCTGAGGTACGGCAAGATGGCTATTGGTTCAAGCTGAGCTACCTATGGGTATGCATAGTGCTGCCTTTGGATAGTTTGGATAGACCCAGAGAATTAAACGAACTATACTATGCAGTAATATCCACCTGGAGAACTTGGAACTGCGGGGAAGTATACCCTGAGGAGGCCGCATCTAGCTTCTACGGGTATTTGACTTGACGTTGCTTCCACCCCGCATTCCAACTCCCATCGTGCATATGAGCTGCATATGCTAATGGTCAATAGACGTTGTAGGTCTGTTGAAAGTTGCCTAATATAGCAAGGGAACAAGGGGGAGTATGGGGGAACAGGGGTAAGGGGGCCACAAGGCTGTGATGGCCAACTCTCCGAGCCTCACCGAGATGCCGCTACTGGGCGACATCACCTCCAACTCGATTAACCCATCACGTCAATCTGTTTATCCAATACTCCAAAGCCTGAACCTCCATGAGAATGCTAAGAAAGTGTGACGTGTGTCATACTTAATGTAAGGCAGTTTAATACAGACTCCAACCTGGTAATTCCCAGCTCTGGTTGGATGAGACGGTGCCGCTGGGTGAAGCCTATCCATGATTAGCTTTCCATCCATCCCGACTAGCACTTAATGAATACCGGTATCAATGCAGAATTGTTGCATTCATCGATATCATATGACCTCGCCTATGAGTTGGCAATCATGTAAAGGAGTTGCCGGGAGAGGGGATGTTGGAGGATTGCAGCTAACAATAGTGCTTGAGTGCATATCTTTACTAGCAAGAGTCCTTCATTGGCCTTTTGGGGCGAAGTACATCAATCGAGGTCGGATGGCTGCAGCTTGTCGGGTCCCCCTCTCTTTGGATATTTGTATCCCCTGACGCCGCCACCATTCGGCAAAGCATAAGTAGAAAGTCAGTGCCCCCAAAGCCGGTTTCACAACATGTTCTCTAAACTTTTCACCTGGAACACAAAACAACAAGAAGATATGTCTTTGCCAGAGGAATTCGACATCATCATCTGTGGTGGAGGTAGTTGCGGGTGTGTGGTAGCTGGCCGGTATGTGTTACATTCGTAACCCCGATAAATGGCTCTTGTGCTCATCTTAGGTACCCAGATTGGCGAATTTGGATCACAACCTGAAGATTCTGCTCATCGAGGCTGGTGAAAGCAACCTGAACAACCCATGGGTCTTCAGGCCAGGGGTTTACCCCCGTAACATGAAGCTGGACTCGAAAACGGCCTCCTTCTATGAGTCTCGTCCATCGAAATGGCTCTCGGGGAGAAAGGCGGTGGTTCCATGTGCCCATATTCTGGGAGGTGGCTCCAGCATCAACTTCTTGGTAAGTGGTCGTTCGAGATGCGAGATGCTGTGATGCTAATACACCTTAGATGTACACACGTGCTTCGGCTTCGGACTACGATGACTTCCAGGCAAAGGGATGGACGACGAAGGAGCTCCTACCGCTCATGAGGAAGCATGAAACCTATCAGCGTGCCTGCCACAACAAGTTAGTTCACCATGCGTACCTAGGGTTGCATGAGACAAAAAAGCTTACCAAGACAGGGAACTCCACGGATTTGAGGGGCCGATTAAAGTGTCCTTCGGCAACTAGTAAGTAAATATTATTCCTAACTTCAGAAAAGCATATGGCTAATTATATCCAAGCACATACCCCATCAAGGATGACTTTCTTAGGGCTGCGGAATCCCAAGACATTCCTATTGTCGATGATTTGGAAGACCTTAGCACTGCCCACGGTGCTGAACATTGGTTGAAATGGATTAACCGTGATGTATGTATACTTGCTCCTATATTGCTCGGGATCAATGACTGACACGGTGGTGTAGACTGGCAGACGTAGCGACAGTGCACACGCATACGTTCATTCGACTCGTGCTGTGCACAGCAACCTATACCTTGCTTGCAACACTAAGGTGGAGAAGGTCATCATCGAGAACGGCAGAGCGGTCGCTGTCCAGACCGTGTAGGTTTTCATGATATTTCACATAAAATCGTATGCAAGAGAGCTGATTGAGTTTCCAGACCAACGAAGCCGCTTCATCCCAACCAGCTAAAGACTCGCACCTTCAAGGCACGCAAGCAGATCATTGTGTCCGGAGGTACCATTTCTTCGCCCCTAATCCTTCAACGATCCGGAATTGGTACGTATTATAATGTCAGTAGGTTCCGATCCTAGCATTAACATCTTATTAGGTGACCCCGAGAAGCTGAAGGCAGCTGGCGTTGAACCAATCGTCGATCTCCCCGGTGTGGGACTCAACTTCCAAGACCACTACTTGACCTTCTCAGTGTTCCGTGCTAAGCCTGAGGTCGAAAGTTTCGACGACTTCGTTCGAGGTGACCCTGAAGTGCAAAAGAGTAAGTACTTCACACACTAGTACACGTACACTTTATCATGATCCTAACTCAGTTGCAGAGGTATTCGACGAATGGGCACTAAAGGGAACTGGCCCACTTTCCACCAACGGCATTGAGGCTGGTGTGAAGATTCGCCCAACGGAGGAGGAGCTCAAGGAGTTCGAATCCTGGCCAACACCACAATTTAACGAGGGTTGGAAGTCGTACTTCAAGAACAAGCCTGACAAGCCCGTCATGCACTACTCCGTTATTTCTGGCTGGTTTGGTGACCACATGCTCATGTAAGTATCGCTCTGTTAAAGACGTGATATGATTTCTCACACTTTATAGGCCCCCTGGAAAGTTCTTCACAATGTTCCACTTCTTAGAGTATCCATTTTCCCGAGGATTCGTACACATCAAGTCGAAAGACCCTTACGAGAGCCCAGACTTTGACCCAGGCTTCATGAATGACGAGCGTGACATGGCACCGATGGTGTGGGGATACATAAAATCGCGAGAGACAGCCCGACGCATGGACGCTTACGCCGGCGAAGTTCAGGCTATGCACCCGTTCTTCGACTATGACTCGCCAGCTCGTGCTAATGACATGGACCTTGAGACCACTCAGCGCTACGCCCTCCCGGGCAACCTGAGTGCTGGTCTGCAGCACGGTAGCTGGAGTTGCTTTAACCCAGCACCATCGAAGAAACCAGAGTTGAGCGTCCTCAACAGTAACAAGGCCGATATCCGAGAAGATCTCAAGTACACTAAGAAGGATATTGAAGTGGTTGAAGAATGGGTGAGGAGACACGTGGAGAGCACATGGCACTGCCTGGGTGTAAGTACTTCCCTTGTTACTTTATGATCCTTTTCGGTATGCTCGAACGGCGCTAATTTCGTGATATTAGACTTGCTCCATGGCCCCTAAGGAAGGCAATAGCATTGTGAAGCACGGTGTTCTGGACGAACGTCTAAATGTCCACGGTGTTAAGGGCCTCAAGGTTGCGGATCTCAGTATCTGCCCTGACAATGTTGGCTGCAACACGTAAGTCGAAAGTCTGATCTATGCTTGAGTCAAATAGTTGTTAACACTGATGTAGATACTCGACCGCTCTCCTCATCGGTGAGAAGTGCGCCATGTTGACGGCCGAAGATCTCGGATATTCTGGCGAAGCGCTCGACATGAAGGTCCCAACATACCACGCTCCTGGCGAGGTGAACCTGCCATTCCGCGTATGAAGAAGTCCGCGTATGAAGAAGCCATGGCTGTATTTGTTTTTATTGTTATGTGACACCATAAGTTATGCTGGCTGTGATATGATGTGTTATGAGTTTCGAAATCAGACCGACATCTACCTTGAGTAGCTGCTCATCTGTATTTTCAATCCCTCCTTTTTTTTCTGTCATTAATGTCTTCAAGTAGCAATTGCGGCTGGATGTAGTATAGGTACTGGGTAGTATATTATATTGAAGTATATTTTGATGAGTCAATTTTGAGATGTGAAATGTGACATGAAATAAAACAGGATGCAAAAGTTAAATTATTTAATATTTAACTAGAGAAAACCGTTGGATATAAAAATGATGCGAGAAGGCGTGATCGATAAAGCCACGGGTGAGGGGTTGGTTACATAGTACCTAGGTTAGGTAGCACAAGTAGAATCATAGCGATTATTATACCCTAACTTACCTAACCTTATAGGCATGTACAATACCTAATAGCGATTAGCGAACTAAAATCATATGTCACAAACGCGATAAAGAGACAAGACATCGGCGCCGCGTACAGTCTCCGTGTCTGTATTACACTATGTGCTACACACTGTATCTGATTCCCCGATAATCTTCTATGTATAGAATAGCTAATCAGCAGAATAAGCATAATCCCCTTTCAACCTTGTCTTGTTCCCAACTGTTTCTGCTCGCGTCGTAAGCACGCCAGCCTCTTCTTAAAGATCGGCAAGGAAAAGAAAACTTTTTCTTTCCTCTGATTCTTGACTGGGGAAATTCACGCAGAGGCAATTGGGACATCTGCATCCGAAGAATCTCAGGTTGCCTCGAGTTTAGCTTCAGGACGAGAGACTACAATAACTTGGCACGTTGAAACTACGACAAGGTCTCTTGGCTTGGGAATTCAATTATCAAATCGCCAAGAAATAACAACCTCACAATGCCATGCAGCAGCAGTTCATCGAGCAGCAGCTCCTCGAGCGGCTCCTCCACCAAAAGCATCCGCAAAGGGGATACCGGCGGCCCCGAAGTCACCGCAACTGAGACAACGCCGTTGCTGGCCACATCTCCGGTGACCATAACCAACGACTCGGACGTTGCCACTGCCGTCGCCGGAGACGAGGCCGGGTCTCACCATCCGCTGCTCCCGAAGCCTGAGGATAAACCGCTGCCCAAATGGCAGATTTTCTTTTTATGCTATGCGCGTCTTGTTGAGCCCATCGCCTTTTTCTCTATTTTCCCTTATATCAACCAGATGGTGCAGCGGAATGGGAACTGTAAGTTTATTATTTATTCTCTTTTTCTAGTATTGTGGGATGGCAGGCTTCTTCTGTCCCTCACATCCACATTCATCTACTACCCCTCCAAACCAAATACTAGCAAACACTGACCCAGTTGCACAGTGGACGAAGCCGACGTAGGCTTCTACGGCGGCCTAATCGAGTCTCTCTTCTCCTTAACCCAAATGCTCGTGATGCTCCCCTGGGGCCGCCTCGCCGACCGGTGGGGCCGGAAGCCCGTGCTCGTCTCCTCGCTCGTCGGCGTCGTGGTCGCCACCTCTTTGTTCGGCCTCGCGCAGACCATCTGGCAGATGATCGTGCTGCGGTGCCTCGCCGGCGTCTTCGCCGGAACCATCGTCACGATCCGCGCCATGATCGCCGAGCACAGCACCCCGCGCACGCAGGCCCGCGCCTTCAGCTGGTTCGCGTTCAGCGGGAACATTGGCTTGTTCATCGGACCCTTGATCGGGGGCGCGCTCGCGGATCCCGCGGCCCAGTATCCGGGCGCCTTCGGGGGCGTGCGGTTCTTCGAGGAGTACCCCTACGCGCTGTCGTCGCTTGTCGTGGGGTGCATCGGTTTAACCGCCGTAGTGACCAGCGCCCTCTTCGTCGAGGAAACGCTGCACAAGAAATCATCTAACAAGCCCTCATCAACCGACCCCGACTCCACCGCCGAAGCCGGCGGGCCCCCCAAACCCCTACCCTCCTACTCGGCCCTCTCCCTGCTCAAACGCCCCGACGTGCGCATCGTGCTGTACAACTACAGCCACGTGATGATCCTCGGCTTCTCCTACACCGCCATCGTGCCCGTCTTCTGGTTCACGTCCACCGCTCTCGGCGGCTTCGGGCTCACCCCCCTCCAAATCTCCCTCTTCATGGGCCTGACGGGCCTCTCCCAAGCCATCTGGCTCCTCGTCGTCTTCCCGCCCCTGCAACACCGCATCGGCACCAACGGCGTCCTGCGCGCGTGCGGCTACGCCTGGCCTTTTTTCTTCGCCGTCATGCCCGTCATGAATCTGATCATGTACCAGGGGACGCGCGAGGCCGAGCTCGCGTTCTGGATCCTGATCCCGATTTTGCTGGCCGTGGGCCCGGGGGTGAGCATGGCGTTCACGGGCGTGCAGCTCGCGCTCAACGACGTGAGTCCCGCGCCCGAGGCGCTGGGCACGCTGAATGCCCTCGCGCTGACCATCACGAGCGGGCTGCGCGCGTTTTCGCCCGCGCTGTTCACGAGCTTGTTTGCTATCGGGGTCAAGGACCAGATTGTCTGGGGATACCTGGTGTGGGTCATCTTGGTCGTGCTCGCACTTGTCTACATCGTCTCGTCGAGGTTCTTGCCGGAAGCTAGTGAAAATGATTACGAGCGTGGGACTGCTGAGCCGGAGGAGGAGCGAGAGGAAAGTTCCTAGTAAGATGAGTGGATGAGTGATGATTATAAGGGGGTAAAAAGACTGGTTTGGCTACCCTTCTACGGTATTTACGGTATTAAGAATATATGAGAGACAGATTTTCAACCTTCACTTCGTAAAAGCGCCTGTAAAAATTTAGGAAAATTAGAGTGGGATAAATTCATTGCCTGCAGCTAATACCACTCGCGATACATTTACACGTCCCAATCCTGACATGGCTCATTATTGGCCTCTAATACCATAACGCCATCATATGCAGCTGTGATTCCGGCTCATCCCACCTCATGATTATAAGTACATAAAGGGTTTCAATCCCTGTTCCTATTGCTGAGCCATCTCTTCACAATAAACTCGCGGACTTTGTACCTCTTTAAAATCTCCGTCGCGCCAAGCCCCTCGTCAAATGGAGGTGGCACGTCAACGTATGTCAGTACCAAGGTCTTCAACGCCGTAGATTGCACACGGTTAACCGTATGAAGCCAATGCCAGCTTCTACTTGGGGGCTCACGACCCTCAGCCTTCCAATATGGATGCGTATATGCAGGTAAGACGATGACTGCAAACTCTGCATGAGAGAAGACGGGTCCGCGGTTATATAACATCCAATCCACACCAAACTTTATTCCAGGCCGCGTTACCCAACCCAGGGAACGGAAATGGTGATACACAGCATAATGAAGGAGAAATGGATCATCCGGTTGGAGATTGCTCATCCTCGGGGGCATATATGATGTCTGGCGGAAGAGTGTGAATAACTCCGATGCACTGAACGGCTTACCAGTCGCTGGGTTTATGACCGTCAGCGCCCCTAGGGCAAAGACAAGATAAAAGGTTTCTTCCAGGCATAATTGCAGATGTTCCCTGTCTACGATCTGGGTCTCCAACTTAGAGCTGGTCTTGGAAACAGGGTTCTCCCCAACAAGAGGCGCTGGTAGACCCAAATCTGCCGGTTGGGATGATAAGCTTCCCTTGGGTAGACCGCTGTCTTGCACGTGCCCATTCGACGGCGCAACGTGACCGGGACTTGGCGGGTCGGACACCCGAAAAGTTGTGGACTCAACCTTTGGCGAAAACCGCACGAATTTACGTGCTCCAATATGGTCGGTTGGGGTTCGAGGGCGCACGGGTTGGTCATCTACCTCATCAGATATCAAGATTGTCTCCTTGCTGGGTGGGTCCATCTCATCAATAGTCTCCTCCATGGCGGTGTGTGTTGACAAGGAGCCATTCAGCCTTGCACCAGTGGTGGGTATGACAACGCCTGCTTGGCCATTTGCGACGGGGCTTTGACCCAATATGACGTCTGCTAAGTTTTCCGTAGGCTTCACGTCACATGCAGAATTTGGAAGAGCAAGTAATTCCTTAGGTCCTACGGGGGCGATCCAAGCCTCGAGAATTCTAGTTCGTTGTATGGCTTCCTGTTCTTTTCTTGCACGGTCCCACTTCATCATCTTACGCTCTTCCCGCCGCTGGGCAGTTAAATCTTCAGCTACATGACCGTCATGTTTGCCCCTCCGGGCATGCTCTCTTTTGAGCCAGTTTGGTTCACTTCGACTGTAGTTACCTTTGCCAAAAAATCCTTGCTCCCATAACGCCCTTATTGACTTGGGGTCCTTAATTTGGACTGAACGAGTTTCCGGGCACCAGAGACCATTGTGAATGACAGAAGGCTCAACTGGTGGCGGTGACAGAATATGACTCGCCCAAGTATAGACGAGATGGAAGAGAGACACAGGGTTATTTGGATAAAAAGTTGGCAAGGGAAAAATGCGAATCGGGGCAGGAAGAGCATAGATTTTATGAAGCGGAGGCCCGCTTGGGTGAGATTTAGTTTTCACTTTAGATGTTGAAGTTGACTTTGAAGTAGATGTATCGACCTCATGTTGGTTCGAGGTGACAGACACGGCATTGGATGTGTTTGCCATGGCTCATGCGCATCATGCCGGCCTACTTTGACAAGGTCAGCAACTTTGCTTGATGTGTAATTGTTATTGAAATCATCACATGATGAACCGCTCAGATACCGTTGTAGTCTATATTGGCGCACTCATCGAGACTGTTACATCTCTAAGCTCCGAAGTAATAAGGTGTCATCACCGCGACGGTGTACAGAGAGTATTTGGTTAATACATGCCAAAACTTCTCGGCAAGTATCCAAAATTTCTCATATAATTCACATGAAGGATATACTGGGACAACTTACATTTAAAGGAAATATCGAATCAATATTGAGCTGAGTAGATCATTCAGCACACATGATAGGGAACAATGCCCGGATTCTGTCTTGCTTGTAGAAAGTTTGTTTGTGTTTGGTGATGAGTGAATATGAGAAGATGAAAAAGAATCGTGAATCGAATTCGAGTTTTGTTAGCGGGATGAAAAAAAAAAAAAAAAAAAAGAGTGGAGTCGAATCATAGTTGAAATGGATTGTCGGGCTTACGGTATTATAGAATTATCCGAATTTCGCTTCAATGTGCACATGCACCTTTGAATCTTGAAAATGTGGGTATTGCAGCTACATAGAGTTGCAGCCAGTCAGCCAGCCAACCAACTAACAACTTCAGTTATTTTATGTACTTTGGCTGTTAGCCCTACGGCCTCATTCGCAAGGCAACAACTATCGCTCCTTGCCCTGGGGAGTTAGTGTATGCAATTTCCAATGGATCTTTTTTTTCTCAATAGCGGGACTAGCGGGACTTGCGGAACCCTCTACCACTGTTACCAACTGACCAGAGTAAGAGCAGTGCGGTGACACGGAATTTAATGAGAATTTCCTATCATTTCCTATCATTGCTGACGTTCGGATCTTCATTAATAAATTTCAATTATAATCCCCGTTCCATTTTTATATTCTCATAATCCAAACATTAAACACTATGAAGATTACTAAATCATTACATTAATTAATATTATCCTCGAGTTTGTGTTGTTGTCTCTTGTTTATTCAAGAAGATGCTGATTGTCACCTTTATATCCCACGTCACGATACTGAGTCCTTGCGTCTGTTAGCCACATATCAGCCTTCATTTCTAGCCTACCCTAGGTACCTTACCTACACAAGGTACATAACTCGAGCTGCCTAACTTCAAGTTCATTTCCGAATGATTTTGTTTGATGGCTAGTACTAAGTGGACTTGTTGTTGTATTGCACCTAACAAATTATCAACTTCTTAATTCCATTTTGACATGACCCAATGCTCTCTAATATAAGTCAAGTTTTTGGCTCTGTCGGCATTATATGGGGTTCCTTTGTCTTTCTGGTGCAGACCATAGGAAACTACCAGATGTAAGCTCAAACCTTTATACGATATACGCGATACGCGTATCTCGTATAGCATAACCCCCAACTAGAGAGGTATCCTAACCATAGCTTCAACAGCTTCCGCAACTATTCTTCCAAGCCGCCACCTCCCGTATCGCCGTTCTTACCGAAAGATGAAGTTCCACATGTAACCATTATACGTCCTGCCAAAGGCCTTGAGCCCGGCCTATACGAATGCCTAGCCTCCGTCTTCCACCAGTCATACCCCAAGGACAAGTTGACCATATACTTTTGCGTAGCGTCCAAGGAAGATGCCGCCTACCCCGTTATCCTAAAGCTCCTCGAGAACCACCCCGGCTTCGATGCCAAGGTCTTCGTCGAAACCGAAGACCCTTACCTTCACGGTGACGGGGGCCATGTTGACAACGTCGGTCCGAATCCCAAGGTTCGGAACCTGAGCAGAGCGTATCGGGAAGCCAAGGGTGATATAATGTGGCCACTCGATTGTAATGTGTGGATTGCCAGGGACGTAACGGGACGTATGGTCGACAAACTTTGCGGGTACCTACCGAATGGCCAAAGAGCGAAACCGTATAAGTTTGTGCATCAATTGCCTTTAGTTGTGGACACGGTCACCTCCATGAGTAGTTTGAACTCTAAGGGCCAGACACTACTCTCGGGCTCTTCCGTTACCGGTGGATCCGACGCTCAGTCCAACGTGAACGTCCCATCCTCCGTCTTCTCGCGGTCCTGGGCCCACGGCGGCGGACGTCTAGAGGAGATGTTCATGGCCACCACTCACGCTAAATTTTACAGTGCCATCAACACCGTCGGCATAGCCCCATGCATTGTGGGGAAGAGCAACATGTTCCGAAAGTCACATCTCGACCAGGTCACCGACCCAGCCCGAAACCCGATCCTAACCGGCAGAGCCGCTACTCTGCCCAAGGGGCTGGACCACTTCTCGCTGTTCATGTGCGAAGACCATGTCATCGGCGACCTCCTATGGCGATCCAGCCTACCCGGCTTTGCCAACCATGGCCTCGTCTGGGGCGACCTGGTCATCCAGCCCATGGCAGGCATGTCTATACGGGCCTATGCCGCACGCAGAGTTCGGTGGTTACGCGCCCGGAAGTGGACAGTGCTATCGGCAACCTTGGTCGAACACGGCGTCGAGAGCCTTGTGTGCTGCTTCTACATCTCGTTTGGTCTCACCAGTTTGCCCTGGTTTCATGAAACCTTCGGCATCCCACAGACCTGGAAGGCCATGTTGTACTGCTGGTTAACGGGCATCACGCTGTGGATGGCTATAGACCGCGTCGTCTTCAAGAGATTACACGCCGGGCGGACCATCTACGTTGACGAGAATACACCGCCATTCGCGCGAGGCACCAGTGGAGGCGGGGCAGAGAAGCGCCGGTTTGGCGAGTGGTTCTTAGCATGGCTGGGACGAGAAATCCTTGCGTTACCTATATGGACGTGGGCCGTGTTCCTCGGCACCACGGTGAACTGGAGAGGGAAGCTGTTTCGCGTTCGGTCGGACATGACCGTTGTCTCGATAGACGCTGAGGGGAGAGACGTGCAGGTAGACGCGGCGCCTCAGCAAGCATCACAGAATGGGCATAGCTTAGCATCAAGAGGGAAAAAAGACTAGATACGGGATAACTGCCGTAGTACCTATATATCTATAATACATAATATTATATTGCATTTGTTCCGCTGCCAGAGTTGTGTAGGTAGTTATGTAACTTCCACGACGTTAGGCCTCAGTATACCATCACTGTTCCCTTTGCCCCGCCGCATTTAGGTGAACGCCGTGCCCCAATACCACAATAACCCGAGCGATTAAGCCACAACCGTGGGAAACTTAGGAGCAGTATCACGACCAAACCCACTCCAATCGCCCTCCTTACATGTAAGCAAGGCCTGCTAACATTACACCACGCACGGAACGTACCTAGGTAGCGTAAGGTAGCCTGGTATCACGCCAGAGGGTCACTATTGGGCCTGCCATATTCTTCATTCACAGTTGGACGTAATGTCATATCACTAGCACATGTCCGGTTTCAAAGACGCTCTGTTGCGAGTCAAAAAAGACTAAAACAATAAAATTTCCGTGTTCGTTCGTTGGTATATCCACCTCGTAGTATCTTCATCTATATGAGTAAGGTAAGCAAAAAATGAGATAGATATACGTAAATGTAGAAACCCTATCCCGTGTCATTCCATCATGATTTGTTCTATCCTATCTAGCTTGATAGAATAAGATCCAAAAGAGTATAAAAAAAAGTATGGTTAAAATAATGCAAGCGCGGTACATGAAAAAGAATATGATGGTATTGGTACAGCCTGCCGACCTTTTCACCTTCGGGTGGTTAACGTATGATATTTTCCCAGTCAGCGAACTGCGGAAGACGGGTATTGTTGTATTTATCGTATGCCATGTATGTTCCCAGTCCCCGCGAGAATTTCATTCATACCCTTCATAAATTCTTTTACCCTGATGATGATAATGATAAATGATATATCCGTATGCCCGGTATGCTTTGATTTAAAATGACCAAACAAGTTGCGTGGGTATTGATGTTTTGAAAATCAGAACAGATACAAATGAACAGCTACACACAAACCTGTGTGTAGCAATGAAAATGAAAGTCATGAGGGGGTATCCAACAAAAAAGATGGGAAATGTGTTGAACATGTAAAACCTGTATCTTGCTCTCGGTAAGTCAGCAACTGTGCTAGACAAATAAGACTTCCGTGAGTGCAAACAGATGAAAAACGTAAGACAGGTGAGGTAGGCCGTTGTAGCAAACGTCACCGTAGCGAATCATCATAGACCCATCATCTCGTTCTGGCCAAGGAAAGTCCTGGCCAACTCGTCTCCGCCACGTTCGGCCTCCTTCATCCAATGAATAGCGACACACATCATAGTAGGGTCACGGACGTCACCATCCGTAGTCGTATCCTGCATGCCTGAAGATGCTGGTCCTGCCGCACCCAGACTGCTTCGACTTCTATCCGGATTATGGCGCGTAGTGCTTCCAGATCGAGGTCCGAACTTCTCCATAACAGCCTGTTTGAATACATCTCGTGGTTTAGAGAGAGGCAGCGTGCTTCTCTCGACAAGCTCAGGGTTGCTGAGGTTAAAGAGCCCCAGCTCTCGTTGTGCTGTAGCATGACCCTCTTTTGCCGCGATCGTCCACATTGTTGCTGCATCACGAAGAGAGTGAATCGGTGTTGGCCGTACCGGCTCAGGTGCGTCATCGTTACCACTAGGACGCTTTCTAGACGGCGTGTAGTAGTTCAAGATTTCGTCTGCCACCTCCACCATCGTCGTGATTACGTCTTGCTTCAGAGAAAACGCTACTGCTGCAATATCCCAAAAGGCCTTATTTCTATCAGCATCCAGAATCGAAGGTGAAACAAACGAATTAATAAATTGTAAATCGCGAAATAGCGTCTTCGGTCGGATACCTGCGTCTTTGAATAGCGACCGAAGTATTTGTGCAATGGCACTTGTGTTAGCGGCCTCCTTCACGGAGATGACTGAGCGTGCATCGGCATTCTTATTGCCACGAGGCTGAATGTAAAACATGTGTGATTGGAACAGCTGCGGACGCCTGTCCCGAGAATCATCACCACCGAGCTCATTCAAGTCAGTTTTACCTGAAGTATCATCGTCGACAGACATAGACTGGTGTCTTTGTGCCCACCGAGAACGACGTCCGCTAGATAAGGAAGCGGATATGAGACGCTCCAATTCAATGAGAGCGTTCAGCTTCGTGTACGGATTTGGATGAACAGCAAACATTCCCAGCAATCTTTGATATGCTTTGGCGTAAGGGAAGTCTGGCGTTCCTTTCCTCTTCGACGACTTCGCGCGGGCCGATGTTGTCTCGCTCGTGGTAGAACTGTCATTACTTGGTCCGGAGGCGCTATCAGGCCTGTCCGCATTCAGGTCCACTCTCGATGCTTCCCCTGCTTGTCGAAGGTTACCGAAACTCTTCCTTTTCTCGATCACTCTCTGCTTGGCGGAGCTCTTACTTGTACGATCCCTCTTCCCCGAAGGCCGCCGTGCCCTTCGCTCTTCGTTATCTCGGCGTTCAATACATTCTTGGCCCATACTGCCAAACCATCCGTCCGTCTCCGACCCCGATGCGAACACAAGGTTGCCCAGTTCGGAGAGTAGAAGGCTGGTGAGAGTCTGGCGAAGCTCTGCAAGGAAACGTTGTTTCCCTTCCGAAAGTCGGCGTAGATGAACAGTCTCGTTCGATGATACCGATGCGCCAGATCTTGACGCAGAATGGTGAGACGACAGGTGCTGGTGATTCGGGTGCGAGAAAGTGCTCGAGAGGTTGGTAACACTGGTCGTCGGCGATTGAGCACGTGAAGTTGCTGAGCTAACAGTCGATATTGTAGATTGGAAAGGCGACCAGAAGGTCGACGTCGAATCAAGACCATGCATGGGAGATGAGGCTCCAAAGTAATCATGCGAATCAAATGTGTCGGACATCGCAGTACTTGCTCTCGAGAAACTGTATCGGCGGTGGGAGTCAATAGAGACCTGACTCGAGTTGAATGCGGGCATGTTTCTCAGGTCACGAGCCATTGAGCCTGGACGACGCGTTGGGGATGCATATCGTCTATCGTGCTCGCTGCTTATGATGCTTGCAGTATCATCACCCCATACGCTCTCCCTATCCCGACCGATACGAGATCCCTCAAACAATCTGCGGTCTCTCGAATAGAGTTCGCTGGACCAGAGCACCGGACCATCGACGATGTTCTCACCAACCAGCTTTGCTACGCAGCTATCGACCTCGCAGCAAAAGCGATGTATTCGCTCCTCACCTTGGCACATATTCTGTATGCCGAGCTGGTCTAGCCACTTGTTAGTTATCTCAGCCTGGGCGTCACTGAGCTTATTTGGGCCTCCTTGGTCTTCGCCAGCGGCCAGCAGATCCAGCATCTGAGATTCATTTCTAAAGATATAGGCTGCAGCAGGGCCTCGAGCCAATTGGGCTCGATTCCGTTGAAAAGAGCCCCATTTTCTCGGCACGCCCATAATCTTCAAGGCGCTGCAAATATTTCGAGTTTGTTCGTAAGGAGCCGAGTTGTGAACATCCGTCACATACCACATCTTATCTCGGAGCGACTTCAGGCGTTTCATCATGGTGTCGATAAGGCCTTCGTGGCGTTCCTGGCTCTGCTTCAGCCATACTAGCCAGGCATCATACTCCTCAATTGCCGAGGCGGAGCGTCGAATTGAATCACGAGGACCGCGGGAGAATATATTCAGTAGCATTGCAAAGCCGTTCTTGCGTAATGAGGAAGAGGTTAGAGCATTCAGCTGTTGGAGGGTCTTCCAGTAGAGATGTGCTGCGACAAAGTCGGATTGTATACGTGACTGTGAAGAGGCGGCCGAAAGCATTGTGATTAAGACCGAAGACTCGGGCTCACTTGTTGGCTCTTGGTCTTCAGGAGGTTGGGAAGCCTCTTCGGCAGCCCGCTTGGACTTCTCCTCCTCCTCGCATTTGGTACGATACGGGTTGCGGCTACCCATCGATGACCCTGTAGTGATGATCTTGTTCTTGGATCGATACTTCTTCAGTCCGGAAGCTCGATTACTAAATGTAGTTTTAGCGCCGTGATCTTCCAGCCCTTGTGGAATCTCAAAGTCCTCGACGAGCTTCAGGACTGAGTCCCGCAGCTGATGATAGTCCTTATCAAGTTCGGGTTTCTCATCAGGCTCATCATCCTCAGTGTCACTAGTAGTAGATGAGTTCTCCTCTTCTGCGTCATCATCAGGATCGTAAGTCATCTGCAAAGAAAGGCCGTTGCCATCAGCGGAAATAAATACAACAGCCCAGCGTTCAGCACACGGGTGACATGATCCCGAAATAGCCTCCTGGCCCAAGTTTTGGACCATCTCGTGCATTGCTAAGCGAAGACGATATCCATCATCCTCATAATGGTTGGGGTTTTTCTGCCGGGTCCCATCGGATATGGGCGGTGAACGTCGTTGAGGCGTACCGGCTACTTGGTCTTCAAGTAAAGGCTCGCCTGAGGTGGTCCCATCACTGAAAACGGAAGACGCACTCATACTAAGAACCGAGGCAGTGTCAAAGTTACTTCTTGACGTACCGATTGATATCGGTTGTGAGATGGCAGAGAAGCCCGACACCGAGGGCGCTCCAGAGCGAATGCTGCTGGAGTGGCCGGATTGTGGCCTGCGTTCAGGATATAGGGCATTGACGAGTGTAGCAACGTCAGCTGGGCTAACCACCAAATAAGGATGGACTTCAACGGTTTCTCTCAGAGACGTGATAGACCTAGCAGGAAGCAGCCTTCCGGTTCTCTTGCCCGTTGGTTTAAAACGACCCAGGATGTTTTCAATGTGGCTCTTGATCTTGGGGGGCGTCGATACCGGCTTCTGAGGATTTCCACTCGCAAGCATTTCGATAACGTAATGCTGCGCAATTGTGGCAACCTGCTTGAGGATCTTTTGGCGACCATATTCGGTAATGTGATACTCAGTCATCATCCCATAACTCTCTGGGTGAATGACAACGGCGAGCAACCAACTGGAAAAGAGCCACTTGTATACAAACCATCTTCGAGTAGTATCAACCAGGTTGCGCGTGCTGTCCTTAGTCTCCAGCCGACGAAGAATCTCATTTCCTAATTCAATGACTCCTTCTGGGATCCCTGTTGCGTCTTCGTCATCAATGATGGCAAAAAGATTGTTAACAGCACGTTCATAGAACTCCTCAGCAGCAATGGTATCCTTGGTAGTCCAATCCGATATGTTGAACCGTGTTCCATTCTGGTCTTCTGCTCGGTCGAGCAAAAATGCGCCATCCTCAAGTATCTTCATCAGGTACCATTCCATATTGGCCCGTCCGGACCAATCACGCATAGCAGACCAGGCGTTGAGGATTGAGATCAACACTGGCTCACTCGTAGACTTCGTGGAAATCAACCGAGCGAAAGCAGTGGCCCAGATCCCGGTCCTCCGTTTGTCCTCGGCGCTGTCCGGGCCGGCCGAGTTCGCAAAGCAGGTATATATAAGAGCAGAAAGTGGATCGTGGCGCTGAAAAGAAAGAAGCCGCTCAACAGCATTGGGGGTTTGCGCCGACTGTCTACTAGGGCCGCTAGAATGCGCACGACTACTAGAACGGCCATGATATGGCAAGACCGATTCTATTGGTTCCAATCCCTGATGAAAAGTTGTGAGGGCCTGGAGCTCCGAAGTGCTCAGGGCGCATAGCCGCGTAGCTAGGTAGTCCGGGTTCGTCCGGATTTGGGTTAGAAAGTTCAGGAACGCTTCTCTGGCAGAAGCAGAGATCTCATTGAGAAAGGGGGTCACAGAACTGCTAGGACCAATACTTCCCACAGTGCTTGGGGGAGGCACGAGCGTCTCGACAGAAGCTACTCCTGACGATTGCAAAGACTCCATCTCAGGTTCCAGGAGAGCATAGCGACGGGTGGCATCGCAGCTATTCCGAACATCATGAATGGCACCAAAGAGATTAGCAAAAGCCCTCTTGTCGTCATTCCGGAAGCTATCCGCCAAATTGCGCAACGAAATTTCTCCGCAGCGGGTTAGGCGCGCCGAGAGAGCGGTGGAAATCAGGGTCCTTTGGAGGCGAATGCGGGTGTTGGCGCACTTGCGCTCCTGGTATTTAGACAACCGGACCAGATGAGCGAGCTCTTCGAGAGTGGTACCTTCTGATTCGGGTGAGAGGTGGGAGTTTGTGTATAGGGACACATCACCCAAGAGAGACCTCGGGAATGGGCCCGGGTCCTCATGATCCTTCAAAATAGGTTGTAACGGGCTGGATGGTGCGGGTGGGCTTGAAGCCGGAGAGGGAGTGGGTGGTTTCGAAGGGCTTACAGCCTGCGCTATTATTGGCTTCTTGGGCGCACTCGCGCCGGCACCCTGGGTGGCGTTCGACTGCTGCTTCGAAGTCGCATCGCGGGACGTCTCGTCGCTACCAATCTTGCGAACCGAACCAGACGACTCTCGCCGACGGTGCCCAATTCCGGGCTTGGTAGGACTTCGCGATCGGAGTCGTCGCGGGCGCGATACTTCGGGTCGCGCCTCGGGGGAAGGGGTCGGGGATCGTGAAGATTGATGTGTGGCAGTGGGAGAGACGGCTATAGTCGAGGCGACAAGGTCAGCAATTTAGATCATGGAAGTCTATCAACATCGATTCCGAAACTCCTCGGCAGACTCCTTTCCTCATCTCGACTCACGTGGAGAAGAATGTATGCAAACGGGTGAAGATAGTGATCGCTGCATGGAAATCATAATGGGCGCATGTAAATGTTTCTGAGAGCGCGCCACTTTCACCCCAGGACTAGCAGCACCCCCTTGACGAGAGAGCTGCTAGGTAGCCACGGTGGTTACTATATTATTCGATAGTCGACGTAGTCGGTAGCCTTGTACAAAATGTCATCTAGACATAAAAAGCAGAAAAAGCTCGTGACCTAGCTTAAGGGGAGGAACCAGAACGTCGTCGCTGGTCGTATGCGCGGGTAGGCTTAGATAGGTAAAGCGTAGGTATGGTATGAAGTTAGGTCCGATCGAGTAGGGATTAGGATAGGATAGGACAGGGTAGTTTATGTATGTGTGTGAGTGTGTGTGTAAGTCTAGGTAGGATAGATATCGTAGCAATGTATGTATGTAAGTAAGTCAGTATGTGAGTAAGATATGTATGTAGGTAGGTGATGTAGATTTGTGGTTGGTAAGGATAGTAGTAGGTAGGGTAGAGTTGGGCCTCAAGTAGTTAAAGAATATTATTAGATAAGGTAAGGCAAGGCAAGGCAAGGTACCAGGTAGGTAGGTAAGGATAGTTAGAGTAGTAAAGCTTTCGGAGGTGTCAAGGGTATACTAGTCCCGTCACGGCGCGGTTCGGTTGATCCCAGATCGACCGAGTACTATCGTATAAAGAGTGTGAAGTAATTATTGGGCAACGCGAGCTGGATCGTAAGCAAGTATCACTCGGTAGAAGTGTCGGGTTAGTTATTCACTGGTATGCTGATACGTGAGCTGAGCGTGAGATACGTGAGTAAATAATAACCTTCTCTTTCTTAGCTCATATACCCAGCCACGCTTCGCGTCAATCTGTTGTGACTTGGCTGATTCGTTTTTATTCGGCTCCTCCGTCCGTTTGGATCCCCAGCTATTTTGATGCCTGTTCGGCTCCGGAAACCCGGGTATATAGTATATACTATGATCAATATGGAGGGAACCTAACCTGACCTGACCTAACCTATTCCCACTAGACAGAGGGTATAGGGTATGACAGGAAATAAGGGACAGACAGATTCGCAGTATGTAGTAGTCTCTCTTTCTCTCTTTTTGTCAAAAAGAAAAAGGGAAACGGAAAAGGGGGATACAACGACAGCAGCACACAGCAGCAAAAGCAACAGCAGAAGCAGGAGCAGGAGTAGTAGCAAGCAAGCAAGCAAAACAGCGCGCAGTGCAGAAGAGACAGATGATGTGTGATGTGTCTTGCCGAAGTACCTAAAAGTCGACCTTGGTGGATATGTATGTATGCTGGATGTTGGACTGGACTGGACTGGGCTGGGCTGTGTGTGAATTGGATTGGATTGGATTGAATTTTGGGAATTGGAGATTGGAACCTTGTCCAGCTGTCGAGACATCCAGTTGCACAACAGAATTTAGTTGTCGCACTGTCGTTGGCCGACGTGGGGTAAATCATTGAGACCGCTGAGACCGCTTAGCACCGCTTTAGTACCGTTCATTGCTGTCATTTGTTTACTGTGTACTACCAAAGTACCAACCACATTGCATTTTCTACAGGTACATTTGTTCAATTTTGTTGTTGTTGGCAAGAACGTATCGCAAATGGAGGGGTATTTGGTTAGTAATTGGAGGCATTGGGAGCATCAGGAGTATCAGGAGAGCATACTAAAGTTGGGAATGTGGCAGGTTCAATGTTGTAGTTGCCACAACTCAATTCCTTAGTGTGTTCCCCTGTCCCTCTTTCAACATTAGACCATTAGGCATTGGAAGTTACAGGCCTACTAGGTACCAAGCCTAGCAGAGCTTAGCCTCAGGTAAGGTACCTCCCTGCTATCGTGGCGTTCTATAACTGAAAGTGCAAAAGTGCCGCAGTCCGCGTTAAACACTCCGTACCTGCCTAGTACAGGTAACCTACGATTTAGTACCATCTACCTTTCCCCACTCTCTCTCTCTCTCTTACCTCTCTATGTACATATACAACTCTTCTTTTTTTTTAACACTCAAATCCGACTTTTAGGTATGACTCTTTTCTTCCCCCCCCCCTCCCACCGCCTGGCCCCCAGGAGCTTTTTGCCAAACAATTGAACCAGCCAACCATCACCAACCAAATTTGGCGGGTGTGTACAACGCAGAAGGAGACCTTGATGACGATGCTACTGTTTTACAACACACCGCGTCAAGGAGGCGAAGTTAAAGCCCTGTCGATTCTTCTGTTGCTTGACAACACCGGTAAAGCCCAGCAACGTCGGAGAATACTCGTTTCTTCCTCTTCTCTTCTACAGTACCTTTCTATCAAGATGAACTACTGATTCTCCACGATCGAGTTTCCCCCCTTTTTTTCTTTTTTTTTCTAGTTTTGCTACATATGTAGTTTTGATAACTACTTCCCTACAAGGTACTGTAGCGCTGGAGGTATGTATATCTTCTTTTTTTATCTTTTGCCCCTCATCAATCCCCTATTTTCCCCTGGCCTAGTCACGTACTTCACGTATTACTAGGTTACGTACATACGTATATTCATACATAGGCACACACACGCATACATATTACAACACATAGCTCGAAGTCGAGTCCATTGCCCCGCGGCTACACACCGAAAAAGGCGAACACAGTATGACAAAGGGCAACCCATGCCATACATATCTTTGCCATCATGCGCTTCTTACCTACATAGTACTAGTGTGTGCCTACTATGTAAATACATATGTATGTATGTACTACTAGTACGTATGCATGTAGGTAAGTATGTACTAGACTTGGTTGATACATCGATATCTACTAAATATGTATGTAGGTAGGTGCTAACCTAGGTATGTATGGATGTATGGATGTATGGATGCTTCTGATGGACATTCTTTCGGCTCTTCACATCTGACAGTATTGCGCAAACAGCGCAAAAAGGGGGGTTCGAGCCAATGATTCCATAGAGATATCGTCAAGCAAGCCGATCAAGAACAATTACCGATGAGAAAGAAAGGAACGGAGGGGAAAGGAAAATCCATGAAAGTTCCCTTTCTCGTCAGGTATCATCCAGAAAAGGTACGCTTCGCATGACGGGACGGGGATGCAGGAATCCATCATCTCACTCAGCCAGCATATACAAACAATCGGCGCTGTTGCTCGTTGCTTGTTGCTCTCTTCTCTTTGCTATTGCCCAGTAGGTGGAAAGGAAAATGACTTTTTGGTCGGCTAGGCGAGACGATGAGTTGGCCCTGCATATTGCATTGCTAGGTAGATACCTAGCTAGGTAAGCTTCTTGGTCTTCCTGGCCTTCCTGGCCTTCCTGGCTTTTCTAGCCTTCCATGCTATTTCTTCTATTTTTTCCTCTTTTTTTGGTTTCCCATCTTACCCAAATGGTCAATTTGCCCTGGCAGTCCAAGGCTGCATCGCCCGAGACGGCGGTCAAGACTGCAGATCGGGACCCGGTAGCCTTTGGGAATATTTCCCGCCGGCGGCTCGCTAATAAAAATATCATCTGGATGTCAATCAAACCAAGTAAGCTAACCCCCGGCGGTCGAGAGGGAGCCCTGCGAGACCTGCAGCTCACCCAATCCCCGTCGTCCACGCGCGATGTATCCTGCCAACGCATCCAATTGCCTCCTGCAAGCCCACATATTCCATTTAATGCATCCACGACTTCTTCCCTCTTCCTTATTTTTTTTAATACTTTATTTTCTTATTTTCGGTCTTCTTTCTTCCTTCCTTTCTTTGCCCCTGAACCAATCGTGTTTGTTGTGCCATAAGGATCTCTCAATGGTGGTTGGCTGGCTAGCAATCTAGCAATGCTGATGGTCCATAATGGTCTATTCGTGCTCTCTCGATTGGAGGTTATAGACCTGCAATGCATGATGACCAGCGGCTGATTAAAAACAAGCATCGGGCAAAACTATAGACAGGGCTTCAGGTCAGGTCGTGTTCAGAGTTCCCCGATGTAGCCCAACTAAATCCCAACCACGATCCTTTCTGGCTTGGAAAACACGCGACGCCAATCCGCTCTGGTATCCGATTCCCCCTTTCAGCCTTGTACAGATCTCATTGATGCACGTCAGTTGCACCATCCTAGTGCTAGTGGAGCCTCATGGAACGCGTTCGTCTGAACTTACCCAGATCCTATTATAGCTATTTAAACAGACGTTCAAGTGGATATACCCGATATGCTCAGTGTCCAACCACTTCTTTTAGATCTTTCAGATTTTATCTATATGCCCCGAGTTGGCAATGGACCTTTTCACCCTCATCCAATTTTGTAAGTGGAGTAATATACCGACAGGTCACCTAGACTAGGTATACCGTCTTGTCCGGAGATCGAAATTTTGCTTCTTTCGACGTCAACTTAGCGCGCCCTTCACAGCTTACCGAGGCCAGTCATCGCCGTACAGCATAGCGGGCCCCTCTCATGGGCCGGGGCAAACGTGTCCGGCAGCAATGTATAGGTGTCGCTAATAGAGAAGGGTCACCCGGAAGGTCACGGAGTGGGACCATTTACCTTCCCACCTTGTAGGTAACGAGCGAGAAGCTTAACCCTCAATCTCTATATGCTATTTGGTCTAAGGATCCATGGGCTTGCACAGATGAAGGTACCTCCATATTCAGTCGACTGACATGAGAAACACGAGAATCTTCAATTCGAATCGGCTGTGTTCAATAACGACTCAACTAAGGATACAGTAATGCTTAATTGCACACCCCAAGTGGAATGCAAGATTTCCGGTCTGGGCATCTTGACGCATCGCAAAGGTGGTAAATAAACAGCCCATCGGCAACCTAGCCTTGGAACGGCACCTAATCAAGGCGTTTGCAGACGTATCAACTCTATCCATTAAGCTGTATGCCAGTAAACCCAACCCGATGAGAACTCGCCGGCATTTCAGCGTAATTATATGTATACCCCATATTGTAGTCTTGACATGAACCAGCCCAACTTACGCGGCTCCATGCTTTTCCCCTTATGGTTGCCCAATTCCAAGTTCCGCCCATCTCTACATGGACTGCGGGATCCGCTGGCCTGTACGAGTCCGTTTGTGAAACTTGGGAACTTCTTCCGTCTAGAACATGTAGGCAGCCGCTGTCAGGACGGGGCGGTGTCACGTTTAAGAATCCTCAAGCATAGTTGCGGTGTTAGAGATGGGGCCGGACCCGTTCTATTATAGTCTGCATACTTCTAATGTTAATGATACATATTTTGCTCGACTCTGGTACTATAGAACCGTCTGCTATAACACGGAGGGGAGAACGGAGATTCTCGGTTCGGTATGGATTCGATTTGTCATCAACACAGCCGGGGTGTAGTGGAGGACGGTTCAAGATATCCTGAACGTGGCTAGGAACTAATCATTGCTGAATTGATGTTGTGCTAAAAATTATTATAAAAAAATATCACCTGTGGCATGGAAGGATGTGGTTGTGAGTAACATCAAAAGGGGGCGTGTACATTGTGCCACTTACTTCATACCAAGTACGTATTAGCTATAGCCACATCCTATAAACTAAACTTACAACGCTTCTGTCTACCAACGAAGCGTAAACTTGTCATGAATCCTCAAACAACGGAGTGTCAAGCGTGAGGTATTGGCATTCTTGTATTGGTCTATAAACAGACCGGTCTCCAAGGCTTAGGGGGGAAACGCCACCATGTTATGTTGTAAGGCTGTTCGTTTTGTTCCAGCCGCTCAGCTGTGAGAGAGTTTTCTTGCGTAGCAACATTGTGATCAGGACCATCGGTATCTACTGGAGCCACATCGTGGGCTTACTAGAGTCACTACTTGGCCCATTGGCCTGTACCTACTAGTCGGCCGGAGGCCTATCACTTCGTGTTCGGTACGAACTTTTTTTTCCCCAGCCTGTGCCTACCAGTTGGGTTTGTTTACAGCACACCCTCCTCTTAGGTTAGCAGAACAGGCATTGTTGGAGGGGGGGGTCTAAGGGCAGGAAAGAGAGATAGGTATGGATGAGGCCGCCAAACATCCCCGTGTATTGGTATTTACCTACCTCACGATCTACCTAGCCACCGAAATGTCTCACTACCCAAGAGAGAAGATTATCAAGCACACGTCATCACTTGTTAGATCAGAGTTGGTGTTCTCCTATTATAAGACTTACATGGCAAACAAGTTACCTACCTGCCTGCTCAACTGCCATGTATGCCCACACACACGCCCCTGACACCGAAAGAAGGGGTGGGCATAACTAACCTACCTACCTACCTAACCTAGCCTAGGTAGGCAGTCAAAGATGAATCATACCTAGCATTCATGGTACAGCCCCCCGTGGGGGGGCCCAAATCGTCCTATACGATTGTCCCCTGAGCCGTCGATATTCTGGGGCCCTTATCGTAAAAAAACCAGAACTGCATCAGATCAGGCTCGGAATCCAAAGCGGGACGCCCCGTCGATCCTACCTCAGATATCCCCTATCCCCCATCCCTCGTGGTTTATATTATTATTATTCTGGACCTGAATATCGTTCCCCCCCAAGTCACAGGCCGTCGGTTCATTTGCACGACGGGGGCACGAGGGCATTGTACAAACGGAGTTAGTTAGGTAGCTAGCTGGTTAGCTGGTTTGTAAGCCAATGGAATAGGGGGTTTCGTGATAGGGTCTCCTATAGTCGAATCAAAGTTCTATAGTGCCATCTCTTGATTTCTTTTTGATATACATGTAATTAGCTTGTCTCCCGTTTTATACGTTCAATACCTATAGTAGGTACTATTTTGAAGGCTTAGTTCACCTATGAGTTATCTCTATTACAAAGGATTCAAGTTGATGCTAACAAAGCCATGCTATTTTGCCAAGTTACTATTTGATACTGTTGAAGACGGTTGAAGCCTGGTATTCTTATTAAAGCATCGTGTAAATCACAGACGTGGATGAGATATTTACGATTATGACTAACGCTGTTGTAAATAACGGCACACGTACTCTTCACTAAGAAGCAAGATCCTCTTTCTAGATTGTTAGTATGCTCTATTTTGTTGTAGTTGGTAGTTGTGCCCAAACCGCCTCCTGAACACCTAAGTATTCCGTCATATTCAGCTAGGTTGGATCCTGATGTGTGTCTTGAATCGGCCGATTCATGCGAGACACTTATGTTCTACTCGTCCGAAGAACAATGATATGATTAATGTTTTACCAAACCAGCCTCCTAAATTGGACATCAGCCCATGATAGGGGCTGGCATACTAGCAAGTTAGTAAAACAACAAAGAAATGTTGTGATATCAAGCCCAATTTCTCCCAATTCCATCACTATGACAATAGAATATCGTTTCCGATAGCAATATGCCAATGCTATACCTAGTACTCTGCTTGCATTGTACTTGCTTACTCTTGGTTAAAAAAACCTCGTGATCATAATTAGGCTCAAATATACCTATCAAATAACTTGATTATGTCTATTATCGACCAACTTTTGCATTCCCATCCTTCAGTCTTTCTCGAATCTTAGAATTACCAACAGTCAGACATAAACGTAGCGTCCATCTATTTGTTCTTTCCAGTTGGGATGCAGAACAGCACAACCTTCTTCTCACCACCCTCATCGTATGCCTTATCTACCCGGTAATAACCCCTGCGCTCCAACTGGATGATATCGTCCTGCTTGAGCTTGGCAACTCCTTCGTCGCAGAATGCCTCCTCCATAGTGGCTGTGGTTGGAGTGAGGAATTTCTCGAGATCGTCTTCCTCCTCTAGTTTGTCCTTCGTGATTAGATAATCGAAGTCCCATAGCTCCGCATCGATGAGCTTCTGCCCCTGTGTCGAGAGCCACGTGACCTTCTTATCTGTAGAGCGCACGTCGCCTTTGAGATTGAGCTCGCAAGTTAAGCTTGTAATTGGGTCACCGCTGGCGACGGCTCTGACGAAAGCATTACCCCATTGCATTAGAGTGATCTCTTCGTTGTCCTTGAACGACTTGGCATCGGCCTGGTCCAGAATCAATTCTTTGCTGAACGCTACCTTCTTTGTACCGACAGCAGGGTTCTTGGGGTGGAGCGGTTTGTCCTCGGTACGTGGCTCGGCAGGGGCGTCATCACCCATAATGGCTACTTTGGCATGGTCCTTCTTGAGAATGGCGGTGTGTCGTGGCGCAACAGGGTCAATTTCCTTTTTGTTCGTGGCCCAGAAGGCAGCCCAGTCCATTGAGACCACATTTCGGGACGGCCCTTGCTTGAGAATAAAATCGCGCAGCGCAGCGATTGTCATTCCTCGTCTTCGGATACCGCGAATGGTAGGCATTCGCGGGTCATCCCAACCCCATACTCGGCCGGCATCGACCAATTTCGCCAGCTTCCGCTTAGAAAGGAACGTTCGGATGAAGTTCATGCGGGCAAAGTCCCACATGTAGACTTGTCGCAGCTTGAGCGTGTCGAGGAACCATTGGAACTGGGGGTTTCGGTCCGTATACTCCGTGGACCTGAGGGCATGTGTGACTCCCTCCAAGCTGTCAACAACGGGGCACGCAAGATCATAAGTCGGGTACATTTTCCATTTGGTACCCGTTCTGTGGTGGGGGTCATTGGGGTTGCATCTGTAGATGACAGGATCGCGCATCGCCTTATTGGGGTTGTCCACGGATATTTTGGCTCGAATGCAGTTCTTTAACCCCTCCTCAGTGCCAATCTTCATGGCATCGAAAATGGCCAGGTTCTCCTCCACTGTCCGGTCCCGTCTCTTGGATGCGATACCCTTTCCTCTCTCCTCGCGCATGGTCTCAACATCCGTGTCATCAGCATAGGCGTTTCCGCTCTTGATGAGACCAAGGCACGTGTCGTAAAGATGGTCGAAGTAGTCAGAGGTATAAGTGACTACATCCGGCTTGATTCCCATAAGAGCAAGATCCTCGATGATAGCATCTTGGTACTCCTCCTTCTCTTTGCTCGGGTTTGTGTCGTCGAGCCTTAGGCGGAGCGTACCATTATAGGCTTGGTGTGCGAAGTAATCACTGAGGAGGGCAGCTTTGGCGTGTCCAATGTGAAGATATCCTCTAGGCGCTTGAGTCAGTATTCGTTCATGTATATGGGTCATGTGGATCTCATTTGATAATAAAAGGGAGAATCGGTCTTACGATGGCTCGGGCAAGAAACGAGTAACAACGCCTTTGTCTGTTTCCTGCAAAGCTAGGTTGTAGCTTGCTCCAGCTCGACTAGCTGCTTGGACCTTGGCCTTGCGCGCCGTATCAGCGGCCTTGACATCGGCTTGGATTTCTGGGTGGGTTTGTTCGATATAGATAAACCATCGGTGGAGATTAACATAGGATCCCTTGCGGACGAAAGAGATAGCGACTCGATTGTTTTTGATCGCAAGCCAGATTTTGGTGTCAAGCTCACTCAAAGTGTATCCAGCAAGGTACGTTCGTAGGGTTAGGTGCTTCTCGAGCCTGATGAGATGAGGCTCTAGAGATTTGAAATCTCCTCCTAAAGAGGTTGAAACGGCGACTAGCTCGTCTGCCTTCATTTTTCGTATATGCTCTATGTAAATTGCAGTTATGTAAAGTTGAAATTGTACCAATTACAAACTTGTAATACTAGGGTTGAATTGAGGTTAAAGCTGTTGACTCACGACTGTTTTCTGTCCGAGTGGCGGGGTCAAAAGTGATCACCCCACTGACGGCATACTATCAATTCTTTTTTTTAAAAGGAAGACATTGGCGGGGTAGGTTTTATCTTGCTGCATAACTTGCATACTTGCATGCTTCAAGTTGCTCAAGATAGGCATTGATCAACGATAAGATAACAATTTGTGGCTATCTCACTGTGGCTAATTAACTAACCCAGTGGTTAGTTATGTAAGCCGAGATTTCTAATGAGGCTGAAATCCTTGTCAATTTCAAGGCTCTAAACTGGAAGTTGATTGAATATTCTAAAATTGTTTCTTTTGAACTTAATAACCAAGTTTCACAACGAATTCCACGTCGATAACTTTGGTCCCGGCTGCTAGAGTCGGTCGCAATGGCCTCATTAAATCAATGCGTCGCCTCATTGACGAGGCTAAGCCTCACAGCGACCACAAGACCAGTGAATGCAACAATTCCGAGATTTTTAGCGCCGTCGATAGTCCAGACAAGATGCAAAAGCGCCGGTACTGTGGCCATGCGCGCACGTGAACGAGAGAAGGAGAAGCTCAAGAAGAAGAAGAAGCAACATAAATTCAAGGAGCACAAATATGCTACGCCGAGCAGGGAAGAGCAATTCTCACTATGCGATGCTATGCGGTATGTCGAAATTCTCTTGATATTCCCTCGATGCCTACCAAACTCCATATTCCCGTTACTAGTGCTAATATGGCAATAATAGATATCTGCGAGCTGCAGAAGTTGGCCGTCCTCCATCCTCTGTCACCTACGAAATCGCTTTAAAGATCAGAACCCCGAAGAACAGTCTACCCCTTCGAAACCGAATACGTCTACCTTATCCCATTAAAAACGACACTCGCATCGCCGTTATTTGCAAAGAGGGCGGCGACGCTATGCACGACGCCCGCGCCGGTGGAGCGGTGGCGTTCGGAGAGGATTCCCTTTTTGAACTTATCAGGGCGAACTCGAATAAACTGCCTTTCAACCGTTTGATCTGCCATGTAGAGTCCGAACCGGCCCTCAAGAAGGCAGGTCTTGGCCGGATATTGGGTCCTAAGAATCTAATGCCCAGTTTGAAGACCAACACCATTACCAAGAGTGTGAAGTCTTTGATGCACGAGATGGTCGGCGCCGAGGTGTACAGAGAAAAAGTTGGTGCCATCCGCATGCCTATCGGGAATATCCTATTTACCCCCAAGCAACTGTCGGAAAACGTCAAGACTCTTGTGGGGGCAGTGAAGGAGAATATCACAAATTTGGAGGATAAGGTCAAGAAGGACTTGATCGAGGTTGTGCTGACTTCTTCCAACGGGCCGGGATTCAGTTTGAACGGAAACTTTGGTCCTACTGACGAGAAGATCCAGCCATTGCATTTAAGCACAGCTATGTAAATATCCACATGAATAAATTCTGAAGAACAGGCAATGTAAAAATGTATCATATTATTTGAGCAAGCCACATATTTGGGTATCTCTCTTTACGGTCATGCTCGTAATGCTAGACAAATGTCAAACGAAGTCGTTCTTAGATCCTTATTTGCTCTTCAAGGCCTTGACTGCTTCTACTTGGGCGTCTAGCAGAGAGTAGACACTCATGAGCTTGAGTAATTTTGGTTGCCCCTTTTGGCCTACCTTCTTGGTCTCCTTCAATGCCACCCCCAAGTCTAGAAGGATGGTATTGCGACATCTCACCAGTCTTTCCTCCGCTTTCCGTACAAAAGGCGTCTCCCTTCCAATCTCGGTGGCCAGCTCATCTATTGCGACGTAGTCACTTGCTAGCCGGGCGAGCTTCGTAGAGCTGCTCCCCACTGCCCCATGTAGCTCATCTTCCTCTTCATCCTCTTCGTCCTCGTCACTGTCATCACTATCTGCCCCCGTACTTCCCACCGCCAGCCGTCCCTCGAGCGCGGATATCCTCTCATCAAGATCCAACATCTTCCTTCCCGTCTCGATGTCACTTCTCACAGTACCCAAATCTTTATTTAGCCCACCAACCTCTAACCCCCTTTCTCTAACCCGGCCCTTGATCTCCTCCACAGCTCGCCGAAACCCGAGAAGCGCTACCCGGACATCCTCGACCTTCTCTTCGCCACCTTTCAGTTCGTCCCCCAAGCTTAAAAAGCTGGTGTAGTTGGTGTTGACGAGCTCGAGCAGCTCGGTGCTGATGGCAGAACTGCGCTCGCGTAGGTCGGAGCGCAAGTCTTCGAGGGTCTGGTGGCGGTTCGCTAGGGAGGAGAGGTATTCTGCCGGGTCAAAGTCCGGGGCTAGGAAGTCGGAGCGCGGGAGCGCCATGGGGAAGGGGAGGGGGGCGTCATCATCTTCATCCTCAGAGGAGGAGGACGAAACGCCCAGGGTGAAGCCGCGAGAACTTATGGGTCTAGATGTGGTGGGCGAAAGTGCCGAGAGATGCGCCATGGTGTGTGTCGTTCCGGTGGAAGCGGGTGGAGCTGTTTCTCTCAGATGACGTTTGCCCCAGCTCAAGTTTATGTGTTAAGGCACGGGTGTAGGGCAGTGTATTAATTATTCGGTTCTTTTATTCTTTTTTCAGATCTTTCCTTTGAAACTTCCGGTTCTGTTGGCCAAACAAGCTCTTAACGACAATTGATTCCTTCTAGGGATACAAGCTTAGCCTTGAATATAATGCCTGTCTTGGGTTTTCGCGATTAGTTTAATTGACGTGAATTAGTAAAAGTGTACTTAGTATTATCAGATTTGCTTCTTAAAGTCAAAGTCAAATCGCGACTACAAAGCAGGTACATTGAATACGTAGCTGGAGCTTTAACTTTGAAGTGTGGGGTTCAATGCTCATGCACGTGGAGTATCAATACGTACACCATCGCACCATGCAAGTGCCATTCACACCGAGATTCACCTCACTGAGCTGACGTAACTTAAGATGGACCCTTTTCACCCCAACCGTTTTAGAGGTTGCAGACGATACTCCGGTACCGGGCACTAGTAGGGCTTGGTCGAGGACAAACTAGGTCCCGGAGACACCCGAGTTTATCTGTCCCTTCCATCATCGTTTCTTTGAAGTTTGAGCCACATGTGTACCATATGCAGGGCAGCTACATCCTAATAACTACTATCGATACTACATTTATGCATCCTAAGTACATACTAGTAACCTGGACACTTAAACTTCAATGTTTTGAAAACATCGTCAGAAGAGGGACTACCATAATAGCTACTAAACTAAACTAACTTGGTTACATAGAAACACTCGAACGAGATCGGAAACTGACAGGTCCGAGCATGCACAAGTGGATTCGTCGGCTTAATTTTTTTTTCCTCTTTCTGGGTTCAGCAAAGCTACTAGGTATCCTAAGCCATCCTGAGCCATGCTGAACCAACCTTGAGCTATACCACCTCATGTGACATTCATCGGATTGGCTCATTCTAGCCGAGTGGACAGTCCTTTCCAGGTTATGGGTTATGGATTGTGGGTTACAGGGCCCTGGCATAATCTTATCAATCTGATCAGTGATCTCGAACCATCACCTGTCACCCATCATCTATCGCCCATCAACATCCTCTGCCGACTTTCTATCCCTACGACCCGTTTCCGAGCATTGGTTGTTGGAAGTATCTGCACGACCCCCCCAAAACTCTTCACCTTTTCACCCCCACCACCAACTAATTACGGATAAGGAAGCTTTTAACTTGAGAGCAAAGACATCCTCCATACCACACGATACTACCTCTAAGTCTTGGATTGGCAAAAGCGTGTCGATGAATGACTGCTCAGATACCTCATTCGTTCATCCTTTAGTCACGTTTTTCGATTTGGATCAGAAATCTCATCTACGAGTTGATTTTCTCGCACTAATTGAATAACTAATACCATACACATTGTGCCAAATACCCAAGGACTCCAGGATCCCAGGACCTTTTACCTCTCAAGGAAAAGAACAAGCAAAAAGGCATTGCCCTAGTTCGGACCCTGAGAAACTATTCTCGGTCCGTTCCCACTTGATTCTCAATTTCTCTTCCTGTCGCCCGCCAAGTTTGCTTACTTAGAGGGGAATCTTCAATAATCTTCTTATTACTCTTTTTTTATCTTTTTTCTTTTCTCCTCCCTTGACCGAAGAAAACATAACTTCGACGCAGAGCAAAGAAAGAAAGAAAAAAAAAATACTCCCCACAATATAGATTGATACATCGACATCTTGATCTCATTGAATATTAACTGATTTACTTGATATACACTTCTATTTACCTACTTGGATTCTTGTCACACGCCATTTTGCGGAGCCGAACCCGCGGAAACCCAGAGTCACAGCATACGTTGATGTCCCAGGTGCATTGCACCACCAAAGTGGACAACGAATAGAATTGACCGAATGACTATTCCACCTCCTGGCTCCAGAATCGGATCATTATGGCAACCCCTACTACCGCTACTGCTACCACCACCGCCTTTACTGCTTCTACTAACTTGAACGGCAACCCTAAACCAAGACCACAGCCAACCAAACTATCTATAACCCCTATCTCAGCTGCATCTTCCCCCGCCTCGGTTGCTTCGCCCATTTCGACTGTTTCTACGCCAACATCGACGCATCAACTTACTATCAAGCCTGCTGCCACAGCACTACAGGCAACCACTAATATGGCCGCTGTCGCCCTTTCAAAGGGCTCAATTACTAGCAAGGAATGGGTGGTTCCGCCGAGGCCTAAGCCTGGTCGGAAGCCCGCCACAGACACACCGCCAACTAAGCGAAAGGCCCAAAACCGAGCAGCTCAGCGCGCATTTCGCGAGCGAAGGGCTGCACGCGTAGGAGAATTGGAGGAACAACTCGACGAACAGAAGGAAGAGTATGATCGAGTACAACAGCAATTGACGGATCATGTTCACGAATTGGAGACAGAAGTGCAAACTCTGCGGAGCAAATGTGTGTCTCTTGAAGACCTACTGGAGAAGGAACGGATCGAGCGGGCCAAAATGGCAGATGAGCTCGAGACCCTTCGAAGAAGGTGGAGAAACGAAGGCTCAAGCGTATCTTCGAGGAATGGAAGTTTCATTGCCCACCATGGCCGGTCATCCAACGCATCAGCTATGATATCTCGACATCAAACACCGCGAGGAAGCATTGCAAGTAACGCACCGGAACATCGCAATTCGACCACCGCCTTCTCGATCTCGCAAATTATCTCCCCTCCCGATTCATCCGATTCTTCTAGGGCCGCTCGAGAATCTTCAACGGATCCCACGGGTTGTGGAAACTGTAACTCTACGGGACCATGTGTGTGTGTTGATGAAGTTCTTGCCAGTGCATCTGTTGGATGCGGCAAGTGCACCATAGGTACCAAGTGCGAATGCCTAGAAGCTGTCATTAAGGGGCCCGCTCCGAGCTCGGATACTGAACTCAAGCGAAAGTCATCGTCGATACCTGCCATGGCCCCAGAAGAGAAGAGGCAGAAGGTGCCGGAGCCTTACCCTCACGAGATCGACTTCACATCTATGTTTGCCAAAAAGAAGGCCACTGTTACAGAGCCAGCCCTGTACCAACCCGTCACTCAATCTGCTGTACCGCCACGTGACTCTTGCGGGTTCTGTAAGGAGGGCACCTACTGCATGTGTGCCGAGGCCGCCGCCGCTTCACAAAACCTTGCACCAGTGTCCCAACAAGTCCAGACTCCACCCCCTTCAGAGAACGATGTCGGCCCTGCCCCTATGGAAGTCACGTCCACTGGAGCAATTAAACTACCGGGTATAAGTTCTTTGAATCGTACTCCGATCCCGGCATCGCGCCCCTCATCCGGCTGTGGTCCCAACGGTCCCGGAAGTTGTGCCCAGTGCTTGAAGGATCCCAAGTCGGGCCTCTTCTGTCGTAGTCTTGCTGCGAACTTTGCTCGTAGTGCAGGGAAGTCCAGTGGTGGTTGCTGTGGTGGCTCCGGCGGTTCCAGATGTTGCAAATCTACTGAAGGAACAGCGACGCCCACCGGATCGACGTCCAACGTCAGTCTATCTTGCGCAGATGCATACAAGACACTCTCTAGTCACCGTAACTTTGAGAAAGCAGCTGATGATATTGGTACTTGGCTACCGAGACTGAGGGCTGCTCCACCACCATCGAGCACGCCAACTAGGCTACCCATTGAGGTTGAGGCAGCTAGCATAATGGGGGTGTTGAGAGAATTTGACGTTAGATTCGGCAGAGATGGTTGAACTCTATTCATTCTACTAAGGGAACTGGGAGGTTATGAAAACCGTCTGAACAGACGATGTGACTATATGAGATACGGTGCGGAGGGATCATTAATCCTACGGCGTTTGAAAAAGGGGTGGCGGTCAATTGTTACAGGCACACATGCGTTAGAGGAAAGGTGGCCTTACCCAGTTGTTTTCTGGGCTTGCATTATCAACCACGGTAATTGTCTATATGAGGAGGTCATGAGGGTGGCTTCTTCGTGCTGATGACTAGCTGGCTACTTGAGGCCATGAAGTCATTCGCACCTATTTGTATATTCCAAAAGCGATACCATTGAACTTAAAGTGGTTCGAATACATCACTGCTTCTAATTTTCTTGTCTCTACTTTGCCAATGGGGTTTTACAAGACTTTCAGTTGATGACATGTGGTCTCCTGGTATTCCCTGAGATCTAATCGTCACGATTGCTTAACATATCAACTACATGACAGCGTTCGTCATGATCTTACTCTATCCCTTAACACAATGCTAACCTAGTAATATTCATCGAGGCCTAGAGATGTAAATTTTCTATTGATCTCATTAATACAAACAATGATAGTACAAAACAGATAGACAATCCAGTGTCCATTTCCCCATGCTCTTCTCCCCTTTTTATGCAAAATGATTAACACCCTTCTAAAAACCAGCTGGGTTCTTTATGATACCCATCGCGCCGCATTCAGTGCATCCTTAGTGTAACATGATGATCGTGGCCTACGCCCCTATGGCGTTCACATCGGAGACGTTGTAGTCGATAGCCATTAAGTCGGTGGGTAGTCGGTCGTTATGCCATGCCACGCCTAAGCCCGATAGCATCCATCATCATCATCTATGCGGCTACCCCAGCTTTCAAGGTTGGCAAGCTTAGTTCGACGACGAAGACGACGCGGTGGTGTTCGCCGCCGCGCCATCACCGAACCCGCATCCGGCCTTGCCGGCCTGGAACTGGGCGCCGAGACCCGAGCACACGCCGAAGCTCTCGCCCGTCACAACGGCGCAGCAGGTGGATGCGCAGTCCGCAGAGCTCAGGCACTGCCCGCCGATGAACTGGATGCCTTGCCCGTTTCCGACGTTCTTGTCGCCTGCTGGGTCGAGGGTTACCGGGACGGCTAGGGCGGGGAGGGCGACTTTAGGGTAAGGTTAGTATTGGGAGTACAGGGGATGAGTGAGGGAGTGGGAAAAGGGGAGGGAAAGGGGGTAGGTGACTTACTGGCCAGGGTAGCGAGGATGGTGAATCGAACCATTTTGTCTGGTATTTAGAGAGAACTAAAGTAGGTAGATAGATCGAGTGTGATAGATCAAGATTGTTCTTCGTAGAAGATGGGATGAAAGTTGTTTTAATATCGTAGAATGTTTGAGTTGTTGATAGTGAGCACGGACAGAAGATCTCCAAAGCGATCATGAAGAAGCTTAAATATATACCCGAACATCATGATCCCCATGTCCCTCCCTCCCTGCTTCTGGAGCTACATAGCCTACTGGCAGCGCTTCTCGAACGACTACAGCCAACATCAACAACCCCTTACGCCGGATTGAACTAGGGCCGCGAGGCTGAGTGTGGAGTTTTCTGCTACGCCTGCGGCCTCAGCTTCAACTCGACCCCTGGCTATTTTGATACGTCGCATGTTGGTTGACATGCCGAATGTGGCCTTGACCCCGGATCATCGGAACCTTGGAACATTGGTGCTAAATGTAGGGCTGGGCAAGCGCTGCAATAATTTGACAACTGGATGACATGATGATATTTTTGGATGAGTGTTTCTATTTGTTTAGATAGGTATCTATTTACGGGAGAGTTGGGACGTGACTCCATTCGGGAGTTGCGCGGAACCCCACACTCTATGCACTGATGCCATAACTGCAGGTGCTATAACGGGATCCACGACGTTTGTTTAACCTGCCTACATACACTTGACGCTTGAGATCTCGAAATATAGTAACACTTGATGGTTACTCTACCTTGAACTCCGCCTCGAGGATACGATTGCCAAGTCAAACCCTCTCACAAACCAACAACAAAGGAGGAATGAATGGCCTTCAGGAGGAACTCGGTCGCATTCGATTCCGAGGCCCGTCTGACAGAAAGGAATTGGGGAAAACAATCCTTTATTCGCCAAACAGTAGAACCTTCCAAAACAGTGGATGAAAAAAAAAGGCTGACTGTTGAACTTCATTCCTCCGGTTCGTTCAAAGTGGCGCGTGGCAAAACGTAAATGTTTTGTAACTGAGGTTTCGGGATGATCTGGGAATGTCAATGCAGGTGATTATAGGATCTTCGAGATCTTCGCGTGTGGCTCCATGTCACTGGGCGATCATATCGATCCTTTTTCTTAGTATACCTATGCGCTGTCTGTCTGATTACTGCGAAACAAGAAGATTCATACCAAAAAAGAGGCAAATAGGAAGGAGAGTATAGTGACCGGAAACTGATTCTGTCTGGAAAATGTGTCAATTAGGGGTACAGCTGAAACCATCTGGTCTTGGCCAATCATAGTCCTTCAAATCCCCCTTTTCCATCCTCCATTAACCACAGCTTACTAGATATCTAGTAATAGGCAGTCTATATAACTACATCAGGTCCGTAACACATACTAAATCAAATGAAAAAGAGGGTTTGACTCTGAACGATCATGAATTCTACCTACCTAACCATAATGAATTTTCACACGCCCCAAGTAACGCCACTACAACTCAATGTCGCCGACTTCTACTCTTCTCAGACGCTTAGGGTAGGATAGATAGTATCAGCATCTCCAGCCATCGAACCCGATTAACCGGTTACTTCATATCCAATGTTCTACGATCTAGGAATTATGGACGAAGAAGTGAGATCTCGTTTACGGTAACTACAACTCGACGTCGCCGACCTCTCCCACCATCAAACTTTCGACGTCAGTCTTTGGCTTTGTGCTACACCTAGTCAAGTCCCCAATAATAGTATTTTCCTCGTTCCGTGAACAATAAGAAGCATCATTCAGTCAAAGAGCCATGGGACGGAACAAGCTAACAATCGGCTATCAACCATACCTGAACAAAGAAACCCTACAATGCCCGTCTCCTTTGATCAAAATCAACCTCAAAGTAGAAACAATGAAGTCTTTACAAGATCATGATACTTGGTAGCTTGATCACAGCTCATATATACTAAGTATCATCCTCCATCCAGATCCTTCTTAACAATTTCCTTGTGTTCCACCCCCATCCTCCCCCCTAATTTCCCCCCTGGAACGAAATCGCCCACATCACTACATTCCCCAGACCTTCTTTTGACTGTTTAATGCGCTCTTACCCCTAATAAGCCTACCTACATATCATAAGTCTCTATACCATACGTCTCCCGAGCCACTACACCCCACACGTACCCACGTACCTACCACCACCATGCCCACATTCGTCACCCGCGAGTCCTACGCCTGCTCCCACAGCGTCGAGACCTCCAAAGTCGTTCTCGGCACCGACGCCGCGACCATGATCGAGACGATACCGATCCCCTCGCAATGTCTACAGTGCGTATGCCGGTCTCTCCTCGACACCGTGTTCCCCCTAGACGCAGACGACGATGACATCGGCAGTGACAGTGACAGCGATGACAACGACTCAAGCCAGTTCCTAGACCGCGTGCCCCTGCTGCACATGAGCGAGCTCGTCGAGCACCTTCAGACGCTGATACGGAAGCAGCGGCGCAGCATGGTGGTGGGAAAGAGGGGTGGCTACGCGGCGGGGGTGAAGCAGATGCGCGATCTGGAGAAGCTCAGGTCGAGCGTGCTGGCGCCGGCGGATGCAGGTGAGTTCCGGGCTACGCTGCTTGCGCTGACGGGCTTCCAGTTTGAGGTTGATCCTTGCTTTTTTATTTAATGCCTAGTTTTAGTTATACATATATGGACGAAATAGGGTGTAGTAAAACACTTGCTTCGCATAGAGCATGTCCTCTGGGGATTAGGACGAGGTAGGTTTAACTCGTTTAGTCGTAATAAATCATCTATGAAGCACTTTCAAGTCAAGTCCTCTATGTGAAATAAATTAGTTCCCATTCCAAACACATGCGCCTCGTTCGTTGCCCGATAGGCTCATATCGACCTACTAGGCCTCGTCTTCTATATAAATGGTATCATTATATTTTGATTCTCTGAAGTAAAAGAATTCTCTCATGATCGATCCAGCATCAGCGTAATCCTCGTAAGTAATAAATGACGTCCCGCTAGCTAGGTAGGTATGTATGATATAGTTCAAAGATGTATTTCTTCTACTCTCTTTATACCATGCTACTCGCTGGATAAAACAAAGTCATCACGAAAGCAGGCTTTTTATTCAAGCCTCACCATGGTAGAGCATCTGCTTGCACGTGTCGAGTCGACCACAAGCTTCTTTGAGTAATTCTGAGGGTGACTCAGATGTAAGAGCACCAACCGTGTCAAGCAGGTTGGGCAACCCGTCTAGAAGACTTGTCGGAGATCTAGTGTCGTCAAGCTCCGATAAATTTGTGACCTTGGATAAGTAATCGAAAGCGTTTGTCGTGTTATGTTGTAGCTGTTGTGGAAATGGGCGGAGCGTGTTGGACTGGCCACTCAACTGGGTGAGTGCTCGCACATAAGACCAGATGCTCAGTGTTGCATAATACATGATCCATGGTCGATGGGGATCCAGATCTCGCCGACACGAATATTGTATTCCATATGCATCAACACCATTATTGACGTATCCGTTGTTCCTCCTTTGTCGAGGATCCAAAAGAATGCGATGAAGAAGTCTGAAGGCGTGGAGAATTGCATGGCGCGTTGGAAGCTGATTTGACCATAACGACATTCTCTTCACAACGTTGCTATAATCACGGGTGGAAACCTTGCGCCCAAGCAATCGTTTTGCACCAGCATATACTTGACAATCGATAATATCGATGTACAAGCTAATATGAGCAAGATGATAGAGGACCGATGCGCTTTGAATGAGACCGTTCGAATGCGACTGGGGTCCTGGACTGTCCGATTCTGAGTCGGTGGAGCCGATGGCGCTATCAAAGCTGGTCTTCCAATGGTCAAAGGCTTTAAGCAACATGCTACACCATTTATCTCGCGTATCAGAGGCACCTGCTCCTAGCTCTAACCATTTGAGGTGCGTATCGCGATGTCTAAGATGCCAGCCAACACTTAAAAGGCCGCACATAATGATCATGCGACCAAAAGCATGTGTCTGTACCTCCTTTCCATGGATAGCCCGCTTTAGGCCATCTAAAAAGGAGACAGGCTTGACACCATATAATCTAAAGTTGGAGTCGTGGTGTCGAACCGTCTCTGGGCTCGACGCGGACCATAAAGATTCGTCGCAAGGTAAGGGTAGACGTATTTCGTGAGGAGCCATATCAGCCGCATGCCCAAACATGGCAGCGTGGATAATGTCCATCATGAACGCAGCGAATACGACCCTATGCATCGATTCTGTCCTAGCCCACTTTACCCACCACGTCCTAGCATCTGATGTTGCCGGATGTTCTGATCCGTTTTGTTCATCAGACGGCGATTCTGACCCCGCGCCTCCAATTAAGGGGCTTCCTCGTCTAAGCAAAGTTAGGGTCACGGAATGATAGACATGAGCCCTCTCATGCAAATTTCTAGACGAATACATCTTTTCGTAGAACTCTAATAAGAGCAAGGCTTGAGCGACCCAAAGTTCCACCGGAGGGGAGGCTTCATCGGCGGTCAGGACTTCGAAACGAACATTCGAGATGATTAGATCAGCGAATTCCTTGTACTCTAGTAGCTCCCGCGTAGTTTCACGACTATAGATCTGGGCAGCACCCGAGGCGATCATGACCATGAGGAGACAGATAGAACACTGAGCAGAGGAGAAAGTGGGTTGGTGAACGATAGGCAAACGCGGCGATACAAAGTCCCAATAGTGACGCATGCACTCTCGTAAAAAGTCCAAATGCAGGCCTGGGATATCATCGCCAATTTCACGCATTAAGTTAGCCAACTTGGCGTTGAATCTAGTCTGCTTTTGATGGAATAATTGCACATAACGAAGGACTTCCTGACGACGATGCTCGGAGATCAACTCTTCGGGCGAATCGGGGTGTCGTGGAGGCGTAAGATCAAGTTGGGACCGACTAGTGAGAGACTCATGATCGTAATGAATATTATTATTAAATGGTGATTCAAGGCCACCTTCGAGGAACGGGATGTTAGTAAAGCTGATGTCTCTATACGCTTGTTGGGGGTCACGGGGGTCAAAGAGCCAAACGCCAAAGTTCTCACGAACCCCCAGTTCGTTGGGATCAGTAGGCAAAGAGACGCTGTGATAAGGCACAAATGTGGAATGATCAGGCATAGGAGGCTGTTCGCGACTATAAAAGCTGGGCTTTTGGCGAATTAGGTTGATGCCATCCATCGAAGAAGTCCAAGAGACGCTATGAGGAAGCGGGCTCGGTTGGGTAGGGGCCATGGGAGGAGGCAACGGTGGAGGCTGTGGTTGGACGGGAGTGTCAGAAGCCAAGAGCACAGCAGCATTACGGGGAGCACTCGCGGGCTGCTGAGGAAATGTTGCTGGTCGCGGTGGCACAGCAGTATTCGCAGCGATATTGGGCGAGGGCATCACAGGAATGTCTTGCACCGTCTCCTTAGCAGGTATGCTAAAGCTGCTGGTACGATTCCTCGGGATATATGAGGCTGAATGACGTTTCTTGTGGCGTGCTAGTAGGTCAGGCCTCACAAAGGTTTGGGTGCAGTCAGGCACATCGCAGGTGTAGATGGTCTTGGGATCATCTTGAGGCTAGTTAGTACTGCGGGATAATCATTGGCATAGACCCACAAGAAATGATTAGGTTGAAGATCTGGGGATCTAGATAGATCTAGATCTACGTAGTTGGTCTCTTGGAATATGAGTCTCGGATTCTTTGTCCAAATTAACAAAACAGCTTACGATTCAATTGATGTCTTTGAAGATGTTCCGCCCTCGAGTACACCTTGTCGCATCCGGGCCAGTTGCACGAAAACCTCCGCGGCGCGCCCTTCCGACTCGCACGTTTGTAGGTGCCGGTCGCGTTCGCGCTCTCGCCGCCGCCACCACCAGACCCTCCTCCTGGTGATTGTTGCTGAGACGCCATTTAACCGCGACATCGCTCATCCATAGGTATAACTTGCATATGCACTGAGCCGTTACGCGGGCTGAGGAGAGAAAGACTAAAGAGAGTCCTGGCCAGGCTTTCCAACAAGAACGGGACAGGAGCGAGCCAGGATTGCGCGACATTTCTCACGAGCTCGGCATGGCTGAGATGGGGAACTCTAACGAATCTAACGCGGGGTTAGCGTGGGGGTTCTTCCTTGCCAGGTAAATACATACAATGCATTCGTATCAACGCACATTCATTCAATGCCTAGTATTCAATGTTATGCATATCAACATATGCACTTCGTGCCCTAATTACTGGATACATCATTGATAGTATGTACCTAGGTATGTACCTCCTACATAAGTACATCAATGTGTATGTAGGTATTAATTTCAATATTGGTCTCTCTATATATACATTGTACAAGCCAACCTTGAATACTATGTATTTGATTGTTGCCTCTGCAGGTGAAAGAGGCTTTGAACTAAATATACAAAGATGGCTTTCAACCTCGATCAGAAGCGACCCCCTCACTGGGACAAGGCTTTCAAACACATAGAGGGATCTCAGTACACGCCGGCCTATATATCTCGGTCCCAATACAAAGCTATAATAAGCAAACCTAGCCCAACTATGGAATATAGTCAGTTGTAAGAGAGCTTATAAGAATGATGTGGCACTATAAAGTATTTCGTTTATTATTTTGGCCGGTTGCCTATTCTTTAAATAAGGTTAGGCATCTACTTGATATTCTACATAATCCTACCGAGTTCTACAATCATTGGACATGGCCAACCTCAAGCCCATACCCGGACGATGGACAGCGACTTGCCAAGCTCTGGCAGGAACCAACAAGGCGCACTATTTATGTTATATCAATTGATGTACACGCCTGGGATTTAGATCAAAGCAAGATTACGGACATTGGACTGTCTATTTGGTACCCTAATACCCATCACGAATTCGATATACGGTGTTTTCATTGGCGAATCAAGGAAAATATGTCTCTTCTGAACCGGCATGCGCCTAATGAACCCGATACATTTACCTTCGGCGGCACTGAATTTATTAGCGAAACTGACATAGCCGCGAATTTTGAGCATCTTTTTAGTACATTTGCTGTATCTCAGAATGTAGTTATTGTTGGGCATAGAATCAACCTTACAATGAGACTACTTAAAAACCATTGGAAACCGCCAAATACAATGACACTACTTGATACGCAAAATATATGGCAACTTCAACACCAACGGTTGGACCAAGTTACGCTTGAGAAAGCACTCAAAACGACATTAGGAGTAGTATACCAAGACCACTTGCTTCATAATGCTGGAAACGATGCACAGTTTGTATTACTCCTGCTTCAAGCGCAAGGTCTTGCTTTACTTCTCTCCAAGCACTGACTTGAGGTGGAGGCTGAAGGCTTATAGTTACCTCCGTAGAAATAAGGATGCTAGCCCTGCTGGAGGTATGTATCTACTACATACTACTAGGTACTATGTATACTAGGTTAGGTACATTAGGCGTATACTACCTAGTAATACTAATTTAGGCAGTATATAGGTACGTAGGTACTACCAGTTTAAGCATTATATACAAATTTTGGAGGTTCCCGAAAGATAATTTCTATGATCAATTGTGGTTGTTCAAATGAATCCTTCAATACCTTTGAATCCACATTGACAATTGGAGTTTTTCCCTCCATTATATTTGCAACTAATGATTTCCCAAATACTTTCCGTAATCTTTCATGTATTGATCGCATCGCCACTACATTATTACAGCATCGGGTGGAGGCCGTGTGCTTGCTTTTATCAAAAAGGCAACTCCACTCTGACTGAGATGTCATACTGCTACTAGTATTTAAGCTTGGATCGAGAATAGTTGTGGATTGCCAGTCCTGCGGCAATCCATTGCTATCCCAAAATACCGAAAATATTACGGAAAGGCCACTTGATGATATGAGCTTATGTGAACTCGTACCAACTCCTCGGCACTTCATGTCAATAATGACAGTGTCACCTAGGGGGTACGCTTCCTTGAGAATGCATCTATCCGGTGCTGTATTTCCTGAAGCCACCATAACAAGTACCCCGGATGGCGAACGAGAGGAATGCTGGTGCAATATCTCGGCATTTCCTTCATTTTTGAGGGGTCGCACGGTATGAGCTTGAGAAGTGTCCAGACTTAGAAACAAATCCGTTGGAATTGGTTGCTCGAGGATAGGATATGAATTTTCAAGGAAAATCTTAGAGGATGGATGGTGTGCTCTGAGATATACATGATGATTTAGTTGACACAATGGGATCCAAACTCGAAAACGTCTGCACAACTGGACCCCAGAAGAAAATTTAGAGTGGGGAGCTTCTCGCCGTAGCTCTTCAGCACAATTTAACCCAACTAGAACTCTCCTCCCGACGTAAGTTTTGATAAGGGCAATGTTCATAGATATGCCTAAATTTGTGATGGGATAGGCACTTTGTTGGTCACGACTTGCCACTATTGAGCCACAGAACCGAAATTCAGCTGGAGAGGGTGCTAGAGCGCTTGATAAAAGGTGAGCATCGGAAGGTTGCGAATCCCATGCTAGAATACTTTGATCATTCGATATTTTGATTATTTTTCGCTGTAGCCTGTTAAACGCTTTAACTCCTTCGCCGTATAGCAAAGGCATATTTATGTCGAAAATGCCTAAAAGACAATATGCAACGTCTTCAGAGCGTGTTGTCTCACGGATGGAGGCCCATGACATACGCTGAGCGATGGAGTAGTCTCGTATTGTTTCTCGGTCCTTCAAGGCTCCAATATGAATCTTTGTAATATCGGAGAGAGGTGCTGCTAGCTTTCCCCTGTTTCCAAGCATGCTCCAGCGGTAATCAAAGAGAACAACTTCACACGGTGCCAGCAATTCTTGAAGCGTCCACCCCCTAGTGAACCATCGACTCTGGGCAAGTTTGAGTTCCCCCGACTTCACATCAGCTAGGTATGCATAGCATAAAGCGGAGTTGTAGTACCAAGCAAACATGCTATTTATAGCCTCACTCAGCTCAGCCGAACTGCGCTTATCGATACAGTTGGTATCGCACCAGAGGTACTTCAGTCCATCTGCCTGAGCACGACGACACGCCCCCGTAATCTTGACATACCCAGCCTTGCGCTTGATGGACTTGTCAACGTCAATGCGCTCCCAATCCTGGAACGTGACTTCCTCGTCCCCCCACGTATGAGAGAGGATAGCGTACGGTGGGATCGCGGAGCCGAAGAACTCCTTGAGCTTGAGGGTGTTGACATCGATGAGGCGCATCGTGGGGTCCCTGGAATTGGAGACGAATGAAGAGAAGAGAAGAGAAGAGATTGGCGATGGTGGCCATGGACTGAAGACTAGAGGCAGTCCACGAGGATGATGCTCGAACGGAAGACATGAGGATTCCTGTGAGTGCTGTGGTGGGAGAAACGAATGGGATTTATGAAGACCACTCTGCGATGCGCTATATTGATCGTCAGGGTCGTCTAGCTGTGGATTAAGTTCCTGTGAAAGAAGTGAAAACGACATGTAGGAAGTCAACTTATGATAGACGGTGGACTCTCACCTGAAAGGGGTTCAGGGGTTAGGGGGTAAAATACTTATAAATGACAATAATGGATTTTCGATGACCTAAAAGCCCGACGTTAACTAATACAAATAATAATATAAAGCAAGATACCATATAATGATGAAAGGTATTCAGGGGCATGGCTCCTAGAGGGCATATTGAGGTGGAAATGGTATATGTTCGTCTCATTCATAGTTCGCGTTGCCACTAGCTAGTTATGACATGTCAACCGTAGCTGAAACTTTTCTCTAGACCTGTCGAAAAGTAACATTATCGTCAAATATTATAAATCAACATGGGCTCTTCATACAGCATCCGGTAACCGTACAGCGATATCCCCTGATTGAGTAATGTACCTAACCCAAGGCAATGATGGATATTGCAACTAAAGACAAGGTTAACTAATACGCACGTAGCTGGGTTTGATGATTTATGACATACCTTTGGTTCAGTGATCTTCAGATATCGTACCTGGATACCACTCGTCGTAAAATAGGGGATCTCAAACTTCACCTGAATAGGTCTCTTGGCACCCTTGCCCGCGCTAACACCACCCATACTTCCACCAAAGCCACCAGTCATTCCGCCTCCATGCTCATCGTCACCTCTCACGCTAGGAAGTCCCAACTCTGCCCGCATCAAGAATTCCTTGCCACCACCAAATTGCTTAATTTTCCACACGATTGCGCTTTGCTCGGGGGCGTAATGAACGCTTCCGATATTTGTTCGGAACCGAGGCGAGTCGGCGTCATCAGGTACTGGAACAATGATCTCAACATTGTTTGCTGTACTTCGCCTTTTGAATTGCGCCTTTGCCTTAAGCATATATTCGATTCGAGACCCTGAATGACTTTCGACCACGCACTCCACCCAAATTAGGGGCTTAACTTGGGTGTTCAATCGGTAGCTCATCAATTCAAATTCACCATCCGGTGGGATAAAGGATATGGTGCGGTCATTTTCAAAGCGTGACAACCTAACACACTGATGAAACTTGACGTCTTCCATCTCGATAGCCTTGCCTCGTGTTGTTCTCCCAGTCGTTTCGAACATGACTTTGTCGTTTAGACCGAGTCGTAATTCCGGCATTCCAGATAGATAGCACTTCATCTTGATCGCACCAAGGATCTCAGATCTTAACACGTTTCCGTTCGCAGATACTAATAAGTTCAAACTTTCGACGACATCTAAAAACACCTCGTTCTTTCTGTACCTAATGCCTTCAGACCGCCAAGAGACAGCATTCGTGACAGCGATGGGTGGGCGGGCTTGTACCTCGAGCTTGTGGGATTCTTGGGTGATGTATTCTTGCAGAATTTTGGACTCGGTCGTTTGGGGATACCCGAAATCCATCATCTCGTCCAGCAATTCGTATATGATGACAAAGTTGTCGCGGATCGACTCCTCCTCCAATGCCTTGAAGTACTCTGTGAACACCTCTACCACCTTGTGTAAGAATAGCAGGATTTCGGCGGCATTTGTGTTTCGCTTTGTTAGGGCAAGAAGGTAAAGGTTGTTGTGTCGGATGTATAGGTACTGATCTTGTTAATAATGACTCGAAGACGATGGCACCTGATACGCACGTTGATTCCCTCGTGGGAGAAGCATGGTGGTACGGCGGAGGATTCTTCTTCGGCTTCACTAAGGAGGATGGGGAATTTCTCGACCGCTGACATGGGAATATCACCTCGATAGTTTCGGGCAAGAAGGGTCTATCGCGATACGTTAGTAGGTGTATTATCTCAAGTATGGGGTATAACTATAACAGGCGCACCTTTCCCTTAAGGTCTAGAAAGAAGACTGCAGATGCCATGATGATGTCGGTCTAGCACTAGATTCAGGGGAGAATAAAGGAGAAGATGTCGATTGGCACTTAGGCCACACAACACGTATTAGGACTGCTCTATCATTCAACGAATCAATCCGCAAGGTTTCGTGGTTCGCGACGTAGAAGGAAACAGGAATAGAAAGCTTGTCGTCAAATATAGATAGGTAAGTATGTAAGTATCAGGTAAGCTGTCCACACCGTAAATCGCATGCGACTTCTAAACTCGAACAGCTTTCCAAGTTCGAGAAAGCGCCCCACGTTTGATTGAGTTGCTTGGAAGGTACAGTTGACAGAAGGTTAGTTATCTATCAAGCCACATTAACAGCCTCAAACGGCTTGGATTGGACCCGTAAAATTCAAGTTGGGGCTAAGATTTCTAGAGGACCTTGGATCATGCAGTGGACTAAACTAATAAATCACATGACCATTAACTAAGTGGGGGAAGTGTAGGACCCACTAACAATTTTTTATTTTTCTTTGACTATATGAATTCTCTGCGCGCGTCTCCTCTCTACTCTTTTCCTTTCTTCCTTTTTTCTTCAACGCGCCCAATAGACAGTACAGCTCATTATTTTCCTATGCAATCGGTGCCGGCATTCTGTCGGTAATCCTACCGTGTAGTCGTTGATGAAGACTGCGATTTCGAGGCGCGGAGAAGGATTCATTTGATATGGTGCCATAAAGAGCTGCCCGAGTATTATCTGCCGTTTTGGCAACATACTGTTGCTTGGGCGGCGTCAGAGGAACCGGACATTTATTTTTCAATTGTGATTTTTGTATTGTCGATACTTGTTTTGCGATGGTTTTACTGCCACGAACTTTTCCCATGTGGAAGTGAATTTCTAATCTTCGGAATACTGCCCGACTGCCTGACCATACCTACCTACAGTACAATACACTTTGCGGCTATGTGTGAAGATTTTTACTTAATAGGAGATAGTTTCATCGGCGTCGAGCTGAAGTGGTTTATGAATAATTACCAGTTTGCCAAAAAAAAAAAAAAAAACCAACGCTCACGAGGATGGCCTTGTAGCCTCGTGAAATCTCATCTTGATTTAAACTTTGCTAAAGCCTCAGATGATTTTTTGGCATGTCAATCAGTCGATCGTACAACCTTCAATGTTGACCACGGCTGAGTCATTGCTAATGGGGGTCTTGAGCGCAACGGTCGAGCAAGGCCATTTCCGTGATGTTTTCATGGCTCGTCGGTGGAATTTCTATTCTAAGCGCGCGGAAAAGCTTGACCTGAATTCCATTTTTATCCACTTAGTCGACAACAAACAGCGTCACCTGAAGCCCGCTCACGCTATTTACAGGTCTTGCAGTGACGTTAAGATCAGATCCAAGTGGAACTTTACTAGCTACATAGTACCTAGTAGGTACAATACACTACATAGCGCCAACGCTCCCGGATGTGGTGTTCCTTCAAGGCTTCAACTACCTTGAAAGGATGGCCAGGCTTGAAGTTCATTCTCAAACGTAAACGCTTACTCTTTTCAGGGAATAAGAAACGAAGGTCGTCGAAAAAGGGGGCCATACGAAAAGAGGATTTTATTATATTACCATACATACATAGGCGAGAGCATTGCATGCTTATCACTCCTAGAATAATACCAAGAGTCTACATGTAGTAGGCAGTTGGTAGGTATGCACATACACATGTATGTATGGTAAATGCCTCTTTCGGACCCCAAGAACATTGAAGCGAGAAAATATCATATGCTTATTTTTTCGCCATCCCATCCACAGTGTTAGGAGCGACACATCAGCTTTGGCTTTAGTGGACAAGATGGATATTAGTTGCATGTGATCACCCGGACACATTCTGAGCCATACAATTTGGGGTCATTGACACGTGCTTGTACCTTTCTTGACCCCATCGGTAAACGGTTTGTGGCACGCTGATCTTGTGCTTTTCCGACTCATCTTGGCGCTTTTGAGAATAGGGTGTAATCTTAAGTAACAATTGAATCATCTATGTATGCATCTAACTACCATTATCTAGTAGTACATGACTTTCTAAACTAACATTGAACTGCCCTATTGTTAACTTTTATAATGAAATTAGATTAGCTGAGCAAGGGAAATGAATGAATAAATAGCCCATGAAAACTGCACGTGGTTGCATCCTTCAATGTCGATTCAATATGTGTGCACATGTGGCCTCGTATGGTAAAGGTAAAAAGTCGTAAGGCTTTCACAAGCCGATCCCTTTCAAGGTCTGTCGGTACCGTACGAGGGACTGTACATACTACATACAGATTGATATTCTTGGGGAAGCTCCATGTGGACCAGATCCTGAAGGTTTTGACCAATAAAAATTGAACCCGAGCTTGGGCTGACCACTCAGGATCCAAGATCCTCCCTGGTATCTTAAGACGCTGCCGGTTGCCGCATGCTTGTCTCTTACTTTCCCCTGGTAGTAACGAAAGATGGCCGCCTGACCTGTCGAATTTACCACTGAAATCGCCTCGCTTTGGCCATGATGTATTATAGCGTGGATTTCTAATAGCCTGTGATAAGCTGTGATAGGGTATTTTTCAGCACCCTAGGGCCTAACACTTACATACAGTTAGTTACAGTTACAGTACCATAGGAAGGTACAAATTACGATAACAATACAACTTGAACATTGAATGCAATACATACATGTATGTACATACAATACCTTAGACCTTGGTAGGTTATTCCTCCCCCATCATGCGCGTAAGACCCTTTTTCTACATACTATTCCCACCTTTTCTTTTCATTTTTCATTTTTTCTAGGCTCCAAGGCTGTCTAGAAAAGGCCTGTGGTCACTCCTTTCCCACCGCGGTCCACCAGAAACACCTGCATATTGGATGGCCCGGGGCCCCATAAACGGATTCCATGTCTTAACATTGCCGTTGTCTCTTGGTTCTTCCATCATCTCACACCGAAATCTGATCAGGCCTGACCTTATTACAGTACTTATCACTCACTTTATTACTACCGATACCAGCCAACCAAGATTCATACCCATATTCCGTACTCCGTATTCTATTCCATAATCCATATTGAACTCTTCCCACTTCTTTCTTCTCTGATCAATTTCACCACTTTACTTTACAATCTTACTTTATTACCTATTTCATCTTTCATTTTCATTTCCTTTCACAAACTGTGTGTATCGTATGTTTTATTATTACTTGCTATTGCGATTAATCAGGTAATCCGATTTGACGAGTCATTATTATTTATACCATTATACCATCATAATCACTGTCTACCTAAAACATTAAAAACATACACCTCCGAAAAAGGCGATCGTTTCTTCTGTATAGTACGCTACCACCTCTCGACATTTATGCGCCTCCTAGTATACATGATACTATCCATATCTTCCGAAATTAAACCTGTCGCCAATGTGCAGATGATTGCTATTCATATCTTCTGTTTGCGACATATCGCTAGCTAGAGAGACTGGGAGAAGTGCTTTCGGCCTTCCTCAAAGAGAATTCACAAATGGAGTTCACAATGGAGCAACACAATCACATGTCACTCCACCCATCCCCCATTCACGATCAGAAGCAAAGTCTGCTTCAGAAACCTGACCCTCACCATGTATCGCCGCCTCCTGATCACAGGTCTGGCATGTTAGACCGATTCGATCGATTCGACCGGACTTTTCAACTTCCATTATACCCTCCCCCATCCTATGCGCAAGCTCACGACTCGGCTAGCTTGAGGTTTCCCGACCCGCCAAAGACTGAACTGGCTCCTATCAAGTTATCGAATGCGCAGAATAATGATGAGAAGAGACCCAACGATCATCATCTCCCTTCTCTCTCTTCACTCACAGCCTCCTCCGCCCCCCTATACACACCATCCCACCCGCCAGAGCCAGCTTACTCTCCTCCCGCGCCTCCACCCATAACTCACTGGCCCAGTCTCAATCCCCTTACTGCGTATTACAATCCAAGCCATGCCCAGAACCCCGATTCGCCCATGCGGATGGATGTAGACTCGGGTAGTAATAGCGGCATAAGTGCTCCGTCACCGGATCGTTTTCAGGATGGAAGAGCCAGCAGCGTTAGTCTAGACGATCCAGATGTACGAATGGCTGCTGAGGCCCTAGGAGATTTAAGAGCAGGTCAGTTCTCCCCTGTCTAATATCATAAACGATAGCCCTTTGTCGCGCATACCTCAGCGTGAATACTGATAATTGATATCCTACCTATAGACTTTGTTTCTTCTCCACAGAACAAACACACACCATCCCCTGGGTCGCCGCATTCCCAAACGAACGGACCTTATCCCGAACCACTAATATCGCTACTGACCACATCGCACCCCTTACTAGCTACGACCATCGAGGGCGCTACTTCCGCTTACGTTCACTCTAAGAACTACTCGCCGAGATTCAAGACAAGCGCTGAATATGTAGAAGGATATGTGATTCCTCTGGCAAATACCGTGGGATCAGTAGGTCGTGTTACTGGTGTAGAAGGCGGCGTAAGATGGTTTTTAGGAGGCGGGAGGAGGCACAAGTCGCAAAGTTCTGACCTCGAAGCTGCCGAGCATGGTTCTAATAAGCGCCGAAGGGTAGACGGGTCCGGCGGTTTTAGGGAAACAACACCCGAGCCTGGATCTGGTATGCAGACACCGAGGGCCTCATTTGACCCCCCTCACGACCGTCGACTCTCGATTGCCAGTACCGTAGACACTCTACCAGCATATGATGAGCTACGATCACCTCCCTACGTAGAGCAGCTTGGCCCTTCGGAAGCGCGGCCAAATAGTGCAGCATGGCAGTCCCGGCTCATTATGTCGACATCCGGACTCAGTATCGCCATGAGCGAGGAAAGTCTAAGAAGTCTTAAGTACTGCTTGAGTTGGCTTCGGTGGGCTAATGTTCGCGTTGGAAACGTCGTCAACTCTTTAAAATCTACTATGGAGAAATACGAGAAAACGGAAGCTGAACATGCAGATGGTGATCACCCAATGAGTGGCACATTTGTGGGTGGTCCAGCAGATAGGAATCAACTCGCAGCTAAGATCGCGGAGCTGAGGATGGATTTACTCAGAACTCTTCAAGATGTCATCAACACAGTCAGCAAATATGCTGGTGGAGCTCTACCGGAGAATGCGCGAGAGCTGGTCAGACGCCATTTGACTAGCCTGCCCCAAAGGTTCAGGGTCGCAAGCATGATGGGTGATAGCCATCATGGCCAAGGTGGAGAAGAAAGCCAAGAGATACAAGAGAAGGAGACACGGGAAAGCGCTCAACGTGTATTGGTGCTTGCCAAAGAGGGTCTTGATATGATGTCTCAGGTATCGGGAGTCCTTGACGGCACTATTGTCAGTGCCGAAGAATGGTGTGATAGGTTAGGAAGGCGAAAACGGGAACAACGGGAAAGTCTGTTGGGAGCTCCACACATCCCCCAGGTGCCTTTAGATGAGGTAAAAATCGGTTGATTGTTACGAGTTATGTTGGTATGAAAATCTGGGGCGTTCCGTGGGGAAAACAGAAAAAAAAAGATGCACATAAAAATAAGAGGTTTAAAAAAAAAGGATGAGAAACATCGGGGGATACGACGAAAGAGCTAAGAACTATACTCGGCTAACTAGCAGATGAAATAGATCTTGGCGGTTGGTGGACGACAACGATATATACCATTCAGCTCATTTAAATGCTGAAGAATTCGGTATAATCTGACCTACATACGACACACTTTCTTGCTGTTTACGAATCTTGCTAGAGATACGGCTTATACCCATATAGCGGGAACTCGAAGTGCCCTTCTCCCAGGCATCGCGATTATTCTTGCCCTTGCTGTCCCTTCCGCAATATTTGGTTCTATGTCGAATTGTTAATTTGATACTTTCCAGGCAACATTTTTATTATTATTATTATTATCATCATGGATTGGGGCATTGTAGTGTCGAAGAGTTGACGGTCTATGTACTTTATCCTGACTACGAAGTAAAGGCGCACAGTTGGGAGTTTCTGTTAAAATATCCGTTTGCTCGCACATAGCATCGTTGCATTGCATTGCCGCGAAGCTTGAATAAATCACAATTCTGCTGCGGTTATCTATGAGGAATTTGCATCCGACCTTAAGTTGCGCAACGCATTTCTTGACATCTTAACTAAGATCGTTACGAGACGTCTCGTTCCCCTTTCTGCCCCACGCCGACTGTGATTGCCTACCAGGTTGTTGCATCACTAGGCATCTTACCTAGTACCAAGTAGGCGTCGTCTACTTTGAGTCGTCGTCACTAGGTAGCAGTGAACCCGCTTTTGAGTTGTTAAAAGTTGCCCCCCCTTATCTTCTTACCCCTTAAAGCGCAGGGACATGTCATACAGCGAAAATTGTGTAGGATGGTGGAGTTTTAACAGGCTTCACAGTTGCCATCTTAGAGATATCGTCGGAGCAAAACATTGCGTGATGAGGGGTGTGCGGCATTCGTACCAGTCATTGCAATTCAATTGGGGCTTCAATCATAGATGTTGTAGGATATGTTATGGCTACGAACACTTCCTTGAGATCCGAGAGTTTACCCTGATACCTAGGTACCTACTTGTCGATTGTTCGACCTTTTCGGATCCAGACAGCCGGTTGATCTCGTATCAAAGGATTCATGAACAGTCCCATTGTTAGAATAAAATACGATGACATAGGTGGGTACTAGGTCTGAAAGGGGGGGAGGCAAAATTGAGTATCAAAGCTCAACATATACTATATATATGTATTCGAATACAGCTTCCCGTTAACACCCCCTTTCAATTCCGCAAGTGGACAGATAGATATCCCAGTAAGGGCTTAGCGAAGGAGCCGACGAAAGTCGGGATAATAGTGAGGGGTGAAGATGATAGGGGTCAAAGGACTCGTATCAGGAACTTCTAAGGGATCGTTCAAATGGGGCTAATTACTTCTATGTTTTCATATATCGATGTTGTATTTCTCCATTAATAAGAAACAGTGTAGTTGTTGATGTTAAGTAGATTTCTTTGATGAAGGTATTCTCGATTATTCATTGTCTACCTATACAATCCCCCCAATGGCTACCTACCCATGTACCCAGACAATCACCATTGGATCAGCTTGCACGCAATATCATACCGAGGGGTGCTGTTGGGTACCTTTCTATACCTCAGGTAAGTAAGTAGGTATGTTGCCATACGAACACCAAGTACCTAGCCTAAGCGTGGTGTTCATGAGTAGACGAGAAGTAAAGACATTGTATGCATTGTTACAACACAACCACGTCGAGATCGTAGCATAAAGAGACCGGTATATTTTTTGTGTCACCAGATACTCAAAGAGCATATTCTACACGGTTTTCTATTATAAAACTGGAGTACGGTATCACTGTGTCTGGTCAAATTCTAAATGCAACCACAGACATAACGAATACCCGGATGTATTAGCATCAATTCGGCTTGATTTCCAGGTAGGTCCTCATTCATTCTCAACCGCGTTCCATTCCGAGTCCTCCCTTATCAGACATCCCGTTTGCTGATTCGAGCACCAATGGGGGACACAGAATTTAAGGCTAACTGCCAATGCACTGAAAAGATAACCAAAGGTGAAAAATTACGCCAATTCCTACTACGTCGTAAACCAACACGATCAGGGAGGTGTAGTCAATGTGGTATAGCACGACACCGGGAGGGTCAGGTGTTAGATACACAACTGATGAATGTAGAGCATCTCGCAGAAGCAGGTGAGCCCTTCTCACATGTCAGGGGATACCAAGATGACAACATTGCTTGTCGTCTCACGGTTATCCGGCTTGTGGCCAGGTTCTGCGAGGAATTGGATGAAGGGGAGGAGATTGAACTCGCCACTAGAGTCTATACCCAGCTTACACTGGAGGATAGCCCGCTAGTCGATCCAAGCTACGAAGCGGACGGTAGCCTCCTTTCCGATGATGTGTTCAAGCAGCTTCACAGGATCATGAAAGACCAGCTTGGGGCATCGTACAAGCTTGCGCCTCGAAAAACTATTTAGGACGTCTCAGGTAAGACGACAACCAAAAGGAAAGCAGAAGGATGGAAGAAAGCTTGCTTTATTCTAGACTACGATGGCGCTGTGCCAATATCTAGGCTGGCCTAGTGGAGCCATGGCATATAAGGCACATGGAACATAGGCACTAGGTATATAAATGTTATTTTAATGAATTCAGTCTTTTCAAGCTATGATTGATTTAATATTATGTGTGTCCCTTTCTTTGGCCGTTGTAAAGAACTTAAGTGTTGCGTGGCGTTAGCACGGAAGAACTCGTTCATAATCGTACAAGGCATTCAACGACACAGATTTCTAGTAAAGGTTCAAGAGCTTAATGCATTCAAGTTCGCTGCACATCCTAAAAGAACCTTTGGTATTTGATAGTACTTAAGAGATTCTAGTAGAAATAAGTGCGATTAGTAATACTATATGAGAAGAATTTCATAAGATCGAGGAACTATACTAAGGTTAGGTAGCTAGGTAGGATTGATAAGTTGGATAGTATACGTAGCAAGTGATCAGATTAAGGGGTCGATACTTAATATCTAAATTATCTCACTGACAGTCACAGTTTGCCCTCAACTAACTTTGTTTTTGATGATTCTCTTACTGCATATCTAGCACCTCACCATCTGGGCACCCACTGTGTGCCTAACCTTTTAAATATCCAGATATTATAATCTATTTGAGGACAGTAACCAACACAGAATATTCACAATCTTCCGCATACTTGAATATCCTCAGAACCTTGAAACCACACTCATCAAGTAAAGTTCGCCACTCCGGCTTGGTTCTCTCTGTGGCAGCTAAAAAGGCCATCATTGCCATATCCAACTGGGCCGCCCTCCATGGGGTACCACGCTCTGAGAGGACCATTTCATCGATAAGAAGCACCGATTCCTTGGTCATGCTAGCCTTAACGTTGTGAAGAATTTCATTACACTTATGGTTTGGCCAGTCATGAAGGACGTTGCGGAGATAATAGACACGAGCACCTGGAACGTACGTAGGTTAAAACTTTTACGATCAAAAGAGATAGAAACTCGGCATCATACCTTTGATGGGTTGCGGAGTGAAGAAGTCATACGGTTCCGTCTCGATGCCGTCGAAACCTGGCAACGGACTCTTCCTTACTTGCTCAATGACTGGCGCTTGATCTTGGAGAATAATGCGACCTGGGAGTTTGGGGTATTTTTTCCTTAGAGCAACACATTGATGGCCTAGTGCACCACCGATGTCCACGAAGAGAACGGTCGACTCAGTTGTGCCCTGAGCTAGCTCATTCTCGAAGTCCATCACGTCTAGGAATGATAGCTGACCAACGCGGTTAGAAGCCATCCATGGCAGAAAGTTGATCAGCTGTTCTGGATGATTCTGCAGCCAGGCAAAGGGAGACAGGAAAGTGTTATGACCGAGGTGCCAGGCGCAGTGATTGGGGTCAGTAGGATTGACATATCCGGTTTCGCGCAGGAAACGGGGAAATGCCATGAATGATGGAGATACTAGATCGAAGCTGGCAGTACTATGTCAGAACCACAGTCCGTACTAGTTATAGAGTTAATACTCACAAATATCTGATGCCATGTCGACCGGCATCAGAAGTCATACCCTCGGTGATATTATTCGAGGAGTAGCCGTCATTTTCAGGCTGTGAGATCATCCCTTCGGATTGATAATATCGCAGCAGCCTTTCTACTCCTTATTAATTCTCAGCTGGAAAGGTTGACCCTATATGCGTACATACTCATCAGAACCGGGTCAATGCTGGTCTTTTCTGCAAGCTCCCCATTCGTGACTGTTCGTCCATCGTTTTCGCAGAGTATCTCGAAGAGTCTTGTTTCGACACCGACCTGGGCAAGGGCAAGTTGCAACGGCTAGTTGCACTCTTTATTAACACATGGACTTGGGGATTCATGGCATACAGTGCTTACGGTATTGATTATTCGGTGGACTGTATCCCCTGGTACTTCCATTGTATACGATAGTTTTCGGCTCGCCTCCCGCAATCTGCAGCGGAGGGTCTCGTCTTGAAGCTCTGAGGCTATGCGAGGATTGTTCGCCAGAGCCTCGATTTTCTCCGTGAGAAGTTCTACTTCACCTACGTTCAATGCCATCTTGAAATAAGAAGCAATATTAAGGGTTTCCTGGGTAAGTGAGGAGAAGTTGACGCGAACTTGAAGACGAGTAAACCTCTTGGTGATAAGCTTTTCGGGTAATAGATCACTCTGTTGGTTTTATTAAACTGTTCCGTGATCTTGCATATCAAGTGCTTATTGACCTTGGGAACTTACACCAGTAAACGCATTGATTACCTAGGTAGTTGCCTATTGTTAACCAACAACTCGAATAGGCGATAGGAATCCCCCCCTTGCTGGAGTGACCACAACTGCATAGGTGGGGACCATGGTTGTACATACTTACCTGGGTAGGAACCGAACTGTGAGATTCCCCTGGTATACTTACGTCAGGAAAGGCAGGATGACAAATCTACAAACTTGAACATATGGTCGGATTAGAAAGTTAACGGATCTGACCGTTATTGACTTACCTGCTCACTACCTTAAGAAACGCATTCATTCCAGTTAATGAGTCAGGGGCTAGTTTATGAGAGACACCAGAGAATAATCATTCACGTCATCGAAGTAGTCTAAGAGTGAATCGTAAATACCTATTAATGGTGTTCATTTCTGTTGGATTCACCTGCGTGTAGTGGATAGGTACCTAGTAGCTTATGGAGCATGTGAGTATGTGAAGCCATCGTGGGCTGGACATATAAGTGCCCGTTCACATACTGGGGCGTATTATTAGCATTCAGATGAGTTTCTAAGCTACATGCCTACCAAGGTAGGTAGGTATCTAGGGATGTAAGTTACTATGTAGTATTTGTTTGGCTCACTGTGCCCCTTTGTTGGAGGTAAGGGGGTGGCATTGGAGATGTGGAGTCACCTAGCTTGGCGGTAAGGGAACCGATTGTCTGGTATGTACAAATTTGAGAATAAGACTAGAAGAGCTCTCATAGTTGACCTGATAAGCTGTATCGATTATATACATGAAGTGAGCTTAATTTCCTGTGTACCTAGTAGGTATTCGAACCGCCATCAGACTAAGCGAAGGATACTAGACACCTATCCCACTTCAACATATGCCTTCAGAACATACTGTTGTTCAAGTGTATTTAGTAATAGGGGCTAAAAAAGAAATGGCATGTCTTGAACATCTTCTCACAAACCCCATAGTACTACACCTTTCCTAGTACAGCTTGGAGGGACCTCGTATTGACATATTCCCTGGCATTCAAGTGACCGCATCATCAGCATCAGCTGGAAGCATACGCCAGTTACCACCACCACTCTCCAGGACCTCCGCATCATGCCCAAATAGCCATTCCCGCCGCTCCTCACAGCCCCAGAAAATTGGATTCTCATCACCGTTGATCTGAAGCCGCCTATCCCGCAGCTCCTGTTCCTCACCATCGTCTATATGCAGGATATACTGATGCTCTCTCGTCTTAGCCTGGACAAGAGTGACGCGCGGCTTGCGAACCGCTTCATAGCGTGCTAGTGCATCCTTGAGGTCTACATATGTGGTGGCCAAGCACTGCCGTAAAGCGGCAGCGTCTTCAAAAGCTTGTGCGGCGCCCTGGGCGAGATACGGGAGCATCGGGTGGCAGCTATCGCCGAGAAGCAGCACCTTGCCGGAGGGGTGTACCCAGCGCGATAGGTCGGGTAGGTCGCAGAGCCGCCATTTCATGAAATCCCCCGTAAGCGCAAAGAGCTTCCGAACGCGGGGCTCCCAGCTCGCAAAGCGCTTGCACAGTTCGCCATTGTCACCCTTGATCACCCATACCTCGTCCGTCGTCTCGTTATAGGAGGTCGCACATACGACGGCATTGTACAATTCACCGTTGCGGATAGGATAGCCGACAATATGAGCATCCGGCCCGCACCACGATGTCGTACATGGATCTGTGATCAAGCTTGCCAGTTCGGGATCCACCAGCAACTTCTCCGCCGGAAGGAGGATCCTGTAAGCTACATCTCCTGTGTCGCGAGGGACGTCAGGTTGGCCTGTGAGCAGCGGCCGTGTGATTGACTTAATACCATCGGCGGCAATCACCAAGTCCGCAGTAAACACTTCGCCGGTTTGAGTGGTGACGCTGGGTTCCTGAAAGTCGTAGGAAACGACTCGTTGTCGATTTAGCACCTCGACACCTGCTTCCCGCACTGCTGTTAAGAGTGCCTCGTGGAGATCTGCGCGGTGCACCAGATAATAAGGGGCACCATACTTTTCTTCAATGCTGTCAAATGGTATCTTTACCATCGTCGACCCATCTTGCCACCGGACGAAATGATACCTTCTTGACACGGACTTTTTCATATTTTCTAGATCGACGCCCCAGCGTCGCAGAAGTCGGGTCGAGTTTGGCGGCACCCTGATGCCCGCACCGGCCTGTTTCTGGGCGTTAATAGGTAGCTCAATGCACCCAACACCATACCACAAATAGACACTCACCTCGGCAAATTCTGAAACCGCATCAAGTATACGGACTTTGTGGCCATCGGCCTGCAGCGCTAGAGCGGCGGCAAGACCGCCAAGTCCAGCGCCGACGATGAGAATGCTCATACATATGTTGGCTGGTGGCATTGGTCAGTACCTAGTATTTATAAATCGAGCCGTCAAGACTAGGTAGGCACTTGAAATCCGAACGTGCCATGTAGCAGCAGACAGCACGTCTACTTTATACACTTAGTGGCCTGCCTGCCCAGGTAGGCATGTAATTAAGGCAAGGTAGCTGTTGAGGCCAAGTAGGTCCTCCCCGATACTCACACATGCTTGCGTCCCTTGATCAAGAAAACCCACGAACCATACAAAGAGACACACATAATAGGATGGTGCCATGTCTCTAGGCTGTACCTTGCCCAAAAATCCGATAGGCAAACAGGCGTGCCGTTCATCCCATGCCTGTGGGGGTGGAACATACGTAACTATCTCGGATGCATGACTCCCCCTTTCGATATCTCCCACAGCCCCAAAGAATAGAGTGTCTTGGCTATTGAGCTAATCTCATTGGTTTCCGCCGCTAACGACGCGAATCCGTCTACTCGGCTTCATAGTAAGCTCTTTTATTATAAGATCGACAATGTCGAATATTTTCCAACGTTATCATCATCTTGTCCGACCCTGAAGTGCTCCAAGCTCGGTCTGGTTAACCTACTAGGTAGGTTAGGTAGATAATGCTGACCAAAGAAAAGGAAACCATCGAGATACTCATAAGATCAAACTTGCACATCGAATAACCCAAAAAGACCTCTTCGTATATTATTTATACCATGCTATTTACAAGACCAAATGGTCATCCCTTTCCCCTACTAATTGCCTATCTAGAAAATCCATCCATCCCCCCCTACGCCTCGCAAATTGCAACGTACCCAAATTAAGAGCTCCAACTTAAATACACCCGTGGGTAGAAAATAAATCTCTGGATAGCACAACGTTTGTTTCTTTCTCTCAAACAAGGAATTTCACTTGAATTATGGATGTCTCATGGAAGGACCTCCATACTCCAACGGCATGTCAATGCCTGGAGTCATCAATGAGCCCATCCAATCGACGCCATTTCCAACTGCCCCAATACCGTTAGCCCAGCCTGCAAACCCGTCAAGTCCACCCCCTCCTTCGATGGTGTGTCCGAGGGGAACCATGGGGTTCGACCAATGGAAAGGGTCGAACCCGCCAGAGCCTACAAAGGTGTTTGGCACAGGCTGAGTCGCTCCAAGTGCTGCGTGGTTAGGGTCCACATGATCCTCTCGTTCAGGCACGCAGTTTCCTCGCATTTCATTCATGTTCGTGATCGCTGCCTTAGAGGGCCAGCAGCGATAATTGACATAATCAGCGAAGGCAGCGAACAGTGTGGCAAAGCGCTTCATGGTGCCACTCTTCTCAACTTTTCCCGCCGCCACCCTGAGCTGTGCAACTAGGCCACTTAAAGCTGCCAGTACTCGAGCTTCTTCGGAGGGCGGGTGACGCCGTAACATACCTAGTGACATTATCATGGCAGCCCAATAAAAGTAGAATATGTCTAAACCAGAAACGCCATTGACTAGACCAAACGAGTCCAGCAACAGACATATCATAGCCAACTGGGTGGCGTGACGTACGCACTGAACTGCAAGCGAAGTTTGCCGGTGAGTAGGACTTTCTTGTTCCCCTTGGCCGCTAGCCGCTAACTCTTGTAGAAGAAAGGGGCGGGTCGCGAATATGGCGGTATAGTGATATTGGAGCTGTAACATTAGTGCAGCCCTTAGCGACGATCGACTCTGCCAGCGCAAGGGTGACTTGATTTCATCAAGCGCAATAGCCCCCGATTCCTTGTCGTCGAAGAGACTCTCGCCTGTCTTGATGGATGGTATATTCAACCATGGATGCTTGGCTAGATCTGCTTTCCATCGTCCAAGGCTGAGCAGAGCCGCTTCAGGGGTGAGAAGTTTGGACTCGTGGATTACTTCGGCGCTAATCTTTGCATCTTGGCTTACTCTACTTCTTCCGAGTATGCGATGTAACCGTAAGGTAAATGCAGCTAGTACGGCGTCACCCCCGCCTCCGTCACCATCCACTACGATGTAATGTTAGCTTAATCTCTCAATCAGATGATTATCAGAACTGCAGAATTTGGTAAGGCTATTTGCAACAAATTTTCCTTTCCAAGTTGAGCAGAAAGAGAACAATGGCAGTAGATAAACCCTAGAAACTTACACATTCCTGGTCGAGGAGGGATAACTTCAACGTCAGAATCATTCATGCCGCTGGGCCGACCGAGACTTGTGGCTAGAAATTGTTCAAATCCGTAGAGCGTACAGAAAATCCTCTTTCTGATTTCTCTGTCGATCGGGTTGAAAGCGGACTCGGTGTCTCTCCGATGCAATCCTAAGGCAAAGCCAACTCGGGTCGCTGTTCCCACAAGGTTCCAGGTGGCATTCCTTTCATTATTGTTGTGTAGGAATAGCCCTAGGAGAAGCAAGGCTCTAAGGTTGTAGAGGGTACATTTTCCTATGAGGTGTGGTAAAAGGGACCTTGCAGAGGCTACGCATTGTCTTCGAAGCATATTATGATCAAGGCCAGTCCCGCCAATGGTAGAATCGCTCATGCTGCCAAACACGAGCATCATGTGGATACATGCGAGCAATCCTAGATCGACCTCCTTATCTTCATGTGGCTGTGTTCCGTTATGATATAACCTGCGAGCCTGAGCTTCGTAGTCACCCTCAAATGTTCCACGGTGGAAGAGGACGAAGTCATCGTGGACGTTTTGAAAGAAAGAATTCAACAACTTGTCGACTATTTCTGGTGCAGGTAGCCGTCTCCAGTGATCTTCTATGCTAATAGTTGACCTCCGCATAAAGTCACTCTCCGGGGAAGCGATACTCGTAGGCGACCGCTGGTGATGCATGGCAGCATTGGATGGATCATCAACGTTCTTGGTGTCTAGGCTATCTTCAGAGACATCTTCAGCTTCAAGCGCTTGGGCTCCATCATCCTCGGTAAACTTGGAAATAGCACTTGGGGGTGGTGGGGACCGCATTTCGGGCGTGTGCTCTTTTGATATCAAAAGCCTCCGCAGCTGACCAAGAAACTGAAGGCCACCAGACGGTCCAATGTAGTGCTCCTTGCCGGAAGTATCGGTTACAAGGGATACAGGGCCATCGTCAGACTGCAAGTTCTCCTGGTACGCAGCAGGGATGGGATTAGACTTCGCTCTCGGGCGAGCAGGATGGTTGGCAATAGGGGCATCGGGGAAGTCCTCCTCAACTGATATCTCTGGCTGATGTGGTATCCTCAAGGCGTCGTCTATCTTCACTGGCGTTTCCGAATTCTGAGATAAATCCGGCATTTGGTATCCTCGAGTTTGGCCGAGGTGTATGAGATCCGCGACTGAATCTGTAGGCTCATCCGGGAAGGCTCCCCTGACAATAGCCTCTAGACAACGAAAGCTAGGTACGTAAGGCTTAGCGTATAGTCTCGGAGTAACAAGCCCGAATTGCAAATCCTACATGGGCTATTTTTAAGAGATAAAACCTACCGATCACTGAGATCCTCAAGATTCCCGTAGAAGCGAGTCTTGCGGGGGAGAGTGAAGGTGCAAGAGCTATTCTGGGCAAGACATGTTGTGCAGCGATTGTCCTTCCCAGGGGCTGGGATGCATCTACAACGTTTCTATTCCGAGAGGTTTTAAGGTCAGCGACTCGAATGAGGAAAACGGATGATGTAGATGGTCTAGATGATGTAAAGTTAGGTGTTAGGTAGGTAGGTAGATAGGCTATTCACCTTTCGACAGAGATCACAACTCTGTATGCCACGCTTACGTTGATCCTCAGGGACTCGACGTGCCCGTCTTTTGGCCTCAGCAGCCCTAGCAGAGGTACTACCGGCGACTCTCATGGTATACGGTATAGGAGTGCTCAGTGCTCAGTGCTCAGTGCTCCAGGGCTATATAGATACTACCTATGTACTGGGTAGGTTAGTATAGTAGGTACTACTGCTAGTACCAGGTCACTGGTAGTTACCAGGTAGGTGGTATGTTATGTAAGGAAGTATGTACTATAAAGTCTACCTACTAGGTAGACACTGGCACTGGCAACTGGCACTGAGAATGTAAAGATGAACATTGAACATTGAACATTGAAAGGCCCTGGAAACATCGGATCGCTAATTCCTGGCCCGCAATACGGGACCACACAACCTTTTTATCTCTGATCCCGCAGTATCGCTAGGGTGTCAGCTATGGGGACCCATTGGGGGGGGCGCTAATGCTAATTCTCCGCACCCAATACTTATCCATATGGATGACTCCAAGTCCCTGGGACCCATACATAATACGCTATACTAAGATCGGTATCGGTTATCAGCTGTCTCCGCATAGGAATCATGATTCCGACCTGTCAGTGTCTCACCTTACCCTATGTACCTAGGTAGTCCCCATTTTGGTTCAAATATTGCGGGTTTTTAGTGCTTTCCTTGGAAGAATTGGCTGGTAACTGCCCGCTTGTACCTAACTACCCCAGTTCAGGGTCTGACCAATGATCTTGAATCTAGATATGCTGAACTTCAATGTTTATGTACCTAGTCCTGCTAAGCTTTGTATCGAGATCGGGCATCTACCTATTATGATAGTGCTACATACGAAGGTTGTGGCCAAAAGTTTAGACCAAGATATACCTCAGCCCCACAGTTCCTCCACTTTTCTACCACTGTAGGAAATATCATCGCCAACATACTTACCTACTTATAAAGCCTTATAAATTTATTTAATAAATATTAAATATGCTATTACGTTATTGAACTAGTGTATTTAATAATAGAAATTTCTGTAATTTTTTTCTTTATTAAATTAATGTAAATATTTGTATAATAATCTAAGGTTGTTTAGGACTGAAGGCTTTAAGTTTATAGCACATTATAGCGCTTAAGTGTGCTATAAGGTGCTATACTTTTAAGGGTTGTGGGGGATTTGACGTTAAATGTATACCTATTATTGGTAGAGGCCCAAAAAAGAGTAGCGCACTGTGGGGCGGAGGTATATCTTGGTCTAAACTTTTGGCCACAACCTTCGTACATACATACATACATACATACATACATACCTATGAAATAATAATACAAAAGAGTTTTCATTGGATAATACCTACTATGTACCCTAGTAAGGTAGGCACCTAGATATTGTTCTAACAGGGAACGATTGCTTTGACAAGAACAATAAATACATGTATGAAAGCATGCCTACCTCCTACACTTTGACCCTACGATGTATAAATATATATATATATATATATTTATTTCCCTAGGTGCAATGTCAATACCCCGTGTCGATACTCCCTACGTATCCAACTCAAAGACGCAAACAACATCGAAGAACATCTCCTTGAAAATTCTCTACTCACTCCTCTTTCTTTCTAAGTAAGATTGTATCTCGATATCATTGAATATGTCTATATCTAGTGCCCCTTCAGCCTTCGTCTTGCCCGATGCACGTAGTATCTCATATCAATGGACAGCATCACCATCCAAACCTAACGCACCTGTTGTACTACTCTCTAATCCTTTATGTGCACCCTTCCGTTCATGGGACCACGTAGTCCCTAGGCTTACCTCCATAGGCTTTAGTGTATTACGTTATGATCAGCCGGGTCATGGTTCATCTACTGTTCCAGCCAACCTCTCCTCCACCACCTTCGATTCCCTGGCTCGCGATGTTTTGCAGCTTCTCAACCACCTCTCCATTAGACAACTACATGCTTGGGTTGGCGTTAGCATGGGTGCCGCAACAGGCATAGTCTTTGCTGCGAAACACCCCGGAATCATCCACAAGCTTGTTGTGTGCGATACCATTTCCTGTAGTCCCGCCAACGATTTTGCCCTTGACGTATTTGCCCCGAGAGTCGCTGCGGCTCGTCGGCTGGGAGTACTGGATGCTGTCGTTGAGGACACTGCCCAACGCTGGTTCGGCCGCGAGTGGTTAGAGGCCAACCCACAAGAAGCAGAACGAATTCAGTTAGTGATGCTCGATACGACCGTTGATGGGTTTGAGACGTGTTGTGCTGCTCTCCAAAGCGAGAACTTTGAGTTACGGTCACTAGCCCAAGTAGCAGGCAGGGGGGTCGACGGCGCATTGTTCATCATAGGCGAGAAAGATGCAAACCTACATGAGAGTATGATGGATTTAAGACGCGACGTCGAGTGCGGGTTGAGGGAGAATATTGGTAGTTCCTCTGTGGCTTTCAAAGTCATCAAAAATGCCGGACATGCCTGCTATATCGATGGATTTGATGCGTTCATCGATCTTGTAACGCAGTTCCTTGGGGATAAGACTGAGGAGCCGTCTAGTGGCCAGCCATCCTCTCCAGGAATAGCCATCAATGGCAGAGAACATTCTCATTATGTTAGAATCGTGCCAGCGGTGAATCAGGAAGGGGGTTGCCAGTGCTTCGACGAGGATCTATGGCCCTGGACGTCCCAAGCCACGAATTTTTCACTCATAGAAGCTGGGTTCCACGTTCAATCATGATGCTTGCTCAACATTGTTGCTAGAGGCTGATCGAAGGTATCTATTTTGATGTAGTGGACGAGACTGTGACCATCATTTGATATTTATCAACCATATAGTTAAGATGCAAACTGACTATGCATTCCTTGGTTGGGAAGTGATCATATCAGTAACCCCACTGCACCCATATATAGAAGTAGACAGTAACTCCGAGCATTATCATTTTAGAAGAATTGTTGATTAATTGTTGATTACTTTTTTTTTTCTTTTTTGGTTTCAAGATTGGTAAAACGCAGTATAACTTGCCCAGGAAAATCACAAGCGAGAATCATCATCCGAGAGGTAGTAGACTTGTAAATATGTAGGTACCTTATATGTAGTAGGTCGTCACATGGAGGCCTACGATCTACCTTGTACTATTCAGTAGAAAAGGATGATATAATATGAATTTGGTCATAGAAATCATGAGTAGTATCTACGTAAAACTAGAACCAAAGACATTTCCCCCTTTTTTTTTTTCAAAGTCTTGTACCCAAATTCCTCTTCCTGATTAAGGCTACTGTACAGTCTGTACCTATCTCTCGCGAATTCCTACTTCATCAAGGATCAAAGCCTCATTCCATGATTTAGCAAGCACTTGATGGAATTCGGATGACCCGTCATAGGCTATTATTTGGCGCACACGGTCCAGGGCAGAAATGCCTTCGGCGTTCCTTCGATGAGGGTCGGCACCATGATCAAGTAGTGTAACAACACATTTGGCTGACATGGCGGCGATTTCAGATGCGGACCAACCCGGATCTTCACTGGACAAAATGGTGTCAATCGCTTGACAGAAAATGCTCAAAAAGGAATTGTTCGCCTCGTCGGAAGTATTAGGGTCAAGGCCAGCATCAAGTAGTAGCTTCATCATCTCGGGATTGTGTCGGCGACAGGCCGCCCGAACGTAGCTCAATAAAGGCGCTTCGGGATACCCTGCATCAATCGGATCTACTAGTAATTCTTCGATAAATGAGAAATTGGAAGCATTCTCAATGGCCCATTGCAACGGCGTTGACCCTTCAAATGGGTTTGGGGCCGTCGCGACAAGTGAAGAACTAGCTGGGGGAATATACTGATGAATGTTGGCGCCAGCACTAACCAAGCAAATAACTGCCTCCAGGTTTTCCCGTTCCAAGGAGAGATGCAACGGCGTGGCATTCACTCCTGGGAAAATCGTGTCTGGGTTTAGATTGCCTGTGGTCAGTAGAATGTCAAGTATGTTACCCTCAACAAACGCAGCCCCATCTACACAACAGGCTGTTTGGAGATGAGCGTTGCGCTCCTCTTCAGTTGAGTCGAAAAAGCTTTCGTGATTAACAAACGCTTCCACAGCCTCCTCCAGCCCGCAGAAAATTGCTAGATCAAGGGGGCCAAACACCCGTCCGTTGATTCTAGTACCGTTAGGGTGCCTATGCATGACTGCACCATATTCTAAGAGTGTCTTGATCATAGGTATGTTCTCGTTCAAGACGGGGTGTGTCAAGGGGAGGCTTCCGCCGAAACACTCGTTCGGGGAGACTCCGTTCCATTCAAGTAGGAGCTCAGCTACAGCCGTGTCCCTCAGTTTACAGGCCTCTATCAAACAACTCTCCCCGTCGTCGGTGTGGTAGTCCGTCGGTGCCCCGGCTCCAATCAAGAATATGGCGCAACTAGAGGCACCTGCCTGAATCGCGTCAAAGACTATCCGTGCGCCCTTCAAGACTTTACTCGTATCCTGGAACTTCGTGATATACTCGAGAGCACGAGCGTTATCTATTTCCATCAACCACTTGACCATGATGTCAAGTTCTAATGAATTCGGCGTTCTTAATCCGGTCTCAAACAATACATCGCAAAGGTCAAAATTAGCCGATCTCATCCCCTTCGTAAGTAGTAATTGCCCTTGCCCTCCAATAGAATCGAGACTGGGGGGACCCCCATGCCAAATGAGCCTTCGTACTACATCAACTTTGTCTTTGCTATGCCTGCGAGATTCACAGAGTGCCGCAAGGGCATCAAATGTGTCTATATTGGGTGGCATGTGAGAAAGCAGTGCCCTCACTGTGCGTAGCATCGCCCCCTTCGGACTTGTTAGCCCTATTGGTCTACAGGCTTTCAATAAGGCGTTCTTCCCCGAGTCGTCTTCCGCGTTAATATCAGCGCCCTCTGCAAGAAGAGCTTCGACGGCTTCATCATCGTTGAAAAGAGCCGCTTTCATCAGTGGAGTCATTGCATTACTGTCCCTTTCTTCCAAATTCGCACCATGTTTTACAAGAGTTCGGAAGATTTCCCCCCTGAAATGTTCTTGGTCAGATTCGCGCTTCAGGGTCCGAACTTGAGGCGTGCAACAGCAGTGTAGTATTGGGTCGGTATCATCTGAAGGCTCAAGGGACGAGGCGACGTCCGCGCCTAATTCAATAAATCGAAGAGCTTCGGCAAAACGGCCCCCGTAACAGGCATGTTTCAGGAGAGTCATATTTCCGAGACGAGCATTCAATGAAGCGCCTGACTCGACTAGGAAATCGATCGAGGCCCAGCTGCCGGTGAAGTAGGCATAACTTATAGGCGAGGCACCAGCATGGTCCTCGATGTCAACATCGGTCTGATACCCCTTGTTTATGAGAAAACTAGAAATGGAACTCATATCGGAATAGCAAGCACTATGTAGAGCAGTGACATGACGAGAATCGGATCCTAATAGTCTCGGCGAGATATTGACAGAAGCACCTCGGGAAATCAACAGGCGCACCGTCGATTCGTGGCCATGGCAAATAGCGGTGTGTAGAGGCATCCAGATAGGGTTGACTCCGGTGCTTGTGTCAGTGTTAAGAGATACGTGTGAGTCCTTTTGGGGTAGAATGCAGTCGCAAAATCCTCTGGACAGGGAATGGATGTCGGCGCCATACTTTAACAGAAGGTCGATCATTTCATTATTACCCCATCGCGCGGCAATGTGAAGAGGTGTCCAATAGTATTGACTGTCAAGATCATCTGAATAATCCAAGCCCGACATTCCAAATCCGAAAACCATACCCTCCTCCTCGTAGTCAGAGTTATCGGGTTCGAATTCACCCTCATGGTAGGGTGGGAAGTCAGGCGGCAATGCACCGAAATTAGATAGTTCGGCACCATAAAGGAAACTCGTTTCTAAGGTGGGCGTGGGAGGATTGTCACCACAAATAAATCGAAGAGTTTCTGATCTGGTACAGGGCTGGGCCCAAGCAATGTTTGGATTGGCCCCGGCTGCAAGGAGGTGTTCAAGTGTTTTCTGACGGCCTTGGTCAACAGCCCAGCACATAACCCAGGCTACATTCTTCGCAACATCATAAAGGAGGGGGGTGGTTATGTAATGGAGAGCGCGGCAGGATCTAGAGAAGGCAGATATATCATGGACATCTAGGTCGTCGATTACGTGCGAAACCAACTCGACAGGAAGGCTGAGGATCGAAGGCATCCTGTGTAAAAGTGTGACATCACACTTGGTGGCTAATTGGTTGTACTCCTCGTGGGGTATCGAGGTGCAAGGTGCGTTTGTAGCAGTTTGTTCTATGATAGTTGGTGGACTAGTTGATTGAATGATTGAATGATTACATGCTATGTAGTTGGACAGAAGTCTTGAGGGTTCAGCTCGTCGCGTTTCGAGTTCGTCGCAACGCGATCGGAGAATTAGTAACCCAGGCTTGCGACGAATAAAACGTCATCAGTCCCTAACCTAGTACCTACCTTAGGACCTTAGGTACCTACTATGCCGTAGTAGGTACCCTACGGTCCCTACCTAGTACTGGTCCCTACAGCGTGGTAGCAGTACTGCCTATGGTTTGACAACTGCCAAGCAACATTTGAACAATGAATTCAGTAGTAAATCTCAGGATCCACAAATGTGCAACCAACAGTGCCACTTTAACGTTAGATACGATAGTAACTACTATTACATAGTACAAGGATAGTACCATGCAGATATTCCCATATGAATGTACTAACGTTAAATTCAATATTCAACTTATTGACCTACATAGCTAAGGTTAGTATCTACCTACAGTACCTAGTAAGGTTACCTACTAGTACATCTTCCAAGTTCCAACATTGAAGCTCTAGATGTACATATCCATGGATGCAGCATCTACCAACATCATGATACATCTTAGGCACTCAGGCATGTGCCTGCATACAAAGTAGGCATGCACATAGTAAGCACCCTAAGGCATAATTTTTAATTTAGCCTTGCAACATTCAATGTTGAACTAGGGCGATACATACTAGATACAAACACAACCTTGGAAACATTGAACATTGAACTGCCTACCTAGTAGTGTTAGCTACCTACATATGTAGGCATTGTAGGGTATATATGAACCTACCTAAGGTACTCTACACCACATAGCAGTTCTCTCCAGACGTCCAGGTTTTCAACCAGTATCTGACCACCTTCACCACTTCTCAAAATAACTATACCCGTCAAGTGTAAAATACTTGTATCACTTCAATGACGCGAAGAAACACAAACAAATCTACCAAACTCACAATGGATCTCGCCGAGGACATTTCTCGCAAGACTGCAGGATTCATCCAGTCCGAAAATCACCGGGATCTACTTGACATCGTTGACTCACTTAGATCTCATGGTGTCAGTCACTATGTTGACCTACCACAGATCATTGTGTGCGGTAGTCAATCATCCGGGAAAAGTTCCACCCTTGAATCCCTTTCCGGCATTGCCTTTCCGACTTCTGAAGGTCTCTGCACACGCTTCGCTACCGAATTGATACTCCGACGAGGCAACAATCATGAAATCAAGGTGAATATTCAGCCTGGCAAAGACCGGACCAATGAGGAGAGAGCCCGGCTGTCAGCCTTCACCAGGACAATGTCAGAGGACCAAGATGACTTTTACACCATTGTCGAGAATGCTAAAGAGGCGATGGGTCTCACCGGCAACGCTGGTGCCAGGGTTTTCACCACCGATGTTTTGCGAGTCGAGAGCACATCACCAGACGCCCCGAACCTCACTCTCGTCGACCTGCCTGGCTTATTTGGCGCCTCCGACAAGAACCAATCTGATGATGACGCTGCCCTGGTCGAGGACCTTGTGGTATCATATATGAACCAAAGTCGCAGCATCATTCTAGCTGTCATCGCAGCCGACAATCCTTTTACCAACCAACCAGTGACCAAGTTTGCGCGACAGATCGACCAGTCCGGTATGAGGACGCTTGGTCTCATTACGAAACCAGACAAGATCGACATGGGCTCGGATAGTGAAAAGTATTACGTGGAGCTGGCACAGAACCTGAATGTGAAGCTACATCTCGGATGGCACGTCCTACGTAATAGAAGCCACGCTACAGCTGACGACACCATCGAGGAGAGGGACAATAGGGAAACCGAGTTCTTTGCTGACTCTGCCTGGAACACTATTGACTCATCGCAACTTGGAGTTGAACCACTGAGAGAGCGGCTGCGAAAGATCCTTTGGAATCAGATTCAGACTGGACTACCAGGAGTCAAGACAGAGGTGCAATCGGGAATCAAGGATTGCAAAGCCAAGCTATTGCAACTTGGCGAGGCACGTAGCACACAGAGAGAGAAGCATACTTATCTTCAGCGCATAAGCAGCCGTCTATGCAAACTAGTCCGAGCAGCTATTGATGGGGTATATGCGGATCAATTTTTTGAGTCTTTCCCAGGCCAGGGCCAGCAGGAGGCGCTTAGCAGGCGACTACGCGCCAACGTACAGAAGATTGTCAGTAACTATGCTGTAAAGATGCGTGCCGATGGCCACGCCCTAGAAATCGTGGAAGACGACCTGAAACCCACTAGGACTTCGCGGCAGCAGTATATTATGAGGGAGTCATATCTGGAAATTGTGAAGGAACTTATGATCGAATGCCGAGGGCGTGAACTCCCTGGAACGTACAATCCTTTAGTCGTTGGGGATCTATTCAGTAGACAGTGCAAACCTTGGGAACGAATCACGCATAATCTCGTTGAGCAGATACATGGGGCTGCCCTTCTCACTTTCAACAAGATTGTGTCGGAAATCTCGGATGAAAACACCAGATCTCGCCTCATGACAAGGCACATCCAGCCTCAATTGCACCGACTCCGGCAGAATCTGCAAGCAAAAGTTGACGAGTTGTTGATGCCCCATTTGTCTATCCATCCGATCACATACAACGACTACTTGACCGATACCGTGGAAAAAACCCAAAAGTCGCGTCATGACCGACATTTTAACGTATTGTCTAGCACGTTATGCAAGTACACAACAAAGGATGCACCAGTTACTGCAACGGTGAACCTAGGTCAGCTACTCAATGGCTTGATGAAAGGGACTCGACCCAATGTTAAGGATTACACTGCTTCGTTGGCGGCCGACGTTGCCGAAGCATACTATCAGGTATAGTAGCAAGCTATCAGTTGATTCTGAACTGGTGCATCTTATTCAATGCTCGAAAATGAATGCTAATGCTTTGTAGGTTGCGTTGAAGAAGTTCACTGACGATATCAGCGTAAACGCCATCGAGGTCTGCTTAATCCAATGCCTACCAGATGTGTAAGTTACACCCCCCCCCACCTCCTCCCCCGAAAACGGCGGGTGAGACTAGAAGGCAATCATTTTTTAGTCAGTTACTAATTTTCAAAAATTCAAGGTTCTCTCCGGATACCGTATGGGATCTTACAGAGGAGAAAGTTGAACAACTAGGGTCAGAAGATGATGAGACAGTGAAAGAACGTGCCGCTTTACAGAAGAAGCTAGCTGTGCTAGAAGAAGGTCTCAAGGATCTGGATGCATTTACTGCGCGCTCTAATGCTACTGGGCATAGGAGATATGAGTAGAGGTGCCTATGAGGAAGTCAGGCATACCCGAGACAGCTCTATTGGAACGAGAGTCCTCGCCATCTCTACCGTTCACCAGTGACATAACTTGGGATGTTAAGAGTTATTGCTCGGCTAGGTGGGCATTGACTTGTAGGTGAAGGTGCATGGGACGATGATGCTGTACACTAACTTCCGCCATGTTTTTGTGGGAAGAGATTGGGCATCTTACTATGTAATAGATCTACCTACCTACCTAGGTAGGTATACAGTAAACCCAAGTCCCTAGGTACCCAGTAGTCAATAGGTAGTAGATAACCTTTCTGATCGCCGGTTTCCTGGTTCTTTAATATCTTTTGATTCTCTGCGTTATTTTTCTTGCCTTATGGAGGGGGACATTTAGATTGTGACTACCATTGATATGGCCCTACTCCAACAGATATATAGTATTTGTTATGTACCGAGTGAAGTGCTCCTTATTGTAACAATTACGCAGTAGCTTCATGACCTTGTTCCGGCATTCCTACAAGTCCTTCGGTACTTAAGTTGAGATGAATCCAGAATTAACTCCAAGGCACCTACTAGACACCTATGTAGATAGGTAGGTACCTAATCCGAATATGAGGCTGTAATGCTTATCTAACAGAGACCAGTCTATTCCTACCTGGTGCCGGGTGTTCTGTTTGTTATATATAGTTCACTGGATTACACGCCTGAACAGCATATAAGTAAAACAGGGGGCCTCTTACGTTAGAATTGTTCATCTTCAAATCTGAAAGGGTATGTAATAGGGTGATTTTGTTAATTATGGTATTGTATAGTATAAATCATACTCAATCACCTGCGAACGCTGTACAATATGCCGAGCAATTATGCAATTAGTGACATATTAATTTTTTTTTTAAATTTCTTTTTGACATCGAGCCCGGGTCTTTGTCTCGACTTATATGTAGGAAATAGCTTTCGCTACAAGACGTCTTGGGACCTTTTAAGACGAATAATACTCCATCGAATTAAACCTCACTCAGTGGCAGTAACTACTTAGGTTAGGCAGGCTTATTACAGGAAGTTAGGAACAGAGTTATACACCGAAAGGCCATAATCTTTCAACTCTTTCCCTGCTTTCGAATTACACAGATTTTATTTGCTACTTGGTAGGAGCGGAGAGATTCTCCACGTACCTAGGGTATTACTACTAGGTACCTAGTTAGGCGCCTAGTACTACCCAGTATGTGCTAATGCCAAATGCAGGTACGGACCAGGAATCATAAAGAGTGACGACGACGTTGAAAACGTTCAACGACATCTGGAGTTCGTCTTTGGGTCGCCCCTGTCATGTAGCGATCCGAGAGTGTGGATGGATCCATAAGACGTTACCGCATTACTTAGAGTTTCTTCAGTGCCCAAGCCCTTGCACAGACCTAGGACATCGTACTGGGGAGTCGATGAATCGAAGCTGTCTCTTTTCAGGAAGCCTTGAACCCTGAAGTTCAACGCAAACTCTAATGTGCCTGCCTATATTAGTTATGTTAGACTTTAGTAGCTAAACGGCTAGTCTTCTTATTAGTTTTTATATGTAACCTACCCTAAGTACCCTGGGTAGTACCAAGTACCTTACCTCTACGCATACATATCACATACCTATTACCTATTACCTGGTATTGAGTACATGTAGGCGATGAATGCTATGTATTACCTATTTACCTGTACGGTCTGTACCAAGTATGTAGGTCTTGAATTGCGAACCAGCCCCTTGGATCTAGATTTGCCCGATAAATAAACGGGTCTAACTATCGACAGCTTGTTGTTTCTCCCCGCAAGTCGCATATCTTAAAACTTGGACTCTAGGCCTAGGCCTATTAGAGCTGGCGGATGCTCGATCCGGTGCACGAGCCGGCATGTGCTACGGCTGTCATGATAGTGATGGAATTATTACTTATCTCACGAACTAATCTACTGTCTACATAGTAGGGATCTATTAGTTATCGTATGTTGTATGATGCGTGAAGAGTTTCTAAGGCCATCCATGTATGTAGTATACACTATGTAGTATGTAGGTATGCAGTCTGTATTCAATGTTTTGGATACATCATTAGTACTAATGCATATAGTGCATGCACGTGGGCAGAGCCTTTTGAACATCATCTAAACATACTAACCTAACCGGTTACATATGTATGTAATAACCTATCAACTCACCTAGGTAGGTATTAATTACATAATATGTAATAGGCAAGGTACATTCACAGATTATATTGGTTATTAATAAAATAAGATAGGCGAGTGCTGGGATCGCATGCTCCTATTATATATTGTCGACTTACCTAAGTTATATTACAACGAGATTGCCTATACCCATGACGTTCAAGTAAACTGGCGCATCCCTATCGCCGTTCAAGATCCTACATATGCAGGTACCTAGGTAGGCTGAGATAGCTGCTAGGTTTTAGATATGAGGGTCGTAAGGAGGTACATGTGGTGGTTTTTAACTACATATGTAACTAAATCACAATCAATAGCTTTGAAATGTGCATATTACATGCATAGGCAGTATATAGGCAGTATAAATACATAAGTGACCAGCAAACAAACAGTTTGGAACACCGCGACTTTATTATTTATGGTACGGAGTAGATGGCCCCTGACAGCAGATTTTGACCCGTGCCACTGGCGGCGTTCGCACATACATCTGCATGTCATCAAGCTAACATGCCACCCATGGATATCTAGGTATAAGAGAGATGTTATTGAGCGTTTGTGTGTTGATGTATGTAGTGTGTCACTGTGTGTGCATTTCATAAAAGGAATCGTGGAAGGAAGGGGAAGGAAAATGTTGAAGAGTTTGATTGTAATTCAATCAGCAAATTAGGCCTCCCAGTCGGATTATCCCCCGGCAAGGCCAATATCAATGAAAGGTATTCCCTGGCGCACCAAGAAGGGCTGGAAGGCAGTAAGGGTGGACTTATGAAAATTTGTTTGATGTGTCCCTGACAAGGGTATGTATTGCATAGTACTATGAGAGGGTGGTATTGATGTATTGATAGTACATACTATGTATATCTACTATGTCGTACTATCTAGGATTCTAGGGTATTATGTTGTATGTAGGTACATACCATAGTCGCAATCCTTAAGGGACGGGAAGCAAATCATATTGTAAGAAGCAGCTCAGTCGGGAACCTTAGGCGGCCCCTGACACCCCTAGCTAGTAACCTTAACAAACCCCTGGTCTTCCCCGTCCCCAGTTAGGCGGTTCCTGCTGATCCTGATGAATCCCAGCAAGGTGTAAGCTCCACCACAGAGCCGATCTCCTGAATGAGTTTAAACACGTAATATGGTTAGTGGACTTTGAAGAGAAATACATAGCCTAGGTTAGTACATAGTATGCATGGAGAGACAGGACGAACTTTTGTCTCCCATCTCATAGAGCTTCAATGTTCCTATGTAGTACCTTTAGGCCAACTGCCGCATTCTCTTTCGTCTAGGCAATCATACTGCCCTTTCTACATACTAACTAATAATTTTTTTTTGATTTACCTACCTTTTTTAATCCTAATAGTTAACTTAATTGTAAATCCTCTAGAGCCGAGAAATTCAAATCCCGTTAATAATATTGTATTTCTTCATAAGCCCTCTCGTTTCAACTCTTTCCCCCTTAGTTCAAATTTCTCATACTCATACACCTACATCCTCTCTCTCTAATTTGTCGGTTTCAAGGCTATCTTTCTTCGCTCTACCTCCTTAGTAATTTTATTGTTCTATAACAGACATACCAAAGGCGGTTTTATCGGATTTACTTTGTCATTTTTCAAGTCAAGTCATATGGTTTCAGAGATAGGTGAGTCAGTTGATGTGACTATCAGACCATACTTACCCAGTAGACGTTATAACTACATCCCCAGGAATATTATTACTCCCTTAATTCAGGCAGATTCTTTCTCCCCCCCCCTGAATTATTATTTTTCAATTTTTTTCCTTCCCCCCACATTTACCACTTTCCCTGCTAACTTACCCAAGCTCACCCCACTAACCTTAGCTGGAAGCTGCACGATTGTCTTACTACCTAGATAAGGTAACTCTTACTAGGTATACAGTCGCTAATTGGGTAGATCTATCAGCCCATGAGGAAGTGAGAGAAAATTAAAAAAAAAAAAGAAGCGAAGGAAGAAAAATAATTATAAAAAAGAAAATAAAAAAGGGAAGGAAGTGAGAGCCCTGTCTCCCCCCTTTATAATACGTGCTTGCCTAGCAGCTCCTTAGCTTGGGTAGCTCTTAGCTATCTGACCTACGTAGCACAGCTGCACAGGTACCTACCCCTCCCCGTTTTCTTTCGTGCTTGGTTTGAGCGATCTCCTTGCTGGTTCTGCACTTACACCAAACCTAACCAAGCAGAAGTCTCACCAACCGACCAACCACATACGACCTACCTAAGACAAAAAGAATAAATAGATTAAAATCAAGAAAAAGAGGGAGCAAAAAAGTGGTTGTGGCGCGTGAACACGAGAGGGGACAACGACCAAGCAAACACGACCTTTAAATAAAAAGCAATTGGGCATACATACATGACAATATGGGTCTCTTTTCCCGAAAGCCCAAAGCGTCTAAGGTAGTCAGTACTATCTTTCCTAGAAGCAGCAGAGGTGAAACAGGCAACGACTCGGCCAGCCTGAATTCCGAAGGGTCTAATATCAAGAGTCCCTCGACGAGCAATTCGCGCATTCATATTTACAATAATCGCGCTTCAGCTGGTAGCGTGCCACCGACACCCCTCACCCCCTTAACGCCGCATCCAATGATTCGAGTCAACTTACCCAAGCCTCCGGATCCGTCACTCGATGCGGCCGGCTACCTAAAGAGTTTGGGCTCCGTACGCGAGCGGTCTAAGATCGTCACCGACAAAGCCTTGCGCAATGCCCTTAACCACTTCGATGTTGACATGAGCAAGTTCCCGGACGTTGTCAGCTTCGTCTGTGGCATCATCAAGGTTTGACCTCTATTCTCTTAGCCAATTGAGCCGGTTGATAAGCTGGCTCACTTGTCTTGTGTGTATGGTACATTTGCCGTCTACTGTTGCTAACCATGTGAAAAACAACAATAGCGAGACTATGACGCTCCGTTTTCGTCCATCCCATCTCACGGCCGATATCAGCACTTCTGCGTTGGCGGCCGGGACCGAATCGCTAATCTGCTTGCAACCTTCCCCGAAACGGTCGACAATAGCGAGAAATGCCGTCGATTGATAGACCTATTCCTCGTCAGCGTTTTGCTTGACGCTGGCGCAGGTACTTCCTGGGGATTCAAGAGCGCTGAGAATGGCCGTATCTACCGAAGATCCGAGGGCTTGGCTGTAGCTAGTCTGGAAATGTTCAAGGCTGTACGTACTGCTTGCACACCTCAGAGCCCTGGATAATGGATATATTCATATATGGACTAAAGAGGGATGTTATGCTAACCTTGATCCTCTGAATAGGGACTATTTTCTAGCAGTCCGTCAAACAAGTTTCAGGTGGATAAGGGTGGTCTCCGAAACCTAACCGTCGAGCAACTGGCCAAGGGCATGCAGTCACAACCTGGAAACGAGATCGCTGGCTTAGAGGGTAGAGCGAATCTGCTGATTCGACTTGGCGACGCATTAGAAAAAGCCGATTATTTCGGTGATGATGGACGACCTGGATGCATGATCGGTATGTTAAAATCCTATAATATGTGTGATTTTCTCTTCGTTTTACAAGGGAAAAAAAAAGGAACGAAAAAGGAAAAAGAGGAAACAAGCAAAAGCAAATGAAGCAAAAAAAAAAAAAGAAAAAAGAAAAAAAGAACCCCCCCCAACTCTAATAGGGCACCTAAGAGGCAATTGAGCAGAGCTAATCAGTTTAATATGTGCAGATTATCTTGTCGCACACCCAACCACACAAGCTTCTTCAACTCCTATTGTAGTTCTCCCCGTGTTTTGGAATGTACTTATGACTGGGCTTGGACCAATCTGGCCGCCATCGCGGACAGCCATTGACGGGGTCTCACTTGGCGACGCATGGCCCTGCTCCTCCATGCCACAACAGGTATCGCAGCCTAGTTCTCCCGGCCTTTCGCCCTTCCCCAACTCCCAGTCAGGGCCAGGTGCTGCGGCCTGGGAATCCATACTTCCCTTCCACAAGCTTACGCAGTGGCTCACCTATTCGTTGATGCAACCCATGCAAAACATACTCAAGATTCAGTTCGCTGGCACTGAGCTTTTAACAGGCCTGCCCGAGTACAGAAATGGAGGGTTGTTCATCGACCTTGGTGTTTTGACACTTAAGCCTGACGATTTAGACCGCGGTCTACAGCATTATAGCGATTATTGCCGACGGACGGGCAGCAAGGGCGTTGAGGTAGCGCCAATGTTTGAGCCGAGTGACGATGTAATCGTGGAGTGGAGAGGTGTCACAGTGGGCTTCCTTGACCAACTTTTAGTCGAGGTCAACAAGGCTCTAAAGAAGGAACTCAATGGTGGCGAGTTAACATTGGCACAACTGCTAGAGGCGGGAAGTTGGAAGGTAAGTTGCGAGCAAGCAACCCTTTGCCATAAACAAACATAACTACTGGCGCAAGAAAGCTAACACAAAATCTACAGGGTGGTCGTGAAATTGCGGAGGTCAGCCGACCAAACACAAAAGAGCCTCCCATCTTGATCGATTCGGATGGGACTGTATTCTAGCATGGGAAACTTATTTCGCACCTTGTTCTTCTTTTATGTTTCCTACTTCTATTCGACGCCCCATTCTTGTGCATCATGAAAAGCATATAGCGAAAGATCACTAGATCTTGGTAGACTTGGGAGCTTATAGCCTCTTCCTTTGTGTTAGTATTCGAAGCAACAGTACACTTCATTCTTGAAAAGCCAGTAGACAAACGATCCACCACCTACCTGCCTAGGTGCCTAGTACCTTTGTACTGGGCATTTCTGATTGGTGGGAGAGAAGGGAAAGGGGGGGGAGGGGATGTGGATTACTAAGCTTGTTGACACGGAGACGATGACCCCCTTCCTTGGTAATTCTTCTTGGGATTCGCATTTTGCATCAATGGACCTACCCAAAGAATCAAGAATTGACCGGGTTCCTTTCGAATGAGACGAGGGGTGGCGGGAGTAGTCAATTGGCGACCCGTGAGATATGGCTTCATGGCTTGAGTCAAGTTACATAACCCTGCAGTTTTAACCCTTAAAGTATCTAAATGAAGCAAAAAGGTACCTACGTATGCACCTAGCTCTCAGTGGAAGAGGGACCTAAGCTATCCTTATGTATATACCAACCTACGTACGAATACGTAGGCACTCATGAAGCATCTATGTACATTGTGCTTGGCGTTGCGGGTACGTGTATACATAGATAGGTATCTTAACCTACTATGTGGCTAGATGAATTCATCAGCAGTAAGCACCACTTGTGAGAGGGATAAAGTACTCGTCTATGCTTTGGTATGTTACAATCCTGGCGTTCACATCGTACATAAGCTAGATATTCTAGCGCGTCAAGTGCCACTTTCACTTTCATGATCTCCTCCCGGAACGTCTTCGTCGCAGCTCCTCCATCCTTCGGTACTCCTTTTCCTTCTCTTCCATAGCTCTTCGCTCCTCATACGCCTGCGCCTTCTTCCACTCCTCTTTCTGCTTGTCAACGCCAAGAAGGCTCTTTGGCAACGAGGCTATACCTTCGGAACTGGGTGCAGGCTTCGAGGGCGTTGGTGCTTGCCAGATAGGACCAGTCGCACCAGCAGCACCAGTTGGTCCGAGGCCCCTAATGGGAAGAGGGGGGAGGCCGGCCCAGCGACGGATGCCTGGGTTGAGAGTTGCTGATGTCTGCACGACAGTGCCGGCAGTGAGTAGTAGGAAAAACCATTGGATACCGGCCGGAAGCCATGCGGTACATAGAAACATCATAGGGGGGAGGACCCATTTCATTACCCAAGCCATCTGATCGGCCATAGGGCTACGTACTAGTTGGGTGGCTTGCGTTTGCTGATGGGAAGGTTAGTCACATCTTTTTAAGAAGTTTCATGATAAAATAGCCGTGGTACCTACCTTGAACATGAGAGCAGCGAGAGCTAGAGATGATATAGGTAGAATGAAATAAGGGTCATGGACAGTAAGGTCGGTAAACCAGGCAAAACCTCCCGTCTCTAAGCTAGGTACGGGTATGGCGGCCATGGCGCGGAATATTCGAAACATGCCATAACTGAAAGGAACCGTCCAAACTGCCACGAGAGACTTCATCATACTAGCGCCAGTCTCCTTTTTCAATCTCATAATCTTTTCACGTGCACGCATCTGGGCAACGCGATCGCCGGTTCGCCACATGGCCTCATCCATCTCCGCCTTCGCTTGGATATAGGCGGGACTCGTACTGACCTGTTGCACTAGCGCAGCGTGCTTGCTGGAAGTGAGGGTGGGGAAGAACATGGCAGCACGCCATAAAATAGCGACAGTAGCAAGGGTTGCCCACCAAGGCATACCGGAGTATATGTATATATGCTCAAGAACCCATTGACAGCAGCTAGTTGGCCCCCATCCGAAGTCCAGACCAAGACTTTTGAGGTAGCCTATTTGCTCAGGAATATCAAGGACAGATTCCATGTCTAGACCGTCAAAAGCATCTCCGAATTGCGGGACCGAATCTAAGGCGGGGGAATCTGCCGGGGTCGATGGCGAAGTATATGAAGACGCTGGAGATGAAGAGGTACTGGCGGCATGACTTTCAAGCAAACTGTTCGATGGGGCTTCATATTGGGAAGCAAGCGTTGATGGCTCTGTGGAGGTTTCAAAAGGAGTCTGGGCGTCGGTGGGAGGCTTTGGTTTCGAAGAGAATGGCCAGAGCGATAGGTTTCGCGAAGCTCCAGAACGCTGGGCGAAGACACTAGATGCAGTGATAGTAGTCGCTACAGTGGCGCGAGAATTAAATAATGACGCCGGTATAGTAGAGGATGCGCAGCGTAATCGATTTAATACAACACTAGACGGCGACGGCTTCTGAGAGAAATGTCGTATGGGAAGTTGAAGAGGTCGAGCGCACTATAAATATGTCAAAAAAATTGTCAGTTTTTAGTTATTATGCGCCATTGGGATTTGGTAGATATAACGGTGGAAATATAGGTAATTACCTGTGTCCGCGCACACCAGCCATTCCGTAGAATCGGAGCTGAGCCTGACTTCAAGAGTCCCCTACTAGGCAACATAATGGCTGTGGTGGAATATGGACTCTGAATTGAAGTCGAGGGCGAGGTCGAGGTCAAGGTCGACAAATTGAATATTTTTGCGGGATTGACTGAATACTATATATGTACAAGTACCTACTTAAGTTGTTATAGTTATACCTGGTTACTACCTATCGATACGGCTTAAATATCGGACCTACAAACTAGGTATGTACATAGTACAACATCGAGCACAAACTTTGGACGATTGTGAACTCTTTTAACTTCACCTGAGGCATTCAATGTTGCAATATTCTACGGTCCGTCACTGCTGTGCCTACTAGTTATAGACATAACTACATATTACATACATATGTGTAGGTACTAGGTACTGCATACAAGGGTAGCATCATGTACACGTATGTCTGGTAGTAATACCGTAGTATGCAACTATTTGATGTAGGTACATAATGCAAAGTCCTGAAGCATTGACGTACTGAATGGAGTATGCATTTTCAACCACCTGTAAGTTATTCTACCATTCAACATTTCTTTTCCACAGCCTCATACAGACAGACCTTAACATCCTATTACCTTTCTTTTGGTATTTTGCCCGCCCATCACACCGAACCCCAGTTCAGTTCAGTTCAGTTCAGTTCAATCCAATACCGTGTATATGCACTATATACCTATATAGGCAGAGACTGCCCAAGATGTGAAGCACATAGTACTAACCTAGGTAACTACTGAGGCATGTTATCTACCTAGGTAGATAATCACTAGGTATACATGGTGCGCATTTCCCCAGTATTCAATTATTCCGGCTCTATTGAAATTGTGAACATAGTCAACCCTATGAAAAGTATCACTCTAGGCTTGTGAGGTCTTGTAGGTCAAACCGAGGTTTTTGTCGCTCACGGATTTCGATGCCGGGGCCAATGGGATGTGTTCTTCGGCGTGAGAATGGAAAAACCTGCGGATCATAATATGTGAGCCTTGAGTTGATGTTTCTAGCTTCAGCGATTCTTACTCTGGTGCCCCCCCATCCTAGCCTAAACGCAGCCTCATGCGCAAATAACTCGCCAAACCCTAACATCATGCCGTTGATAAACGGCAACAGAAGGTTGATAGCGGCACCTCGGAGCATAGACCAAACGGTCGGTGGCTTATAGAGAACAATAGGTGGCGAAGATGAAGAGGGTGGGGATGTCGAGATATCCTCTCCAGCAGAATATTGTTCACTGTCGGAGTGCATCGTGACGCCGGATTCGGCGAGGGGGTTTGTTTCTTCGGAGGACATGGCAAAAATGTTGAAGTCTGCTGGGGAAAAGGAGCGAGATACTGATACTTCGAAGGTTTGACTACTACGTACACAGTACGTATCTTCAGCCTTTCGAGTGATGAATGGTATACCGAGTGCAGCTTATGTGTCGCAGTTCGTAGTTGCTTCGAAGTCAAAATGGCTGGAGACTGACGAGCATTGAAGGCTCGGGACTTAATGATAGGGCAGCTACATAGCATAACTAACTTAGAGTTCTGTGTGCTTACTACTAAGCCTAACTAGGTAAGTAGCCAGCTCCAAGACTCTAGAAATGGTTAGCCAACCTTGGAAGTGAGTTGTAATTAAGCACCATAGCAGCGCAAACGTCACACAACTGCCCGTCATTTCAAACGTACCCTAGTAGGTACATAATGTACTGTGTACTGTAACTATGTATTGTACCTTGATAACCCCACTTCCCCCCCGCGTACCTTCTTTACACCAGTGCAATACATATCTTAAACGTAGGCATTAATGTGATTGCCATAGTAGATCAGGCTACTGTGGAGTGCCTGACGTCGTTACTCAGAAGCTGCCTAAAGATTAACACCATAAGCTTTAGTTATAGTGCAACTTCCAAAAAGTTCAAAGTCACACCAGCAAAGGCCAATCACCAAGGCGATATTTTAATTCTCAACTTCAATACTTCTCTCCCTCAACAAATTTAAATCACCTTCATTGTCGGCATCCCCTCCTAGCTTCCCTAGTTAGGTAAACTTCCACAATCTTGACGTCGATCTTGATTTGTCAAAAGGTCCATTCGGTTCTTCGCCGATTTACGGAATCACGATCCTTTGTTTGAAGAATTATGGCGAGCAACCGCCCCGATGACCAAGATGGTCTTACTAGCGAGTTCATGAGAATGACCAATACTTCAGCTGAGCAGGTGCGGATTTATCTATGATAGTGATCTTGCCCATTTCAACCCACTCACCTAAACTAACCTACATATTCTTCACCTCATAGGCTACCCAATACCTTTCTGCTAACGGCTGGGACCTCGCTTCTGCCGCTCATTCATACTTCGCCGACGAGGAAGAATCTATCCCGGAGGTGCCATCCGACGAGGCACCATCCGACGAGGCTTGGACCGGCCCCCGTACCTTGTCTGGTCGCCCCGTGTACGACTCACCATCTACCGCACCCAGCTCATCTAAGCGGCCAACGAAGAAGAAGGGGCTTGCTACATTAAGTTCTCTAGGTGGTGGCCATGGGCATGACGATAACGACGATGATGATGACGATGATGACGACGCACACCGAGACACGTATGCGGGAGGAGAGAAGAGTGGACTTGCCGTCCAGGATCCGAACCAGCGCACCGATCCGAAGCGAATTATCAACGATCTTCTTGCCAAGGCTGAAAGGTAAATCACATTGTCCGCTTCTTGATCTAATCCGCCACGATTAACATGTAACTTCCCATAGACGGCCCGAGGCTTCTTCCCAGGCTGGACCCTCTAGCTCGTCCTCTTTTCGCGGCTCTGGACAAACTTTAGGTGGTGATGGTGCCCCAAGTCGCACCATTCCCAATCCAAGCGGACATTCTGCACCTGGTAGCCGTACACTACCGCAGGGTGCCCAGGCTCAGGAACGAACATTGCATCTTTGGCGCGACGGTTTCAGCATTGACGATGGAGAACTACGTCGATTTGATGACCCTGAGAATGCCGATGCTCTGCGCATGATCCAACAGGGTCGTGCGCCTATTCATCTTATGAACGTGAGATATGATGAACTACTCGACGTCAAGCTTCAACAGCATGAAGAAAATTACCGACCTCTTCCTAAAGTCTACAAGCCCTTCGGCGGTGAAGGTCGTCGCCTCGGTAGTCCCGTACCGGGCGAGTCTGCAACTGCCGTGCTTCCTACCCTAGCGACCTCGAACACACCCGCTGCCACACCGTCATCAGCACCACCTCCCAGCACCTCCGCGGACCAGTCGCAACCTACGGTCATGATCCGTATTCAGATGCCAGATGGTACACGACTACCGGCTCGTTTCAACACCTCACAGACGGTCAACGACGTATACGACTTTATAACTCGATCGTCGCCCGAACTAAGCGTAGGCGGATGGGTATTGGCTACGACATTCCCCAACAAGGATCATACTGATAAATCTTTGGTTCTGGGGGATATGGCTGAGTTTAAGAAGGGTGGCACTGCTATGGTCAAGAAAAATAAGTAAACACTTATAGTATTATTTGCATGAACTTGCTGGGTTATCATCGCTAAAGAGAGCTAGACTTTGCAGATAGACGACTAAGTGCACTATAGCCCTATAGATGTCTACTACCTAGGCAGCTAGATAAGAAACTGAGTAATTATGTCGCTCATTGCGATGGCTTGATAAACTTCAACTTCTTTCTCTCTTGCGTAGTTTAGCTTTCTGGTTGCGTCTACAAACACCCGTAATTGCCCCTAACTAGCCACCGAGTTTTTGATTGACGAGCAAGAATTTCCTGGAAGTCCCTGACGTCTTCTCTTCAACAAAGTTAACAAGTGTTTAGCATGCTAGTTAGAGCTGATTTCTCGGCTGAGGTAACAGACAAAGCCCAGTAGCTCTTGACGGCAACCCAGGCACTGGCGTAAGTACAGTAAAAGCTCGTCAACGGCGGCTTCCATGCGTCGGGAGACTTGTCGCTCTTGGCCGAATTTACATTATCTGTCACTGCCCAGAGTTGTGGCCTATCCACATCATTGGCAAACTGTTCTCGCTTGGCTGTTGTCCATTTGTTCGCGCCAGACTATTAAGATGTACCTGTTAGCAAAAGTCTTGACGATTTTCTCAAGTAGCAAGATATAAAGCAGGCCATGCTATCACCTAACTAGGCAACCCCCTTCCTACATAGCTTGAGCCAACGGGGCGACGGAAGAAAGAAATAAACATACAATCCATGCATTTTTTAACGGCACCATGTGATCAATATCTATGTCCGAAGGCGCCGTCCATGTGGCGCCATCGTAGGGACTTGTCCAGGAGCCACTTGTTGGATAGCAGTCGGAGCCGACCTGGACATTGTTGCCATCGCGTCTCAGCACGTACTCCCGTGTGTTGCAGGTGCCTGTGATTGTATCCCACGTTGGGAATAGGTCGCGGTCGTATGCGCCGTCGTCATTGGCCGCGGCAACCGTGAGGCCTGCAAGCTGTGACTTGGCGGACGAGCTGGATGGGATACCGGGCTAAGAGTCTGTCAGCTTGATACTAGGTCTCAAGCAAAGTTTGCCCAGGTACTATTATCTCATGTGAATTCAACTTTAGGCATAACATGTTTACTAACAGGAGTGGGCATGGGCATAGGCGCAGCAAGAACTGCGCCCGCAAAGAATAGGGTAGATGAGAGTCTCATAATGTCGAGTAAATTGGCAAATTCTATACCACGGGAAGAAGAAGCTGTCACCACGATAACAAGCACTCAAGTGTAGTAGACTCGCAAGATAAAGACAGTATCACATATCATGACCAGGCCACATGGCTTCTCGTCGGTCTTATATCTTCATTCCAAACGACCTCAACCTCAAGCGCTAAAGACACCGAGGAAAGGACGATAACGAGCCAATTACCACAAGCATGTGAGCAAGTCCCACAGACTCCCACCTTCATAGTAGTACCATGTGCAGGAAGGGGACAGTTGCGGGACGGACTACCCCGGAACAGCTACGGCAATCATTATCTCAGATGTGCGTTACATGGCGCGAAGCTGAATAGTACCTGCCAAATTGAATAGGTTGTGTGTGGTAACAACATGGTGCTGAGAGAACAGGGCGACGATCATCATGGCCAAGACAGGCAAAAAGCCATGCTTTTCTGCAGGTACACAATCATACCTCATTATTTTATTTCCTCTCTCCTTAAAGACAAGCAAAACGGTAACTGCACATGTGAAGGCTTTGTGCTCCCAGGTGAGCAATACATAGGTCTAATGACTTTGAGTTGTACTATTAGATATTTTGAAGCAGTCATATCTACTCGCTCAACGGAGTCGAGCTCGCCCGGATCAAGTAGGTAGCTACCTATTCGGCTAACCTCCCGCTCTAGCCATCCATGGCATACGGCATACGGTGCAATAGAGGATTATAATTGGCCAACATCTTGCTATATTGACCTTCCTAATCCGGGACATGCGCCGATCTTCAGGGACAAGACACCGCCCACTCAAGATGATGCAATGTCACTGATAATATCACTGATAAAGCCAATGAAGCTCCAAGTAGAGAAACGTGTTGACCTTCATTTCGTTAATGATATTGCCCAGACAAACGCCGTTCTTTATAGTGCCTTGTAGAAATAGTGGTACCGTATGGACATGCTATATCTTAGTTCAGATTGGTGCCCATATAACTCGTAAACTTGTTAGATATGCTAAAGTCATGGCATCAAGGATGAGCCCGCTGCTATGCTCTCTTGTTTAAAGCCTTGATATGAACACTACACGGTTTCGCTTCATTCGTGGTATACCGAGGTTACTCCAACCTTTCTGGGACTTGATAACAAAGGCCTTGCTTGGGCATCCATCTAATTGTAGTTCTGACCAGACCCGGCAACGGTCATCGGGCCATCCAAGAACTTGAAGCTTTCTCTAGCAATCTGGCAATTCAACTTGGCCGAGTTGAACCTCGCTTCCCCAGGTGGGAGAATAACCATAAGATAGGTGTTTGTTGTAAATTTGCAGGCAAACATAGAAAATCTAGAACCTGCCTTATGCTCCTATTGGTGATTGTTAGCGATGCCATTCGAGTAGCTTGCAATGTAGCCCTTGATTGAAAAGGGGCTAGAAGTCTTTCTGTGGGAATCCATATATGAATCTCTGGACCTCGAGGTTCATATATCATTGTTCACTCACCATTAACGTGAATTGTTCCGCGTTACGGGGTGTGCCGGTGAATCGACTGATGCTTTGCTTGAAGTGCTTTAAAATATTTGAAATACGTTCTTGGCGATCCCCTGTAGGGTTCTTTTGACCTTCCTCCGACGTCCAACTGGAGACGACAAGAAAACTAGTCCGCTCGAATAAAAGTAGCTCTTCGGCTTCGATCAACAGCCCTAGCGACCCTAATTGAGATTCAATGACCGAGAGGTTCGGCACAAGGTCGTGAATGATGCTCGCCCAGGCTTTGTATAGGGACTGGTCCCATATTGAGGTCGCGAAGGGGATGAGATCTAGCTCACCCGTATACCCGGCACCCTGAATAAACTCCGAGGTTTTCTGTCGCACTAACCGCACGCGGTCGACGAAGACAGCTTCTCGAGCATGTGGGGTGATCAGGTCCACCTTGTGGATAAGCACGTAAATTTTGGCAGTAGGCGAAAACTGTGTTAAGGCAGATATGATGGAGACATAGGTGGCCATGTCGCGATCAACATCTCGAGATTCGATGTCGAAAACGTATATCAATACGCCAACGTTCGAGAAGACATGGACGCGTTGCTGGGAGAGGTAATTCTCCATGAAAGCCTCTTGGCCACCGCAATCCCAGAGATTTAAAGTCAGGTTGCCCAGGAATTTGACATGAGAAAGGTCGACATCAATTGTAGCACCACTTTCATAATACGCAGCAAGTCAGTCTTCTACCGGTGCTTCTTGTAACTGTGTATAAAGACGTACAGACGCCGAGTATCCCTTGCGATATAGTTGCTAAATATGATGCTCCTCATACTCGACTTCCCAGAGCCACTCTTACCCATGAGAAGGACCTTTTTCTTTTTGGGTTTCTTGACCTCGTTCCGGACGTCGTTGGCCATGCCCAAGCTGGGCGTAGATGTTTCGAGGTCGGCCATATCGTACGGACGTGTCTATCTTATGTCAGTATAGACTGGATCTAGTCGAGGCAATGTATCATGAAAATTTAGCGTGGTCTCTGTCGTGTTCTGGACGAGACGTGGGAAACTTCGTTTAACTTGGCCGGCGCATGTTTTGTTCGAGTTAGAGGTGCAAGGTATAAGGTATAATGGATTGCTTATAATCGCATTGACTCCTTTCCAATTTCCGACCGATGCAGAAAAGTAATTCAACTCATCTTGCGACAAGAGTGTTGGGGGAAAGATTTGACGATAAGTGGTGAGGTGAACTGGGAGAGTGAGAGACTCGAAGCTTGAGCTTCAATTTACTTCGTACAATGGTTGTATGTACCTATTCAAATAAACAGGATAAGGCAAATAAGCTGACGTCACGTGGACCTTTTAATTGCATATCACCATAAATTTGATTAATTTCTTTATCGGGAACGCAAGTGCATTTTAAACTTGAATCCGTCAACGTTTAATTGAACATTCATCAATGTTGCTCAATCCATGGATCATTCAAGTTTCAATGTTCTTGGTAGTTATGTACTTCAAGGTTATAATTATACAGTACGAACATAACCGCACCCTTCTAAATATTCCTCTATCGGCAGAGATATCAATGATATGACATATATCAAAATAAACCGAGTGTCAACAGCACCGTTCGCTTAGTTCTTACGACACAGTCTAGTCCCATATTCGATAACCTCCCAATCTTCAGTCCCTGGAGTGGACACAGCGTAGAAGACTCCATTGGGATCCCACTTCTTGCGAATCTCCAATAACTTTCGATATTCAGAGCCCCAGAAATTATATTGCCAATCGGATTGGTATGGGTTTCCCTAGACGAATAGTCAGTGCCTTGAACCTTGTTCGTATCATTCTACCATCGTATTCCTCAACTTACCTCGTTTACATAGGCGCACCCATTTGGGCCTGCCTCCTTTAACGCAGCATCTTGAATGTTGGTGAGCACATTCTGGAGGTCTTCCTTTTGAGCCCAAGTTGCGCCGTCAGGGATAGGGAGCGCCGCAATTGCAAAGCTGGTGGAGTTTCTGAACCTTGGATTCGTTGCACTATTCGAGATAGGCATGTTTAAGCCGGCATCCCAGAGATGGCCAATGATGAATCCTTGATCTTTCAAGTCATCACGTGGTGATATCACCGTTTTGAAAGCTTCGACAATCTCGTCATTATGCTCCTCGACATCTTGGTGAGTGAACACCCGCCCGCCTGTAAGCGCTGAGGTTCCGGCTTCCTCCGCTTCGAACAAATTTGTGTACAGATCAAACAGGGTATCAAATTCCTTGCTTTCCGTTCCGTAGGCGATGCCCTTTGCCTTGAATTCGTCGAACAGAGGCTGAAGAATGGTTTGCATTTCTGCGGAAGTCTTTCCAATGCCCAGCACGGGCTGTATATGAAGGCGCAACGGCATAACCTCAAAATAAGCATAGAGCCCAGCCGAGACAAGCTCATTTGTGTAATTGTGAAATGACTTCACACCATCCCAGAATACATCCACATCAGATGTATGGGTCGAGTTGATATCGATAATGACACCAGTCGACTTTTGCTCTGGAAACGTTTTGAGAGTCACGGAAAGCACAATGGCGTAAGTTGAGGGGCCGCCTCCTTTCAATGCCCAAAAAAGGTCGGGATAATTTTGAGCATCCACAGTCAAGTATTCGCCATCTGCTGTGAGCACATCAAAAGAAAGTGCGCTGTCGGCAGTAAATCCATGCAGTGGCGTGAGAGGGCCGTGGCCGCCTCCTTGGACCAGCCCGCCAGCTACTCCGACAGTCTAATAATTCGTTAAATTTGCGATCTGGTCAGTCTTGCGCGTTGCTTACTTACTGGACATTCTCCTGTTATCACCGTAACCGGCGGGTCCTGGGCGTTGGCTCGTGTGAGCAGCGTCCGAGCTTGAACACCTGCGCTAATCGTAACAGCCCCTCCCTTGTATTCATCACATCCGGAGTACTGGGTGGTGAATTCGATATCTTGAAAACTGTGCGTGTTTATAATTAATGCACCCCACCCGGTGCTACGTCCGATCAAGTCGTGCCCGGTGTTGCGAATAATCAAACGCAGGTTGTTATCTCTGGCGAAATCCACGCCAGCTTTGATATGATCTCGAGTCTGAGCTAAAATCACATACACACCATAGTACCCAAGCGTACAGGATGCCGTAGGATTGTCTGTCGGCCGACATGTATCATTGGTGAAATATGTCCACAGCGCAGCTGCAGGCTTCTCGACGCTATGCCAGAATATCAATATCTTGCTTCGGGAAAGGGTTCGATAACATACGTCCAGGACTCATCAGACCACATAGCTGTCGCGTCCGCACAAGCGGCAGCGTCGTACGTCGAGATGGTGCCTAAAGGGCCCTGGAAAGTCTAGATGTGGGTTGTTCAGCTTTACCCTCATCATCTCCGATATATGACCAACAAGAACACTTCGCATTGACATACGTTGTAACACGGTGCAGCAGGCGGGATGTTTGTTCGTAGGTTTCCATCCAGGGTCGAGTTAAGTTCCGCCCAAGCACCATCTCCAGGCCAACAATCATCGCCTAAATAGCATTTACAGCCATAGCTCGTGCCATTCCACGTTCTCTCAACAAGGGAAGGCGACGACTCGGCACCGCCGAGAAATGACAAGAAGCTTGCGCCTAAGGAAAGCCACGGCCATGCCATCGTTACTCCTTCAAGGTGGTTGGTTAGGTTAGCGAGAGAGAACAAGGCGGCATAAGCTCCCCCGCTACCCATAGTCATATTTATAAGTGATTCCATATTACATAGCCGTTGCTCCCTTTATATATTGCCAGCTCCCGAATCTTATTACCGTATGCCAAAAGGGGAAGGGGGGAAACAAGATTGCATCACTCGTTAGAGGGCAATGCTGCTCCTTACGGTTGCGTCGCCCAATCAGAGTTGCTGAAATTCTCCTAGAATAGTGGAAGAATATAGTGCAAGAATAGTGTAAGTCGTTGGTATGGCCAAGAATAATCAAACTATTGTGCTATGTATTTTTCTTGGGAAGTGGCTGATAAGCTCAGTGGGTGGATATTCTTTGGCAGCGGTCTAGGGAAGAGTACGGGGAAGATTGAAGATCCTTTGATTCCCCAACTACCTACTAATATAGCACATACATTTCCCCATATCTTGGTGAAACTAAGTGAATGGGGTACAGCCGTAACCCCTCACAGACCATACTACCCAGGGTATGTTTAGGGTATGTTCGATGCTAGTTTGATATTGGCATTGGAATCACCTCTTGTCCCCGCGCCAAAACGACTTTACATAGTAATATGTCATCCGACTAAGCTATCAATTTTGGAATCCTACAGGGTTATGACCTTGTACGTAGCGGTTTCTATTACATGGGGTTCTCGGTACTTATCCCACCTCACAGGATTTCATGTGTACCTTCATACCTACTTCCTACCTAATGACTAGAGTGCCCAGTAGTGAAGATACCATGATAGAGAGTGTTGGATTCCTACTATTAAAAAATATCATGAATAGCCGGTGGCTTTTACAAACATTAAACATGGAATCAACACATTCCAACTACGATGTTTTAAGTTCCTTCTGCAGTAAGTTACACCAACACATGTAACCTACCTAACCCCGGAGCTATATAACAAAGGCCGATAATATATGTAATTCTCTTCTCCTGCTCGGAACGGATTCATCGTCTTACATAGGTATCTACAATCTAAAATTCGTTGTTCGGAGCCGTCAGGTTTTAGCATATATCAGTTAGAAACCCCCCGCGATTAGTAATATGACCATTTTGAACCATTCTTTCCCATAGAAGCTATTCACAGTATTTACTACTTATCAGTCGGGTCGCCGACCGGGGACCTTCCAGGGCATATTGTATTCATCGTATACGCGGCGTATGAAAAAGCAACACGTACTTAACATTAATCAGCATGTAACACTACATATATCCAAGGCTATACTTCATTTTCATCCAAGTTCTTTCCTCTCGGCCTTATTTACACTCCCATAATTATCGTCTACATAGCATCACGTAAATCGCATTATAACATAATAATCAGTATCCATTCCGTCGCAATCAAAATGGCGTTCAATGTACGACAAGCATCTCTCTCGGATATTCCGGCCATGATAGACACATACTACGACGCCTTCGATGGCCACCCATTTCTCATACGAGTATATGGTCCACGTTCGAAAGAAATGGACGCCCATTTAGCAAAGTCGATGGAAAGTGAGATACAAGACCCGAACTCGCGGTACTTGGTCTTAACCGAGCTTAATTCCAAGGGCCAGGAAAACATCATCGCTCTCGGCAAATGGCTAGTGCTCACGCCTACGTCTCCGCCTTCACCACCCCTTGCCTTGCCCGCGGAAGCTGATGTCGCCTTCGTCGAGGGGTTTCTGGGGGTGATTATCAAAAAGCACAAAGAGATCATGCAAGACCGCCCGCACTGGTATCTAGATGTGCTAGGAGTCCGGCGTGGGTCCCGACGGCAGGGTGCAGGCCAACAATTGTTGCGGTGGGGATTAAGTAAAGCTGACCAGGACGGCGTGGAAACCTTCTTAGCCGCTAGCCCAGCCGGTGTGCCCCTGTACGAAAAAAATGGCTTCAAAATCATGGAGCAGGTCCTGCTAGATGAAGGGACTCGTCTTGAGACCTTCATGGTGCGACCAGCCAAGAAGGCTTGAGCCCAACCGCAATCATCTGCCGTGATATTCGGTGATGTCATCTATATACATTTTCTGCATTTCAATTAGGATACTATTTGAGAAGATCAGGGTACTAATACCGAAAAACTCGAAATTGTCCTATCGATCCCTGGCATATCAAGTTGGTTTGATCATTGATTTCACCCAGCTTACTTGTAGCTACCTAGGGTTGCGGAATGTATTATTCAAACGTATTATTCGCGTATTATTCAAATATAATATTGCATTTTATTATAAAATGCAGTGGGTCCGAAATGGAAAAGTGGATCGGTACATAAGTGGAGTAAATTTTGCACCAAAATTTGGTGATATTACCTAATTTTACAGGTATTTAAGGCGCGCAAATCTCGATACATGTATGTCGTTTAAGTGATCCGGCTGAACTAAGCTTTGAAGATTGCGTTGGACTTTGATCATAATGTGCTCGAAGAGCATGATCAAATCGGCGCCCCATTGCATAGGGAAAATGGCAAAAATGTCCATATTCTTTAGCTTCAAATCCTGTAAATCTTCCATATTATTTCAGAGTGTAAAGCCTTATTGTATGTAGGTATCTACTAAGTGTATTAGGTTAGGGTGGTCACGTGACCCACTTTTGAATAATACGGTATAATACGCATTTTACAGGGGTTATGAATAATACGCGCACTTTACTTTATAATGCGCATTTTACGCAACCCTATAGCTACCCAAGGAGCTATTCATATATCTTGTTAAAAAGTCTCTATTATTAACCCGGTTCACGTGTACCCTAGTCATACCAGGTAGGTGGAGATGAGGCTATTGCCGATCTATCATAGTAGAACTCCCGACATGTGGAGTTGTAGGTTTCTGTCTACCTAGTACTTAACAACCTTGAACGCTAGGTTAGTTCCGTGTCCTTATTTTTGGCTCGTATGTAGCATTATGTGTAGGTAGGTAGTATTCCTGTATAAACAAACTTTGGGGCCAATTGATTAAATCTGGAGTGCACTAGATACTAAATGCATATATAGATACCTACATGTGTAGGTAGACTTATGCTTCCTTCTACCATTACTCCCCATCCTACCTATCTACTGGGTAAAGGTACTGGACTGATGGCCTTTTACAATCGTAAAATCTATTCAAATACTTCAATTCTTGGAACAATAAACCAAGTTAGCATGAACTCCCTATACCATGTTCTTCGTGACATGTTTTGTCTACTAACCGCGGGTCGAGTGCTTATATCTGTTACGTCTTCTACCAAATTCCTTGCTCGCCCTTAGGTTTGAAGAACAATCCTCAATCTGGAGAAACTTTCAAGAATACGCTATTATCCATCGGACTATCCCGTTAGACCATATGACAAGAGCAGCTTCCATGAGGCTGGTGTAAAATCAAGCGATGATACCGGCGGACTTAACAATCTAATCCCGAGAGTCCATTTTCAGAGTCCATTGTCCGGTGTCCGAGAAGACTAGATGACAGGCAACACTTGGAATTCATGAATATAAATATAAGTGAAGTGAGGTAGATACCATAAATATTTGAAGTACCGTGAAAATCTATTAGTCCTCATCGTATGGAAACTCACCTCGTGCTTGCATTTATACTAAATACGACACACCTGATCTTAAGATGGTAGGATCTATCACACCCGCAACCATTGCCAACAAGGCCATTGGTCCTATTGGATTTGGCTTAATGAGTAAGCTTTCCATTTCTTTATGATTACATATAACCGGTATGCATTAGATTCATTGACATTACTCTAGGCTTAACTCGTCCATGGTCCCCTACAGAATACCCAGCCGCGGCCAAGGTCATGAAAGCGGCGCTTGAGCACGGCGCCAATCTCTGGAATGGAGTGAGTATCTGTAACTGAAAGAATGCCTACCTTAGGTAACTCAGTACTTGTATTGTATGAGGACTTTACTGATACACGGATTAGGGCATGTTCTATGGTCCACCTCACGCCAATTCACTCCAACTGCTCAAGTACTACTTTGATAATTACCCCGAAGACGCAGAGAAGGTCGTCCTTAGTATCAAAGGTGCATATAATCCCAGAACACACACCCCGGATGGCAGCCCGGAGGGTATCCGGGCGTCTGTTAAGGAGGCACTCAAAATATTAGGTGGAAGAATAAAGATTGATGTGTTCGAATGTGCCCGAGTCGACCCCAAAGTGCCCATTGAGACGTCAGTGAAGGCATTAGCAGAACTTGTCGAGATCGGCAAGATTGGTGGTATCGGGCTGAGTGAGGTTAGCGCCAGTACTATCCGACGTGCACATGCCGTTCACCCCATTGCTGCCGTTGAAATCGAACTGAGTCTCTTTACTCCTGATGTTCTTACTGATGGCGTTGCCGAGACATGTCAAGAGCGTAAGTCATCCAAACATCTTTAGCTAACTAAAGATAGATTATAATCGTGAATACTAATGGCTCCCATGTTTTCAGTCGGCATTCCTCTCATCGCATACAGTCCCGTTGGTCGGGGCTGGCTTACCGGCCAGTTTCGTACACCCGATGACATTCCCAAAGAAGATTTTCGGCGTATGTTGCCTAGGTTTCAGCCCGAAGTTTTTGGCCAAAACCTCAAGCTCGTGGAAGAGATTGAGGGATTCGCAAAACGGAAAGGAGTTACTGTTGCGCAGATTGCTATTGCCTGGGTTCGGCTCCAGGGCGCGATCCCCATCCCTGGTTCTACCAAGATCGAAAGGGTGATAGAAAACTGCGAAGACATTTCATTGAGTGAAGAAGATTTGGTGGATATCCAAAACCGATTGAATAATTTTCCTGTTCTAGGGGGTCGTTATCCTAAGCAGGTTGAAGCTCGGGTTAAGTAGTAGATAGTATGTATGGGTACCTACTACCTAGTATGTGAATTGGTCTCGTACCTAACTAGGTACCTTCGAGGACTTCACTATTCATAGGTAGCGTCAATGCTGATTCGCCAATGTGGCCTTATACATCATTGACGGCTACAAGTATTTCTCTGTAGCAGGTCTTGAAAACGTGTATCGCTTTCATATCGTTTCAATCCTATCTCTTTCCATTCACTCCAGTTCTCGTCTACACCGAAGACCTGCAGAATGGCGTTTGCTAATGGCTAGAAGCGAGTTCACAGACTGCCTTTTCGTTGATCTACCTAAACATGAATAAACTCCACAAAAGTAGCTGCTGCACATGTCGCGCCCAGCTCCGACCGAGCGGGCACTTGGGTTTCCACACCCCGACACCGAGCAATTGAAGAATCTTCGTGCCATTCAATCGATTTGACGTGAGGAAATAGTGCTTGGATTTCGTGTCGATATGTCGGCCGTTGAGATGGAATGCATATTGGTGATATTGGAGGTAAGGTATATATATGGCAGCGTGCGCCACTTTCACGTATTGAGCGAACCCAGGCAGAGCCAATATCATGCAGAGTGCTCATAACAATCAGGATGCGATCGCTGAAGTGTACCTACCGAGCCCAACTGGTCAATCGTATTCACATGTTGTAAACGGCTTACATAGTTAATTTGACTTGCTCCAAATTAAAAGGGTTGAGCTCCGGAGGGTCCAATCCCGACAGTCTGGAACCTATCTAGATTATGTATTGCACCTAGTAGGTATGTATCAAAGTGAGTGGCTAAGCCCCTTTCTTGACACCTCACAGTCGATTTTGGATGACCGTTGTCATAATGGCGGCTATCTTTGTTATAAATTAGGTCAACACCGTTCTTAGTTCGATGGATTAGATGGTAAAAGCATTGGTATGAAAATCTGCCGATGAAGCACGAAATATAATACCTATTAGTGCGTAAAAGGTAAACGAGTTGGATTATTTCTATTTTGGAAGTATTACATATACATATAGTTATGTGAACCTGTGCAGTTAACGAGGTTGTCACTTGGCCTGCATCCTTGTTCGATTCTCTGCGCTCCTCGATGTATCAGCGGCTTCATACAAATTAGTTTACCATTGGCTATTCATCGGCAACACTCATGGAATCATGCTGCAATAGGAGCTGAAGTAGACCTGTGTAACTCCGCCTTGGGCTCCACCTGGTAGTCATCGCCATTTACCTCCTTTTCCGTGTGAGCCGTCGATGTTGTAGGCACACCTTTGATAATGCCGGGCTCCGGTCCTCGAGTTCCTTCTGGTAGGTTGAAGAGAATATCTCCCTCACACAGGATATCATCAATAGTCGCGCGGATGGCAATCTCTTCCGGCGACAGCTCGATATACCTGTCCACCTCAATACCGACAATAACTTTCATATAGTCCCGAAACACAGCATCGAATATGTTTCTGACGCGGTCCGCCATTTGCAGCCCTATACTATCACCCATTGATTGGAGCTGTGCCTTGACTTTATCTGTGGCCTCACGGAACATTGTATGCCTAGTGGACTTGACGTGGCCTTCCATGATTGCCTTCATGCGATTGTATTGTCCTGCCCCCTTCTCAGCTGAACAGGTACAGTACGCATCCATCATAGAATCCAGGATCACGGGCATGAAAGCTCGATTTGCCTCCTTCTGGATTTGTGTCACGGTGCCATGTAGTCCATTCCTCAGAAATTCTAGCGTGCGGATTTGAGCCAAGGTTTGGTTGAGTAAGGTACGTAGGGTTGAAGTTCGCATCTGTCTTTGCATAGCTCGCGTGTGAGCTACCTGATGGACGTGTTTGAGTAGACGCTTAGTTTGCTTCGTAAACTCATCTAGAATGGCCGGCACACGGCGTTGGAATGTCCGCTCCCACCCACTGACAAGATTGCGAGAGATCGGGTCTAACAGCTCGGCATTGAAATCGCGTTTGCCTGTGACGCCAGAGAATACGCCGTTGCGGCGTACAGTTGCCTTATACGAATCCCTATTTCGCATGAGCCTTAGTACTGAATGAGTTACGGGTCCAGTGTAGTGATGAGGCCAAGTACATACCAATGTAAGCCTCCTTCAGATCGAGGGGCACCCCAGCTCTTGGCTGTTGGTACGGCGTCATTTACAGCTTGCGGAATCAGAGCCTCGAATGCTTTGTAAATATTCTCATCCAATGTTTGCTGTAGCGTAACCATTGAATTCTTGACGAAGGAGTCCAACCCTTTGTCCAAGTTATTAAGGAGTTTCCTTAGATGAATCTCCTCCCGTTTCCTTTTCAGTTCAGTCAGAGTTGACTGGTTGCCATCGTTCACGGCCCATATCTTCATCGAGTTGACTAGCTGGAGCAAATCGTTCAGGAACCAACGGCTGTGACTTATCCGCCCTCCTACTGTCAGGTTCTTCGCATGTTCACGAAGCTTCGGAATTTCCGTGTCATCTACTGACAAGCCGTAGTTGTAGAAGTCATCCGTTCGGAGTCTTCCACTAAGCATCTGATACCCGCGACTACTGACACAGAAGACTGGCAGACTGCGAGCTACTTTCTCGTAGTCGCGCATGTCGTGCTCTGGGTCGAATGCATCCTCGTTTTCCACAGCGTTCTCTTGATCTAACCTGCCAAGGTGTCAGTCGATGTCATTAGGGTATCTCATTTAACAAAATTTGAATGGAGGAAAATGCTCCTGGATTAAGTAGTTAGTGAATGCTGAAAGTAAGGAGCTGACCTACTCTTTTATGCCCATAGCAAAATCATACTGGATAGCCTTTCGAGCGTAGTCATTGCGTTTTTGCGTGCAGATAGCTTTCGACGATGCAAGTATTTCTTCTCGCTTCGCTATTACACCTTGAATATCCTTCCAAGTTTTGATTACTTCCGCATCCACCGCGTTCCTTGCCTCGTAGAGCCGCTTCCGCTCTGAGTTGACGAATCTGAGCATTTCATTGATCGAATCTTCGTCTAGAGGTTCACCATTCGGAGTAGAGGTCGAGTCATTGAGGCCAGATTCGATGGAACCATTGTCGTCACTAATGCAAGACGGGAGGTTCCGGTCTACTCCACCCACCTCCCTCGTCTTGGACTCTTCAGTAGAGGGAGCGTAGACGGTCTTCCCTGTGGCCAGTTGTCTTTGTAGCCCCCCCCAAATGTCCAACTTCACTTCGTAATCATCAAGCTTATCGATATACTCGCTCTTGACTTCCTCCAGATCGCCAACTTTCATCTTCAAGTCCCTTTCCCTTCTCTTAAGATCTTCGGTCTGGTTCCAGGCTGCGGATATTTCTCCCTCAAGACCAAGACTTTCCGCCGCTTCCGTTATCGAGATATCATCGGTCTTGGAGCAGATGAATGATACTGCCGAGTAAATACCATCGTACTTGAGTTGGCGCTTGAACGAGTCGCCGAGTAACGTTTTTGCTGTCTTGTCATCAACGGCTCGTGTGATCGGGGCGACAATCCAACACCCGGTACACAGCTTTAAGTAATTTGCAGCAACGGCCGCACGAGCGGCATTGGAGTCTTGGACACCGGGCTATTTGGTTAGTTCATAACCCTGCGAACATAAACTGCTAGGATTGGGAAGCCCTTACCAGATCAACAATGACAGCCCCAGTTGAGAGGGCCGCTGCTTTAGTGTAGATACGGACAACTTTAATCAACGGCCAGTACTCCATTTGCGAGTTTTCGTTGGTGGCATCCTTGCTATCGATGTATTGCTGAAGTCCATCATAGAGTCCAGACGCCGAGTCCTCGTTTAGTGTCTTGACACTACCGAATAAACCCTGAATGGCGGGATCGTTTGCAAAGGACTTGGGGGTGCCTCCTGTCAACATATCCTTCGTCTTGGTTGGATAGACAGCCCTCAGCTTTGCGTAGGCAATTGCAGCATTGCCATCCCTAAAATTGGGCTTCTGAGAGTCATCGACATTGCTGGTTTGAAGATCACTGAACAAGATCTTCAACTCATGAATCCATTCTTCCTGGTTGATGAACTCAATCTCAGCTCGATATGAACTACTAGGATCAGTCGAGTAATTGTACGAGATCTCAGTCGGCGAGGCAGTACACGCTCGTAAACAGTTCGTGGGCAAAAGCCTGGGAAGGAATTGTTAGCGTTGTTGTTCATCCAAGAACGTACTAGGTACGTTAGTAGCTACGTATCTATGGAGAGAGTATTACCTATCCTCATCTAAAAGAGCATTGATAATGCTAGACTTTCCCGCTCCGGTATTGCCAACTACACCAATAATAGAGCGAGGTGGCTGAGTCCGACTCTGCAAGTATTCTATTGACTTCAGCCACGGTTCGAAGTCCTCCCTTCCTCGACCTTGCTCGAGAATGCTCTTCAACTGATCCAGTAGTTTGAGACCTATACCAACGCCGGCCTCGAGGACCTCTGGGTTATGGCTCTCAATGAGCTGTTGTAGATAGTCAGGTTCTATGGGCTCTGGTTGTATGATCATATCTATATCTGTATTCGTACCTTCGCCATTTCGGCGCGTTATGGCAGACTGTGTGACGTTCGCTTCGGATATCCCTAGTTTGGATCGATTTGATATGGCGAATGACCCGCCATTATGTAGGGACGACACTACGATGTCGAAAGCTTCACCCTTGATTCTGTGCGGGAAAGAATAGAATCTCCGTGGCCACATCTGAAGTCTTACTCTTGACTGACCGAGTTGGATGCATGACCTCAATGGGGCCCGTTGAATTGATGAACCCATGGTGACCTATTGCCGTATATTTACAGATTTCTTAATTGTACTGGTACAGAAAGATAGATGGCAAGACGGCTTCGAGGTATCGTTGCAAATCTAGTGCGTGTAGTTAATAAGGGGTAATTGGCCAAGAAGGTCTCCGGCGACACCAACGACGGTTCAACAATAGTTTTATCAGTCATTTCCCTAATAGCTCGGAAGGAATCTTCTACCCAATTCTAGGAATTCTGGTGACTATGGGATATAATGGCAAACCCATGATAATCAATGCCCTTGAAACAAACGCGATGAAAAAAAGTCGCCATTCCTAACAACCAACAGACATGGAGGTTTTTTCAAACCTACCAGCGGCTACATACATATATGTACATCTCATGCGATAGATCACCCATTTGAAGGACTAGAATGCTGATCTTTCTAATTATGCAACGGATAGGCGCATTGGCTCTCATTCGAGGTGACTACTTGGTGACCAATTTCAAAGAAGTAATGTTCCTAAGCATCAAACAGAATCCGGCTTGGCCAAGTTTTCGTTTGTATTCCCTCTCCTCTAGAATCAAGTATCCACAACGCCGCACAGGTAGGTACCTGTTAAACGCCAGGTCACAATTCGGCAGATGCACATACCTGCACCTAGGCGTGTACATGTAAATACATAATATGTTCACACGTAGTACTTTATGCGTGTCTTTTACACCCGGGGCCACATATACTTGGGATACCTTCTGATGGGACTCAATCAGTCAATCGTCAATGGATTATATAGAAGAGAAGAAAAGAGCTGAGCTCCCAACCTCTCAAGCTAGGTATGTATACATGGATAAGGTTCAGCAAGCTGCGGAAGCAGCTGTGGAGATGTGCCCATACGGCAGTAGCTATGAAGAGCCACAGGAGTGGCTATCCACGTCCATCCATGTCCTAACACCTTTCGCTATCCGCTATTATTATGTTGGTTGGTTGGTATATTTAAAGCCGTAGCAAGTAGAAAAGGCGTGCCCTCGCAACCTCCCTAGGGGTATGCGGCGTGTAAATCTACTCTAATATTATGTACATAAAATACCTAGGGTTAGGGTTAGGGTTAGGGTTAGGGTTAGGGTTAGGGTTAGGGTTAGGGTTAGGGTTAGGGTTAGGGTTAGGGTTAGGGTTAGGGTTAGGGTTAGGGTTAGGGTTAGGGTTAGGGTTAGGGTTAGGGTTAGGGTTAGGGTTAGGGTTAGGGTTAGGGTTAGGGTTAGG